AATTGTTTTTTTTTTATCCACTTTTTTTTTTTTTTTTAGCCGAGTCCCTCTGTTCTTACCTTCTAGCACCACTATGGAGGAACTCTTGGTCTCGTATGCTTTGTCATTTTCATTGTTTTATGATTCTCTTCTCATATTTACGTATTCGTTTATGGTCATGTAAGCTTTGTAACAGCCGCCTTGCAGGATCTCTTCTGTGAATTTATTATGAACTACTTCCTGCTTTGGCTTCTTGACATTGTCTACGGGGCGTTACTTCCTCTCAGCCTTGTAAGTTTTCGTGATGGTATTTCTTCTCACTATCTCTACGTCTCACAATGACTTGTTCCAGTTCTTGTACTGTCTTTTCCCAATGGTATGTGTGCCTGGGGGGAGGATCCCACCCCCACCCTTGTGTAAATGTGTGTGGCAGGGGGCGTCGCACCCTTGTGTAAATGCGTGTGCAGGGGGCGTCGCCCCCTTGTGTAAATGTGTTTGGCAGGGGGCGTCGCACCCCTGTCCTGGTCAGGTCACCCTGACAGGCCAGCGCCCGCCCTAGCTGCTGCGCCTATACCCAACCTCGCTCAACGGGCGGCATTACACATATCCAGCAACTTCCTGCGGATACATGGTGAATAACGAGATATGGGAATCGGAGCAGAGCTCAGATATATATATATATACCTTTTAATGTTCCTCACCGCAACTCGGTCATTTTCTACTTACTGCGTTGCTATCAAATTATTAGAGTGCTTTTTTTACGGTCAGACTGCGGCTGAAATATTTAGTGTTGCGTGCTAGATGGTGGTATTGACCATGTTGGGGCTCCACCAGCCGGCTAAGCACCGCGCATTTATTTATTGGCAGTAGTAGTAGCCTAGTAGTAGTAGTGGAATTGTATTTGATTTCTGATACTGTTTCTCTCCCAGACTGTTTAATATTTATTTAGTGTAATATAGGAGCTATTGAGAGAATTAACGTCTTTTTCGGATAGGTTAAGAGCGATTGTGAGAATTACGGTCGGTATAATATAGGTTAGGATGTCCCGGCATTTCTTTCAGAGGGTTCTGGAAATGCTGTTAAAAACAAAAATAAAATATATTGCAAAAAATAATTACTTTCTATATTTTATATGTAAAATTTAAAGTGCAGCAACACTTTACTGCCAAATGGCAAATGAAAAAATTGTGAACATTTGTGACTTTGGTTAGGCTAGGTAGGACGTGTGCGTCACCCTGGTCTGTGCGTCACCATGGTCTGTGCGTCACCATGGTCTGTGCGTCACCATGGTCTGTGGGTCACCATGGTCTGTGCGTCACTATGGTCTGTGGTGACGCAGTGTTACGTAGCAGAGCAGCCCACTGTCTGCTTCCTGCTCTCCTCTGCCCTTTGATGGTTAATTTCCAAATTTTGATGGTTAATTGTCAAATTTTACGTAGTGGTTTGTGAAGTCGTTCAGGCTGTTAACATGCCAAAGATACGCAGATGAAGCCATGAACATATGGCTGCATTCTTGCATGACAAGTCTTTATGGAAGTCTTTAACAGATTTGTGAGGCTATTAAGGACAATTCCGCCCACATCGGTCTACAGTTGGACACAGTAGTAATAGTAGTGAACTCCTTTTCAACACGAGTCATCAGACTGTATATATCCGGTACATTAAGGGTGGTGAAATTAAACATGAGTTGCTATTTTGCAAGGCTTTGCATACATCAACGAAGGCAGCAGATATTATTCAGTCTTGGCCGAGTTTTTTGAGAAGCATCAGATTAAGTGTGAAAAGGTATGGTGTGTGCACGGATGGTGCCCCAGCCATGATAGGGGGCAGGTCTGGCTTCCAACAACTTTGGAAAGAGAATCAGATATATTTGGAAAGAGTACCAAATATCATCATGAATAACTGTGTTCTCCATCGCCATGATCTGGCAGCTAAGAGACTATCGCCTCACCTTGACCAAACTGTTTGGCCATTGTTGCCTGGATATTTTCCTACTCAAATCTATTTGTGTATGCGGTTCACTTCAGAACATAAATTCATTTCTGTCCCTTGGCGTGGTAAATTTATTGCTGCATTTTCACAAAGGAAGATTCGTCAGCTAAATGAAGTGTGCATATTGATGTTCCATTATTTATTTCCATTGATTATTAATTTCTTATGGTCGCTATTTATTTCCTTCTTGTGTAACTAGCTCATCAAGGCTGTAACTTGCCTAGCTAAGTGAATTTTGGGGTTCAGTCCCTGTGCCCATTATGTGTGTCTGTAACCTTTTCAACTCCCATTTCACTCCCCTCCACAGGATGGATATGGCGTTCACTACCACCAACAGGATGGGTATGGGGGTCACCCCCATCCAAAGGATGGGTATGGGGGTCACCCCCATCCAAAGGATGGGTATGGGGTTCATTCCCATCCAAAGGATGGGTATGGGGTTCATTCCCATCCAAAGGATGGGTATGGGGTTCATTCCCATCCACAGGATGGGTATGGGGTCCACTACCACCCACAGGATGGGTATGGGGTTCACTACCATCCACAGGATGGGTATGGGGTCCACTCCCACCTAGAGGATGGGTATTGGGTGTATAATATGAACTAAACTAATTAATAATGAATTACATCAGCAGATTTAGACGATATATTTACTTGCATGTACTGTACCATATTTGCTTGTCTTTCTAAGCTGATGTTAGTGATAGTGAATGTGGAGTGTCTTAATTATGCTTGTATATTTATGTCTGGCTTCAGAGACAAGCATATTACAGTTTGATTGCAAGCTATTTAGAGCTAGAATTGAGGAATGATAGTCTAGATAATCTGTCTAATGCAGTGTTTTTAATAATATTGAGCTCTTCAAGAATAGCCAACAGTTCAGCTTGTAAGGTGGATGCCCAATTATTGACTTATATTTCTCATAATTGTTACCGTGTTTGTGTGAGGAGGCCTGGTCGATGACCGGGCCGCGGGGATGCTAAGCCCAGAAACCATCACAAAGGTAACCCAACCAACCACTTCTTGTCTTCACAATAGATGAACTGAGAACCGTCAAGTGAATATGGTCTCTGTGATGTTACAGTCAGCTTGTAGATTGTGTATGTGTTAAGGACACATAATTTAACAGCATGCCTAGTACAAGGGATGTGTGTGATTAATTTCTTGGTGGGGTATGTACGCATCATGTCACAATGCATTGTCAGCCAGAACAGAAGGAAGTGCTGCCCTTTTTCACCTTTGTAGACCTCATGCAATCCAAACATTTTAATATGAATGGCTGCTTTTTAATCCATCCAGAATCATTTATTCCACTGTGTCTAATTCAGTTGATACTGGTACTTTACTCTCATATGATGATTTCAAATATTCTATTTTGCATGCTAGATATGTGTAATAAAATTTGGGTCATAATTCCCCTAGAGTTCATCTAGACTGGCATATTTCTTTAAAATATTTAAATAATGAGAAGTGAGAATTCAGTCACTTAGTGCTGTCTAGCATGATTATATATATGAGGTAGCTAAAGATGAATGTGATAATCCTCCTGAAACTGAGCTAGACCTTGGTATTCCAATCTCTTGTCAAACTACACTATTTCAGGAAACTAAGGCTGACAAAAGAGCAATCACCGACACTCATAAGGACAGAAAGCCCTAGTATAAAGAGTTAAGATACATTTAGAACCAAGAATTATATGTACAGACAGTACGGAAAATCCACCAGACCAGTGGGGGCATTCCTTTTTTAGGAATGCCCCCCCCCCCTGTTCTAATACACAAATAATAATAATAATAATATTTTATTTAGGAAAAGTACATACATAGATGCAGAGTTACAAACATACTGTTGGATTTATAGATAGAGCGAGTAAATGATCCAAAAGGGGGGTCATGTACCAGAATTAAGCTAGGATATAAATACCTACATATAAATAGGTTACAGTATCTTGAGATGATTTCGGGGCTTTAGTGTCCCCGCGGCCCGGTCCTCGACCAGGCCTCCACCCCCCAGGAAGCAGCCTGTGACAGCTGACTAACACCCAGGTACCTATTTTACTGCTAGGTAACAGGAGCATAGGGTGAAAGAAACTCTGCCCATTGTTTCTCGCCGGCGCCTGGGATCGAACCCAGGACCACAGGATCACAAGTCCAGCATGCTGTCCGCTCGGCCGACCGGCTCCCATGTAGGTGGGCTTCAGGTAATGAATCCCCAAAGGGTGAACATTCCAATTGCAAACAATGTGAAAATGAGCTGAGACATGCTCTCCAACACTGTGATTGCCTTGTTAATGTTCTAGAGCTCTGCAATTGCTTTATCCTCTTTCTCTTGTGTTCTTGAAGATATCCTGATAATGCATCAAAGTTTGCCAGTGTTGACTACTGATCACATGGCTCTGTACAACTAACCATAGTCTAGGGTAGCTGTATACATGTTGATGTACCCAAGTATGGTAATACAAAAACAAATGAAATAACTCGCTAAAATCTATATAACTGGTTATGACTCTTGGAAGTTTCAGACTCTGTGTTTAAGGAATGAATTAGCGCGTGGTTTTTGCACTTCAGTAACAAAGTCAACAACAATTTCTAAGCATTTTTTTTAATGTGAGGTATAATTGTTACTCTTTAGTTTTATAATGTGTTGCTTAATACAGGAGTTTTAAAACTTTTGAAAGCCATGAAACATTTTCCCAGAATCCTGACCATGAGTCGGTGCCTCAAGGATGCATGACAAATGGAAATCTGAAATTTTATATATTTTTAAATAATACAGGTGTACCAGAACCGAATCGTTCAATTCAAACCAAACTGAGGAATAGATTGGTGTCTGTGGAACAACCACTTCATGTGTGCCAACCAAAGAATTTGATAGGCACACATGAAGTCTCTCCCTTTTCTGTATTATCAGCAGTAATTTACCCAGAGAATTGTAATTTATTTTTCAGGTCTATTTGTCAAAGTTCAGAGCCTGATCATATAATTAAAACCATGAGAAATGGTGCAAAGGGGATGGAAGGATACACTCAAGAGTTTTAGTATTTTACTTAACAGATTTAACTAATATCATTAAAGTGGGAAATGGGGTAATGTACAGTATCGGTATATATAGAGATTGTAAGATTCTCAGCATACCATTAATAAAAATAGTCAGATTTCTAAGCTATATATTATTTACATAAAATTTTCAGAGCGTGATTATTATGCTGAAGAATAACTTGGTGGAATGCTAAACCAGTTAAGAGAGAACTTGCCACATATCTTCTGTAACTGATTTCAATGTTAAAATATGATTCTTGTATATCTTGGTCTAGCGGTAGGGGTGGAAGCCAATCTATCTCTTGCTTGCCTTCCATTAACTTGTCAGTCAACTGTAGGCCAGGAGCTCTATCTTGTCCTATCTGAGTAATGAAGAAATCATTTAAATTAAGCATTTTTTATTATTTTACTGAAACATATATTCTAGAAAGGATTAATTGAGTGACTTCATTAAAGGTATCCATGTCCTGCCAGTACTGTAACTGAAAACATAATATTGCACTTTGAGTAAATGAAGACCAGAAATTATTGAGATATATATTTCTTTTAGATTCTTGCTACTTAATGATTTCCCACATTTGAACAGCAAGCTGATGATGGTAAACTGTAATCATTTATCAGGTTCACTGTCATGAGTGTCGTGATTGTCTTTCAGTCATCTCTGCATTACTGTATAGTACTATCAAGTTTCTTACAAGAAGTTGACTGCACATCCAACTATACAGCAATACAGGGGTGTGCAATTTACATAAAAGAAGAAAGTTGTGCAAGAAAAGTTGAAAATTAGCCAAGACATTGAAGGGAAGTGGCTGGCGTACTTAACTGAATGGACTTCTGACAAGCTGGCGGTTTGTGAAAGCTTCCCCCCCCCCCCCTGCCCCCCCAACCCCATTTTTCCTGATAATTTTATCCAGCTGAATTTTGAATTGCAGAAATGTTTTGGTAGTTATGGCTTATGTGAATAGATGGTTCCCATGGGTTTATAACCCTATGAGTGAAACAGCATCTCCTGTTTTCTGTCCTAGTGAGCAGTTCTTTCCAGTAAAAATATTTTTGTATCTATTGGCAAATTTCCCAGGATACTGTGTGCAATTGAGATTAGTGATTATCCCCTGGCATCAGGGCATGCGTGTAGAAATATTGGAGTAACAATGCTTATACTGTACTTCTTTACACATCACTCAAGGTGTTGTGATGAGATCTGCCATTTATGTGTATTTTAGTTTGTGTTTTTGATAGGGTATTAGGTACTGTATGCTTAGGGGTGCCTTCTCGCCATGCCCTGTGGCTGGGGGGATTGGTGCCCTGAAGCTACATAAACACCCTATACCCCCCCGAAGTGGCAAGGGGAGTTAGGGGACACACATTGCCCACCCCTCCCCAAACCCAAAAATCAATGTTTATAAAGTGGATTTTAATTTTCTATAGTACCCATTAACTGAGATCTTCCTTGCACAATCATAAATAATGCTTGAAATTTTAAAGTTAATAGGCTAAACATTTCTTCACATATTGCACATAAACAATTTGAAAATAAATTGTCATCCACACTTCCGTGGAAATAAACATTCCATTCACCTGGGTTCTAGGAGACTTGAACCATGGACTCCCACATGAATCTGAGTCTCCTGAAGCCAAGATGAATGGAATTAGAAAATAATAAATAATAGTCAAGAGAAAATGAAAAGTATCCTTTCATGGTATATATAATTTCAGTACAAAATACAGTACCAAAATATAAAAGTTGCCAAATTTACCTGAAGTCCAAATAATTTGGGCACCAAAGTATTTCGTAGATAGACTAGGCGATCACCCATGCTGTCCTGGCGATAGTCTAATACAGTAGTTATTATCCCTTTTATCTGTAAAAAAATAATGAAACCTTGAAGTATAATATGTGCGACATGCTGATTAAACCTTAACCCTTTATTTCAATGAGCGCACTCGTCCAGTTTCCATTCTCATTTCTTCATGTATCCTTTATTAATACTTTCAAATTAAATAATTTGTATTCTACTTATTCTTGTTTCAGATGCTGACACAATGCTCTGTCCTATTGCAAATAATTTCAGCCATCTTCATACAATAATGCTAAAGAATAAGATGAGTTTATAGAAAAGCAACCCTTAGCCTTTGGACTAAAACCCAAGACAAGTCAAACAGCAACCATGGCCCCCTTCAGAAGTCTACAAAGCCACAGAATTCTCTGCTGATACACACACTAAAGAACCATGGTTTTAGCCCAACTCTATATATGAACCTGAATCTCAGATGAAAGGGGAAGGACAGCCACCCATAGAGGCCTCTTCCAAAGACAGAACAAAAGCAGCAGTACCTGACGAGACAGACCCCAAACTGCTGCTACACAACTCTCGCTGGTGTCTGCTGGACCTCAAATGTAAGTTGTTTAAGCTGAATAAGTAGCGAGATCATGATCATAAAATTCACTAGCTTAAACAACAATAATGTTGAGAAAAAGGTCTTGACTTGACCCCAAGTATCCAATACCATACATTTGAGAGCTACAAGATTCCATACTAGTGACAGCCTGGAAAACCCTAAAGTGTAAGATGCAAGCAGCGAATGAGCTACCACACCATGAGCAAACAGCTGAGAGGGAGGGTCAGCCAACAGAGGTCCAGAAAAACATGGAACAATACGATGCAATGAAGCCACAGTTAATACCTGTTTCGCAGATAGCCCCAACACCACCTGTCATATGAGTTGAAAAGTGAAGAGGAGCCTAGAAGAGTCAAGTGTTCTTAATCATGCACTAGGCTCTTAAATGGGCTGGCTGACTATTCAGGACCTCGGGTCACCTGGTCTGCCAACTGGTAAGAGACAAATGTACTCACTCTAGCAGACAATTTGCCATGGAAACAACTTTGTATTTTCACTTCTCCAAACAATAACTGGTTTTGGAGTTTTTTTTATTTGTGGTGGATCTTTTTGCTCGGGTTTGAGGCAATCGCTGATCCCCATACTCCCCTTCTCTCTGAGTGGGCCAGAACTTGGCCCTGGTCCCCATTAGGTTCTCACAGTTCATAAGAGTACTGGCATGTTCCCCAAGGCTTGGGTGCTTCCAGATTGTAGCATCAGGAAGTTACTGATGGCACAGAATCTTGTAGCTCCTCTCAGAAAACAGTAGAAAAATTGGAGGTATCTGTCACAAATTACTGTCTTCCTGTCTCAAGGCCATGAAGTATAGAAGCCAACAAGTAAATACACACAAAAATTTAATTAAAATCTTACCTGAGCTAACTGCAGAGAAATGATGACAGTGCCAAGTGAGGCTTTCTTAAGGTGCCCATAGCTGTTTAGTTCCTCCCACACATAGAGATCAGCTGGAGGAATCTTCTCTGCCGCTTCTTTAACCTAATATTTTAAATTATTTGGTTCATTTCTGTACGTAAGCCTTAAAATTATATATTTCTAAAGAAATAATGTAAATTCGAAATTATAAATTAATTGTATAAGTACTGTACTGTATATGCAATTCATAATTATAGAGACAAATTCAAAATCAGGATGTACTGTATATACTTATAGATATATGTATACATATAAGTATAATATGTTAATAAATAAAAATAAAATGACAAGATACCATTTCATAAATCTTTATGGCATCAAATTGTGAATCGGAGCTGAGCAGCTCCTCACAGTGGAAACCAAGTACTTTGCCACTACGATCAAATTTTGTCCAAGCCAAGGCACCAGCTGTCACATGTAATGACACCATTGTCTCGAGTGTCTGTGGAGAGTAGCAAACACACATTTGTCTAAATGAAGCAGGTTTATTTAACGGTGGTGAATTAGGATTGAGATTGACAAACAATTCATATGGCATTATAGCACGGTCATTGGTGCTATGTAGCTAAAAATATTCATCTAACCCTCACGTTAGGTTTACAAGTGATATATTTATTGTCCAAAGCATATTCTAGAGAAACATAACTATAATCATTGGTACTAAGCAAGAATATATTTTCTGGAGGAGCCAAACAGTGGCTCCCTAAAGCTAGCTCACTGAGGTAACTCCCCATACCATGTCATATAGGCCCTATGAATCCTGTATTGAGTACCGCAAACCAGAGCCAGAACCTGGCCCCTTCACAGAGGTATTGGGAATTATTATTATCTTTGCCTAGTTCTGTGGCTGATATCCTAGAAAAAGATTCTCCCAGAGTCACCACTTCTAATGGGTCTCATGTTTTTTAAAATAAGTATAAGCCATCTTTTGGACATTATCCTCCAGAGGTCCTTTGTTTGTGGGTCATTCTTGACTTTGGAGTTATTTACTTCAAGTATGTTTTTTGAGCCTCACTTGTTACATGGACTCTTTTTTTCTTCTTTTCTTCCTCAAGCTGCATGTGGTTTAGAGCTAGTTTGCCCCTGAGAGGTCGTAGTATGATACCTTGTCCTCTGTGAGGTCCTGTGGTTGGGAGCATTCAGGGTTTACTGTTGTTGGATAAGCTAGGGGTCATGTGCTTGTCTATACTGCATGCTGCTGATGCTCCTCTATAGTTGTGTTTATCCTGTAGGCTACAGCTGTCTTTATTGCTTCCCTAACCTTTGGAATGTTTTCTCAGTGAGGGTGATTGTAACAATTCCCTGCTTCCCATGCCTCTGAGAGGGCTCTGGTCCCTGGTAGACCATACAAGAACCCTAAAGCTGTTGTACCTCGGTAGGGTGAAGCTATCACAGCAAGGTAGTAGCTTCAAGGGAACCACTGATGCCCTACCAGAAAGAGGCATTTCATTAAATGCTGGGTTTTTGTACTGACACATGAGGCCATAAAATACTGACACATATACAAGATCCAATAAATGGTTGAGAGTAAAATATACACACAAAAATTAATACTTACATTTCTTATGACTAAGCTCAGCTTGGGCTTCACCAAACGTTTCTTATATACCACATCTTTTAAATCTTCCAGCACATCCCCAGAAGAATTGGCCGTCTCCTTATTCTCTAACACCGATGTGCATATATTTTCAATAGCTTTTATTCCCAAACCATCAATGTAAAAAAGCTGTGATACATCTTGAAATGAGCCAACTTGAGACTTGCTTTTCATCAGCTTCTTAATAATGCCTTTAGTCACATTTAATCTGGCAAGATCTGCTGCAGAGGCATCATTTATAGTTCTTATTATACAATCTTTTTCTTTCAAAGAATATGGTAGCTCATAAGAAGATAAATCATATATTTTCCCATTCTCTTCAGGTGTTTGCTTACTCTTGAAAGAGGTGGAATATTGAAGACACTACAAAGAAAGCACACCAGGGATTAATTTGCAACTTTAGTTTTCATTATCACTCAATAAATGCCAACAAAATTATTTGCACACCCTGCATTACTGTATAATGGAGTGCAAAAAGATAAATGAATTTAGAGACAGCTCTATAAAAAATTTTAAAGAAATGTGTAAATCAAAATGATCTACTATCAGAAATTTTAGCCAAATATCCCCAGTTTGCTAACTGTACCTAGCAAATGCATGTGATTGTAAGCTTTCCACCACTGCCCACTGGATTAGGGGTGATGTACATAAGCAAATAAAAATATGAAACTAGCTTACTGCATATAATAAAAAAAATTGAGTAGCTTAATATGTAAGTACCAGTAATATGTATTCAAATATCTAAGTAGCTTAACTTACAAACTGTACATATGGTACTTATTTTCATTCTTGAATCCACTGTTGATATAATAATTCACTAAAAATCATGTAACTAGCTTATCAAGTTTGTAACATGCATTGCTAAATGAATTTTTGGGTTCAGTCCCTAAGCCCATTATGTGCCTTCTGTAACCTTTTTCACTACCGCCCAAAAAATGGGTATAGGGGTGCATAATAAATGAGCTAAACAACAATTATCAACAGTAAACTAAAAAGCTGTTCATCTTAAAGAGCATGTAATGTATAAATAAAGTTGAATTATAAATTTTTGAAAAAATGTAGCAAGTATCTGTAGCAAGTAGATTATCCCAGTCGTATACTTGCTCCATTATCTCATTATCTTAATAGCATAACTAATAAGCACTAACTACAGAAGCTACAAAAAAATAATATTGTTTACTGAAAGTGTAAACGTGAATAATTTTAACTTTCTTCATTGAAACCTGTGAAAATAAAGGGAAAAAAAAGTAAGGTATTAAGAGATTGATATACTCCTATCTGAGTGATCCCTCAGTTGCTTCTCAAACCAGGGCCTGGGCCTACCTTGGACACTGTTCACATGCTAGTCACAAACTTTTTTGCCCCACTATGACAAGGAATTACAGTCCACGGGGACTGCAATTTTTTATTTATATATACAAGAGTTGTTACATTAGTGTACAGCCACTAATACGAGTAGCGTTTTGGGCAAGTCCTTAATCCTAAGTTCCCTGGAATACGACCCCCGCGAAGAATCGTTTTTACAACCAAGTACCCATTTTACTGTTGAGTTAAACAGAGGCTACAGATAAGGAGCTGCAATTCATACAATTGCAGTCCCCATGGACTGCAATTGTAACTATTATTAATGACAAACTTAAATTTCAAATTCAAATTCAAATGTTTATTCAGGTAAAGTACATACAAGGTGTGAAACAAACATTGATGGATTTATAGATTGAGCTAGTACAATCGGTCCGTCTAATTACCACAAGCTACCACAAGCTACACAAGCTTCACAAAGCTTCCTGGCAATACGTTAGTAATGAATAAATATGATATATTTACTCATTATAATGTTGGTGCTGAATGTACAACACGAAAAAACATAATTTAAATCTGAAAAAGTATATTTTTATAAAGAAATTAGATGAAAATAGAGCTGCTGACGCCAAATCAAGTCGACGATCCAAGCGTAGGTCTGGTCTGGTCTGGTCAGCCTAACCTAACATGTCATATTTATTCATTACTAATGTATTGCCAGGAAGCTTTGTGAAGCGTGTGGTAGCTTGGGGTAATTAGACAGACCCAGTACAGTACATACAATGCCTAAAGCCACTATGACGCAAAGCGTTTCGGGTAGGAAAAAAAAGGTAAGGTATTTCTATATCTATCAAGGTGCTTGATTTCACCAAGTTACTCACTTTCAGTGATCTAAGTGATCCGGTCTGCAGTGTGTGATGAAGTAAACAAGACCTGAGAAACATGTGGACTGTATTTGCCGTCGCTCTGGCCTGCCCGGCTGCCTGCTTTCCTGTGCTTCAACCAGTAACTGGAATTATTGGAATAATGGGTTATCAAGATGATTTTAAATTACACATAGAGGTAGGATGTGGTATAATTTGTTTGACTAGACAGGAGATATTTACCCAATCCTTTGACTACTAGGTATCTTATAGTTAGGAAAAGTTACCCTGGCCTCCTCTTCCCCCTGGCCTCACCGAGCGTGCCAGCATTTGATGTTGATTCTTTAGGTCGCTTTATCTAGAGTTGTCTTAGCCCGGTTTCCCTTTAGTCGATAACCTTTTATTTATTTGATTTTAAATGACTAAAATAATAATAATATGCATTTGCAGTATACGAAGTTTATTTTCACTAGTGTTCCCGGATTTATCAGTTGTGTACTTTCAAGCTTTTGTGTTATAAAATATTCATTGAGAGACTTGAGACTGGCGGAGTGTCAGGTGTTGGAGGCCACTCGGGTCCCCACCTGACAGTAAACATCGTGTCCGGTTCCTCACTGTCACTGCCACCACCTCAACTCTCAACTCTGGCTCGTGATTTCACTCCCTCTACCCCTTCTCTATCACGAATCCATACCCAATAGGGATAACTATTGGCTGAAGTAACTTCTCAGCACAATTATCCAGCAATCTCCAGGAATCGACATGTCTAAGTCACAGTCACTCATCCCCAGCAAACTAGCCCTAGACTCGACGGTCACAAGAAAACTAGAAACTTATCTGGTACAGATTGACAAAAAAGTGATACGTAAGAAAACTTTGACAAACTTACATTTGACAAGCACTCTACCAAGACAAAATTATATCCATAGTAAGCTACAACAGCAACTCTTGGCTGTCAAGTGCACCAGACAGCTTCACAAAATGACAACTAGAACCGCGGAAATTCCATGATTCATCATTAGCTCTGCTTAAACACACACACGTGAGAACTGTTCTAGTGTAGCTCATGAACGGTGAGAACTGTTCTAGTGTAGCTCATGAACGGTGAGAACTGTTCTAGTGTAGCTCATGAACGGTGAGAACTGTTCTAGTGTAGCTCATGAACGGTGAGAACTGTTCTAGTGTAGCTCATGAACTGATTAAGTCAAAAGTTAGCAGTTAGCATAGTATTAAGGCTGCCCTTATGATATGTTAAAAATAACACTCCCCAAAATACCGGGTGAACTTCAGTTGGATATTATATTATTTTGACATTGTATCTTATTATTTAATTTGATGCCACTTCAGATTAGGTTCCCTGCTTGAACCTAAAGTCTATATAGTCAAACTGGCTTAGCTCTTTCTCCCTATAATTGCCTTACCTTGAACCTTAAGTTGTATGTCTGGTAATCAAATTTCTAACCACAAGAGGAGTACTGTACTTCCAGAATGAAAGATAGTTAGCATATAAGAAAATATCAAAGGATTTATCAGAGATATATAAATTAATGAAATGTGAAATACATATTTCTCATGTAGCCTCAAACTACCACCATTCCTATCCCGAGTTTCCTGTTTTCAGTGTGAGGTTGGAGCATGCAGCTATGTGAGGTCGAAGCATGCAACACTGAGGTCATAACACAAACGGTGATGTTGGAGCATCCAGCACTGTGAGGTTTGAGCGTGCACTATGAGGTTGATATACACATCACAGCAAAATGCCTCATATAACAATACTTCCACAAAATGCAGATCTCGCCTTAGCATTTACAATACCACAGTGCTACGGCTGCGAAGCAGGTAATTGTCAATCACATCACTCACACAGTGAAATCGCCTTAATGTGATTTAATTGCGCATTTGATGGGAAGTGTGAACTACTGGACCATAAGCCAGAGAGCACCGGGGGTAGTGTGTGAAGACCCTGTTTTGGGCTTTGGGAGTATCAGGAACCCTAGTGGATCCAGTAGAATCCCAGGTTGCACTGCTTTTGATCATGTATTTTAACATGATATGTCATGTTAATGTTATTTCGTTGTGCGTGTGTACAGTATATTTAATAATGCCACTAATTCACAAAGGCATTTCAGGCATAACTTAAAATCATTTCTGGGTAATATAATACTTGTAATTAGTTTTTGCCAGCCCTGCCATTAATATTCTTACAGATTACTTATCTCTGACAGGATGCTCAAGAGGAAGTTTCATGTACTACCACTGCCCAATATGCCCATCATCCATATTTCAGCCCACCACACGAGTACAAGTGATGCAACATCTTCAAAACCACTTTTATGGCAAGCATCATGGCAATGTCCATGCTAAAGGTAAACACAAAGAAAGATTATTACACAGCTAAAATTTTTAAACTGGGTACAGTACCTACCCTATAAAAATGGCGGGGAAAATATTTAATCGAATATATACCTAATTGTTTTTGAGAATGCCAGTAATTAAACAATGTTTGGACAGTCACAGAGCAAATATAAATGCTCATGGTAATACAATTTTAATTAGTATTATACTTATAACGTAATTTCAGATAAGTTTATTTTCATCATTTTGTTCAGTGTCATGTTTATTATCAGTACAAACACATTTACAATGATTGAAAGTTGCAACTGTATATTATTATATTATTTTATTTATTATTTACTTGTTGATAATTGAATATGTAAATTTGTATTACTGTATGTAAATTGGAAGTGATTTGATTGGTTATTCATTATTATTAAATTTTTAACAAACATAGTTATGTTTGTAACAAATAAATATATAAAGATTAGAAAATTAATCTTAAGTAATTTGAATTTTGAAAGCTATGATTTTGCAAATTACATCAAGGCCCAAGACTAGAATTCACAACCTTATTATGAATTATATTATAATAATAGTAAATATTGGTTATTTTTTAGGTTATATGATAACTAAATGTCAGCAAGACTGTTTCCAAAATCGCAACATGAAGAGGGTAGGTCACTATCATTGTCCTCATTGTGAGAAGATGTTTTCACGTGCTGATTCCATCAGAATACACATTGAGAAATGTAATGCATCAGGAAATGATAAGTCCTTAAAGAAAACATCTGTGAAGTGTCCAGAGTGCCAAAAGCTGTATGCTAAAAACTATTTAAAAGAACACATACGTCAAATCCACCGGCCAAGAGATGCTTCTTTAACTGCACAAAAACATCTCTATGCAGTTTCTATTGACGGGAGAGGGATATATGCAGTGTCCAAGACCTTCAAGGGACCCCAACACCCAATACATGTGAAGAGGGTCCCGGGGAGCCACCATCCGGGATATTGTGAGGTATTTGTGTATTTCATTTATGAATCTTAAATGGTTGAAGATTGTCAATAAGGAATATTTTATGACTTAGGCTGACATATTATATATGTGCACACAGTACAGACGAGTTTTGGTACTTGTATCCATGCATGATTCCGAAGCTCGTGCCCTTAAACAAGTATCATTCTTGTGGCCTTACAGAATGGAAGCTAAATTATAGTTTCCATCATTGTATCATTGACAAGTGTGGTGATAAGAGCACTATAAAAATGATTACTGTACAATGAAATGTTCAGAATACCTGGGAAGTAACAACATGATAATGGATAGACAGTTTCATTTTTGAATGGGAAGGTTTTGTGTAACCTTCCCATTCTTAGTTTCTGAAATATTGCAAGAAAGGAAAGGTTAGGGTGCTTCCAAGTATAAGTTAGCCTAGGGGGAACCAGAATATGTCTAGCAGGCTTCCTGTTGCTCACTATGGGGAGACTATAAGGTGAACCATTCATCACTGGTTCTTTTTTAAATCTGCAAGCTAGAACTGTAATATGTATATGCAGTTACCTATAGCAGTGTTGCTATTGAGGGTAAAGAAAATACCAATACATGTGCAGGTGTATTCCACATACCGGGTGTGTTGGTCTTTCCTTCAGCTTCATTCAAGCACTATGGCATTGTAATAAGTTTCTCCAGTGTTGATAATCTTCTATTGAATACAAGATTTCAATGATGATGTGTTAGTATATTTTGGTTGCTATTCTTTTGCCATGTGTTGCACAATGCTGTATAATTCAGGTTATTCTTGGTGAAAGGATTTGTAGAGAAACTAAATGGAAGGGGGGGATATTGAATTTGTGAACTTTGTAGAATACACTCAAGTTAACCAAACACATTTGTTTCTGTTCTGGAGTGGCTGTTCATGTGGCATGGGGTCAAGTATATTAAGTTTGCTTCTTACTAGATGTACAGCCCTGACTAGAATTGTCTATCAAACAACTTTAGATAAGACTACTGGAAGGCATCTCAAATTTGCGATGAGTACTCTGTTATACTGTTCATCTTATTTAGGAGTTGTATAGTGTTATAGATCCCACAGTACCTAGGTTACACACTACCCTTCATAAACATGCTAGTGTCTTAGCATTGCATTCATTTTCAGATGTCTTGTGACGGACTGATTTTAATAAATTTTCACTTCTAATACTGTATAGTAATTGATGAGTTGCAGTGTCAGAGGATCTACAAACATTTATGAATAAAGTATTTTAAATGTTAATACTGTATTTATATTTCACAATTTATATTTTTTTTTAAGGTTGGAGGCTGCAATGATATATTCCAGACACAACGCCGAAATGGAAATGATTTCTACGAATGTGATCACTTGATGGCCACATATTTTTGTGTGGCAGGTGTCATTTGTGATATGTCCCTTGAAAAACTAGCTAACATGTTAAGTGATGGGTATATATCTTCAACAAATCATAACATGTGTAAAGCTAGTTATGAAGAAGCCCTAAAAAATAGCCAGATATTTGTGGTGAGCATACCACAGAGAGCACGTATGAGTAAGAGATACCAGTTCTGGAGTGTGTACACAGGTACGAAGCTGTGGTGGTGCAAGTTCCAACGCACCATTGTCACTCTAGATTGTAATACTTCAGCTATATGGTGTCGCTGTAAGCATAGAAGCTGTTGGCACAGAAGCGTTGTAAGATGGTGGTTGTATCAGACATCTGGTGCATCGCATTTAACCGAGACTAACATTGAACAAGACATTGTAGATTCAGAAATTATGGATCCAGAGGAGACACATCCAGAGGACACAGACCCAGAAAATGCAGAGCCAGATGATGCAGATCCTGAGGACACAGATCCAGAGGATGCAGATCCAGAGGACACATATCCAGAGGACACAGATCCAGAGGATGCACATCCAGAGGACACAGATCTAGAACACACCAGTAAAGAAGAGTCATCTGATGAATGCATTGATAGAAAAATTCAATACATGAATAGCATGAAGACTATTCCATGTGGCATATCATTTCCAAAATTCTCAGTGGAGAAATGCCCCCAAAAACTTATACCAAGTGAGACAACTTGCCACTTCTGTCATTCTACCCTTGGGAGTCCTCAGCTTGTCTCAAGAAAAGCCACAGTAGTGGACAATTTAAACCCCCCATGCAAACAGTTTGAGACCTTCTGCAAGATGTGCCCAACCTGCCACATGAAATATCGATATGCTGAGATTGAAGACGGCATTTTCAACTTCAACGACAGTCTGCTTGTGACCTATTCCTTGATGGTTAACATCCGAGCTCTTCTGTTGGTAAGCTTAATGAAAATATTTAATATAATGCTTTTTCACCACTTTTTTATTAAAATTTGAAACTGTAGCATTAGTCTCTTAAAGAAGCGATGTGTTAACATATTGAAATCAGTTATATTTTGTTTTTCATTGCCTAATATGCTACCTTTTTTTTTATTGCCTAATATGTTAATTTTTTTTTTAAAGAATCACACCTCCATTAGTCGGACTCTATCTGCAATAGAATACACCTATGACATCACTGTGAACCACCAGGAGCTTGAAAATGCATACTTGGCATTTGAGGCATTGTGTGACCACAACTATGAGTTCACTTGTTTTCGATGTGGCCATCATCCAAAATTATTGATACATGGTCTTACTGAGAAAGCAACCTTTAGCTATCCAGGTAAAGCTGCTATTCAAACACGTTGTCAGGTAATTGCCATAACAATAATATTAAGCATTTGCAAAGGATATACTGTATGCTTAAATTTCCTTTATCTTGAGAGGTCACTCGATGGCTCCACATAGCTAGCCATTTTGGTTAGCTCCCTACTTATTGAGTCACACCAGGTACTTGAGTCAATAAAAGCCTACCAGGAACCAGAGGCCAAAATCTGGCCCTCTCACAGAGGCGCAGAGATCAGGGAAATCTGTGATCACCCTCCCTGAGGAACATGCCAAAGATAAAGAACAAAGCAAAATGGACAACAATAAACAAATTAGAAAATGGTTGGTGATTATTGGCAGTTGGTTAAGGTTTGTGCTGTGTGGTTTCAGTGTGCTACCATATTGCATGTTGGGGTAGGATATAGTTATATTAGAGGCTTTTACTGCTATGCAAGGACACCTTTTCTTGTCATTATCACCTTCAGCTTGAACACATGAGGGGTGTCTGAAGTGCAAGTTTGTGTTTAATGGGCTCCTGAATAATTGCCACATTTAATGTCTTTTGTGCATGCTTTTGAGGAGTGGTTAAAATCTATACATCTGAAACACTGAGTTAGATTCAATATATGTACATCTAGTTTGTGGATGTTAAGTCCACAATAGTTTAAATCCACAAGTCCAGGCAAGTCTAGTTTGTCATCCATTAATTCATACCCTATCAGATGGAGATTTGTCTATGAAAGTAGGTAGTGCTGTGCCTGTATCACTCTGTTCTCCTTCCATTTTACACATTAATTTATTCATTCTGTTGAGTGGAAGTGCAACTGCATGAAGTTCTGTTTGGCTGTCTTCTTAACTAATTTCTAAGGACAATGTTTGACTATAAGTACAATTGAAAAGTCTGTCACCTAGTAGTTCATAGCATCTCATTTTGTATCTATAGATTTCAGTAATGTCAGTGAAATTTGTAGGTTGCTCATTGTGGTTGCAGTCCCCTGAGATTAAGATTCTTGTTTATTACATCTTATGTGCTTTGATATTAAATACTTTAGGAATTCATTGTGTATGATGATTTGTGCTCTCTTATTATTAAAAACTCCTATCCATGGGTGTATTGTATTCAAAAGCAATTATGGAAGTTTTCAGAGGAGAAAATTTTTTCTTTCCTCCATGATTTGGCAAGTGTTAGAACACAGGCCACATGGGCCCCTGGGTCTCAAATAGTTTTGTTTACCCTTTGAGGATGGTTGTACAGTACTCGTCTTTTTTCCTTACTGTGATGCCTACTGTCAATGAAATCACTTTTTATATCCTCCTTGGAGGGAAAAAAATTGTCATCCATATGCCTGTCATATGTCTGTGGTTTATCTGGTTAATATCTGTTGAATATCTGGTTTCCTCAAGATATTGTAATTTTTGAATGGAGTAACACTATGCATGCCTCCAACATTACTCTTGCTCTTCTGTCTTTTCCTCTGTGAAGCTGGACTCTACAATTAGCTCTTCTTTTAGATTCTTGTAGTTTGACTTTCTGAATGGTTCACGTGTGGGGCATTCTCGAGGACATTCCATTGACTTTACATGATATTTGGGTACCCTGAGGTTGACCTTTTGGAACCATCCATGGTTCCATCGTGGAACCTGTGACTTGCCTCGCTCATTTGACTTGATCTTGTTAGTTTTGCTTCGCTCTACCTTTCTGATGATTGTTCCTTGGTGAGGGTGATAACAGATTCTCTGCTTTCTGTGTCTGTAAGGGGGTTACCTACCTTGAGGTTACCTTGAGGTGATTTCGAGGCTTAACGACCTCACGGGGGGGGGGGGTTAAGTTTTTGTCTTCTGGTTCCCAGTAGGCTTTCATTAACTCACAAGGGCCTGGTGTGACTTAACAAGTGCACGCAGTCAACCAGGGTGGCTGTTTACAGAGAGCCACAGAGGGGCCCCTGCTAGAAAGTGGCATTTCATTACTTTCATGCTGGTTTTTTGCTTTTCTTTTCAGTAAATAACATTCAACTCCCAAACTCTCCTGCTCCAGAAATTGACATCAATAAGTTTTGGGATAAAATAAATAAAGAACTGGTGGCTCGTTGTTTCCTTAAGAAAGGTAGTGTATGTGTACTTTTTAATACTTCTTTTTATATATTTAAATATATATTCCATAAATGCTTGAAAGCGAAAGCACAGCTACTGTTTGGCACATTTTTGTGCTTACTGATTTGTTTGTTACACAGTATTAAAATCTGCTTTTGCAAGTCTCTCATGGGAGAGGCTTGCACAGTTTGTGGGCATGAAATTTGAGATTGTTCACATCCGATGATGCTCTGAGTAGTGTATTAAAATATCAACATAATTGACTTAAATGTTTGTGGCAGCACATGAAATTTGCCTTAGTATTGTGCCATGTTTATGTTCATTTATCAATGAATGCAGGAATTCTTAGGCTGTTCAGTTACTTTTTGCTTTTTATTTTTAAGGAATGAGAAATCCATATAAGCTTCATCCAAGCTATAATGAATGGGCTCCCTACATTGGTCCATACACCAGAAAGTCTGATTTGGTTCATAACACGGAATATGAGAAGGTGAACAATGATAGCGAGTACCTTGCACCTGTCGCAGAGGACGTCACCCACCACTCCTACAGAAGAAATGGTACAGTAATAAATGACTAAATAAAGGTGGTAATAGTTTTGTATTATATCAAGGATTAATGATTCTTTGATTAATGATCATTAATTTGATAATGATTAATGGTAAGATTAATGATTCTAACATGAATCTTCTCAATATTTCTTATGTTTTTCTTCACTGTCGAGGAAAGTTAAAAAATTAACTCTCCAAAGTTCATTTTCACACTTTATTATGGTCTGGCGCCTAGGAATGCATTTCGCAAGGTGCTCCTTACATTCTCAAAGACAAGTTTACCGTGTTTAGCACCGGATTATATTCTCTTTGGGTGAGGTGGTAAAGAACAAGTGGATGAATGGCATATATATATACAGTATATGTATGTATGTTGTATACATACTGTACTTGATTTAAGAACATAGATGCAAAAGGAAGTCCCAAAAGCTCATTACATACTCTTCTTTCTCATTAGAGTTTTAACGTTCTTTCCTATACTAGTAATATATGTGAATATTAGACAGAAATAGGATTTGCATTTTCCTGGCAGTGATATTTTTTTAGGCTTGTTTTAATTACCTATCATAATTGCTAAAAAAAAAAAGTCAATAAACATAAAATAATGTGTTTAATCTCTAGGTGGTTGGGTGTTTTCAAGTTGCCCTCATAATGTTACATATGCGCTGAAGTGCCTGCTGAAACCAGAGTCCCCGAGTGACTACGTCGATATCTTAGCCTCGCTCAAACACGTCCCAACTGTCAATTTAGCCAACAAAGCCAGTAACATTGCCAAGGTGGCAGACAAGCTTGTTCCAGGTATGTCAATGTGCACTTGAGTATTATTGTATAAAGAACTGATATTTATTGTAAACCATATTAAATTTTATTTATAAAAGTACAACACATATACATGTAAAACATATAAGTGAATTGTTGGAAAAGTTAATTGATGAACATTATTTTGGCAAGAGTCATTGCACACATTTGGGAGTCATTTGGGGGCCGGTGGCTGAGTGGACGGCATACTTAACAGGTAATCCTGTGGTCTAGGGTTTGATTCCCAGCGTCGGTGAGAAACAACGGGCAGAGTTTTTCATCCTGATGACCCTGTTACCTAGCAGTAAATAGGTACTTGGGAGTTAGACAGCCATTACGGTCTGCTTCCTGGGTGGGTGTGTGTGTGAAAAAATAATAATTAGTTAGTAACAGTTGATTGACAGTTGAGAGGCAGGCCGAAAGAGCAGAGCTCAACCCCCGCAAGCACAACTAAGTGAATGCAGGCATCATTAATAATAATTATTATTATTATTATTATTATTATTATTATTATTATTATTATTGTTATTATTATTATTATTATTATTATTATTATAAATGATGCCTGTATTCACGTAGTTGTCTTTGCGGAGGTTGAGCTTTGGTTCAGCCTCTCACCTGTCAATCAACTGGTGTACAGATTCCTGAGTCTTAGCTAAGTTAGCTAAGAACTATCCAAATATTTTGGCTTAATATTAAAATTATTAAGATATTTGGCTAACATAATATAAAAAATTAAGTTAGCTAAGAAATATCAAAATATTTTGCTATAACATTTCAAATCAAAGCTCCACACATTCTGTCAAGTGAACATCTTGCAGGTAAATTAGGACTTTCTTTAATTACATGTCACTGTAACCTAACTTCTAAGAGGTGGGACAAGCTCTAAAATGGCAGCAGCCGTTATTATTATGTAATTATAAATACAAAGCTTTTGCGTACAGTATTTAAGAAGTACCAGTACGTATTTAATTTATATACCAATTACAGGCATCTTTGGGCCACATGAAGGAAGACTATCTATGGCTACATACGACAATATGAAGGCAGCTCAAGATGGGTCGCTAGAGGTACACTTGCACTTCATGAGTGATGACCGTCCAAAACAAACATCTAATCCAGATGAGCATCCTATCACAGGAACGAGCATGCGTTTCATGCTCTTCGATTCATTTCACCAAGAGAACTCTAAGGCACCAGAAGAGGTCTTGAGGAGGTGTTCCCTTGTGCCAGAAATCCGAGCATTTGTAAATACACAGGCAGCTAAGCAGATAAGCCGCATGACATCTTTAGATGCTTACTGGTTAAATGAACTTGGCCCCAGTCACCATATGTTTGCATTTCGCTTGATTACACATCTCAGAAACCAAACCATTAATGAGATAGCACGGAAAAAACAGTCAGCAGTGTTTCATACTGTTAAGCGGAATACAATGGGTCAGTTTGTTGATGGATCCAACACCAGTTTAGTACACGTTCCAGAGTAAATAAACCTTGCAACTATGATTTATACTAATGTTGAGGCATATCCTACATCATCAAATAGTCTTGCTGGAATCATTGCAAGTATCAGTCCAGCCAGTACCTCTGGCTTCAACCTGTTTGAAAGAACATATACGAGCTAGCAAGTCAGAAGAGATGTTTCATGCTGTATGCTTATCTCTACCCAGTAAGACTGAAGATGAACCCCATTGAACCTAAGACTGGAGGCCTATGACCTAGAGTACAAAAATAGGCATTGTTGAATAGTACTGATGATATCATGAGCAAAATAGACACTCGATGTCACAGTACTTCACAATGTGAATTAAACACAGAAATCACAATGGCGTGATGCATCAAATGAACAAATCCACAAGGGCCGTGAGGATTAAGTCGATTATGATTTCGAGGCAGCGTCAGCGATACTCTTGGATGTAGGTTCGAACCCTCGTCACGGCCCTTGTTGATTTGTTCAATGTGAATTAAATGCTATTTCTAATGGTTTGGGCTCTGTGTTACTTGTCTGAAAATATAGAATTACAAGAAACAATCTACAAACCCCTCAAAATTACACATGAAAACTGAATTTCAATAGTTTTGTATTTACAAGTCCATTATGATGCCTTGTTAAAAATAGACTCCACCCCTGTAGCAATACCAAATTTTGCAGGAGAGAATGTTCTCACCCAAAACAAATATGAAACTGAAACAATAGCAAAAAAAAACAAAGTTTTTTGTTTTGTTTTCAAGATATTGACCTGTTCAATTTTCAGATCTTACACCATAAGAAAGGCAGAAGTGAATTTCAAATTAGCTAGTTTATACTGATGATGTGGAAAGAACCTTGCAAGGTCATCTTCTTAAAGAAGAATTAGTTGAAGTCAGACCTGAATGTGTATCATGAAGAACATCAGAATGGTGTGTAAATATGAAGGAAGTAAAAGGACCATTTAGCAGCCATATTTGGCAGCAGTTCTGAACATATTGGAACTTAAAAATAAGTGGGCTTACACTACACATGTAATACAGTATTTGGAAAGAATAATTTACCATGATGTGGAATTTATGGCTTGAGTGGGCACATTTACTGTGCACAGTTATGATGACATCCAAAACAGGAATCATTGTTACTGACCCTGTCACTGAAGGAAACTTGGTGAAATATGTAGCCACTTGTGCTGCTCCTCTGCACACTTGACAGTTTGTCTCTTGCCATCGTCCACCATTTGCACCTGACACTTTCACGATGTCTTGGTTTACAGTTCCACCTCACTTGGTTGTTATCCAACTGGTAGTATTTTTATTTGTTTCCACATGATTTGTTGTGCTTTGCTGCCAACTCATCCTTCCATCCTTCACTAACCAAGGTCAATGAGTCAAGGAGTTCTACCTCCAACGCTTAATGAAACCCTGATTGAGCTTCATTGGAAACCTCAGGAGCCCTAGAGGATACAGTTGAATCCAAGGTTGCATTGCTATTGATCATGTCGTGGTGTGGTGGTCTAGGGCACGTGCTTGGGAGTACCAAGTGTATATTAGGGACACGAATATATTTGAGCATTCCGATGTTCCATACATTTTATTACATAATTTTATCGAATGACACACTATTGAATAATATTACTGCAAAAGAAAAACAGATAGCAAATCAGAAACATTGAAATGAATATGTAAAAATATGTTCACAACAACTCCTGGCCCAGAGTGACCACTATGGGGCAGTGGGTCCATGAATGCTTGTCATGAAGGCATCGCGAGAGTTCCTAGCTTCACCATGCCTAAAGTAATCTACATATTTTTTATTGTGTATGATCATTTTGTCAATATTAGAAAGAACCAAATTTTTAGGAAGTTTTTTCTTGTGCACAGCGGTGTTGTCAGGTATAAAAGAGATGCAGGGCAGGAGTTGAAAGGTGAGTAGTTTGCTGTTTTCCTGTTACTTTTATGTTTCTTCACAATGCTTCAGTAATCCATTTCTAATTGTTATTTCATCAATGACACACTGTGTGTGCCAGGAACATATGAGATACTCTCTGAGTAAGCTTATTTCTGTAATTACCAAAGTGTAGTTACAGGATGAGAGCTGTGCTCATGGTTTCCTTTCTTCCCAGCACTCTGTCATATAATGCCTTGTAACTACTGACCGTTTTGGTCTCCACCACCTCACTTAACTTATTCCAAATGTCTACCACTCTGTTTGCAAGAGTAAACGTTCTTATATTTGTTTGGCAGCTTTGTTTAGTCAGTTTAAATCTATGACAATTTGTTCTTGAAGTTTCATGTCTCAGGAATTCTTCCCTATCAGTTTTATTGATTCCCGTTATTATTTTGTACATAGTGATAATTTTGGCTCTTTTCGTCTATATTCTAGTTTGACATATTTAATGCCTCTAACCTCTCCTTGTAGCTCTTGTCCTTCAGTTCCAGGAGCCATTTAGTTGCATGTCTTTGCACCTTTTCCAGTTTGTTGATATGCTTCTTAAGATGTGGGCACCATACAATTGCTGCACATTCCAACTTTGGTCTAACAAAGGTCATGACCAATTTCTTTAGTAATTGTTCACTTACTACATCTCTGGCATTACGTGATCGCTTTGTCCTGGGTTCGTATCCTGGCCCGGGGAGGATTTACTGGGCACCAATCCTTAACTGTAGCCTCTGTTTACCTAACAGTAAAATGGGTACTTGGTTGTTAAACGCTTTGGCGAGGTCGTATTCCGAGGAACATAGGATTAAGGACTTGCCCGAAATGCTATGCATGCTAGTGGTTGTGCAAGAATGTAAGATCTCCTGTATATATATATATAAATAAATATAAAATAAATAAATAGTATTTCACCATCCATGTACTGTATTTAAAAGCAATTCTGAAATTGGAAAGTGTAGCATAGATTCCTCGCGTGATGTTCTTTATGTTGTCCTCTAGGTGATAGTTTTCTATCTAGTCCCGTGTGTGGGCGAGCCTTCTGGACACAGATTGGTCTCATCCTTCTTCATCTGACACACAGCCACCGACTTTCGACCTCATATATTGAAGTCATGGTCATCTTCGACTACAAAGGACGAACATTATCGTTGTACTGTAATTAAATCACTACCTTTGTCTCTTATAAATTTCAGGCAGATTAATATTGTTTGTAACTAGTTTACCAGTATATTTTATAGAAAGCCAAGTAAACTAACTAATTATTGTTGCATTTCCTTCCTTCATTCAAGTAAACATGTGGTCTGGAAAAGGCATCGATGCCGGCCAACACCTGAATCTTTTGTTCTGTTATGAAAGGAAAGTGCAGTGCCCATAGGGCCATCTATACAGCTAAGCGTGAGAATTAGAAATTATAAGTCTCTACTATTATTGTTGTCACCCTGGTGTCAACCGGGGTGGCGACTCACCCCGGGACCTCCATTGTCTTCACCGGGACAAACCGGTGAGGAGTCGGTGGCTGAGCGGACAGAACACTGGGTGCGTGATCCTGTGGTCCCGGGTTCGATCCCGGGTGCCAGCGAGAAACAATGGACAGAGTTTCTTTCACCCTGATGCCCCTGTTACCTAGCCGTAAATAGGTACCTGGGAGTTAGCTGTCACGGGCTGCTTCCTGGGGGTGGAGGCTTGGTTGAGGACCAGGCTGCGGGGACACTAAGCCCCGAAATCATCTCAAGATAACCCCCTCTCTCCCTCATGTCCTGAAAAATCCAAAAATGTATGGGTAAATTTGTTCCAGACATAACTACAGTACAGTGTTGTCCAAGTCCGTGACTGATCCTGTGTTTGTCGCAAATGAAATGGGTTCGTACTTTTCAGCTGTTGGCTCTGGTGCTCATCTTTCTCCTACTTTCCATACTCATAAGCACGTTACTACATCTTGCCCCCTTGAACTTTCTCACTCTCCTCTAATTCCCCTATAACGAACTCCAGTCTGCCTTGTCCCCTCTGCAATTCTGTGGCGGCTGGCTCAGACGGTATCCACCATGAGATATGCTAACATTTCTGTGTGGCTTTTAACATTTGCTACATAGTTTATATCCGCATTTGGAAGAAATTGGTAGCTAAGGACTGGCTCGAGGCAGCTGTCATTCCCATTAGAAGACTCAGTACTCGATGGACTTCATTCTACAGATCACCCCATTGCCCTGACGATGGAAATAGGGCAAAACTTTAAACATATGGTTAATGTATGTTTCAAGTAGTTCTTAGAATACTATTGCTACCCCTCCCCTCTTAGTTTAGCTTTTGCAGAGCCCATCCTTTTTTTTTTTTTTTCCTTTTCAAATACCACCCACAAGGATGGGTATGGGGTATGTAACACCCGTGACCTCCCCCCCCCTCCTTAAGAGTTCACACCCAGGGAAGCCTTCTCCAAGAGGTCAGCCCAGATGACCTCCAGTTTATCTTGTATATTGATTAAAATTTCCTGGGTTAGTCTTAGTCAGCATAGTTTCAAGTATGTAATATTTCATGCAAGAGAATTAGACTCCAGATTCTTATGTGTAAACATCCTTGGATCTCCCCCTTTTGGCCAGGTCAGAGGTCAGCCACACACGTAATTAATAACTCCTCTCTTGAAGAGTGTATGGTGAATGTCAAACAAGCTTATTGAAATATTTCTTGAGTGTTTGTACATTCTTGGTGGGTAGCAACAGCAGATCTTCCCCTCCCTCTGTGGGGGTTGTATATAGAGGTCCTGTAGGGACTTAGGAAACTCAGAGTGTCGGACACCGGGGTCCAGAGAGGGCTGTGAAGAACATCTCAGCCAGGGAGAGACAGGTTTTAAGGTAATGTGTGTGATCTCTGAGGTTTTGTTCCATGTCCAAATTTCTTAACTTTTTGCCAGTGTTAGAGTAGGATTTATAAGTGGTGATTGACATAATTTTGGTCTCAATAAACTCATTTTTAAATTTCCCGTCTGTGTCAGTTGTTGAATCCTCTTAGCCTTTTGGATATAGTGGCTGTCAACCGTTTTCATAATTAATGACAGTCATAGAAAGTACTCTCCACGTCAAGCAATGTTTCTTGCCTCGTTGCTTGATATAGTCTCAATGGTCAAAGGCAGATGGTGGCAGCGTATTTAATCCGGTGTTAGCATTTCCTTGTCGGCAGTGTACCTTTGGTTCCGGTGTAACCATCATATGTCAGCTCATAACAGTGTTACCAAGTGCAACCAATGGGGAAGTGTTACTCAGGATAAGTAGTGTTCCATTATAGGAGGTGTTACAATTGGTGGTGTTACAAGTTAGGAGGTGTTACAGGTACACTACTGCCCACAGGATGGTTGAGGTGTGTATAATAAGCTTATATATTGTTTTCATAATTTGTAAATTATTCCCGATACGCTCTGCTTATTAATTAGTGGCTTTAGGCTCTGTACTTTTGTTACTTATGAATCCTCCACTGTTCATGTGTTGCTTTAATGTATTTACTCTTGCCTAAATGAACATAATAATAATTATTATTATTATTATAGTAAATAAGCTAAGTCCCTCAGATGTCATCTTTCATCAAACACGATTTATGACAGTTTATTTGACAAAATTTAGAGCATGCCTATATCTTGAAATCCCCCCCACGGTGTGAACATGTCTGGCGAGTGTAGTGCTGACCAACTCGATTGATTGATGAAGATTAAGCCACCCAAAAGGTGGCACGGGCATGAATAGCCCATAAGTGGTGCTCCTTTTGAGCCATTATCAGTATCAATAGATACTGGAGATCTGTGGAGGTGCGACTGCACCCTGCTTGACGGGAGATGTCTCCCGTCCCTGACCAACTCCACACTAATATGGTCAAATATTCCTGGCTGCTCGTGACGCTCACACACATGCGTGACTTGACCCTGGTATACTGAACATATTAATCCACCGTTCATATTGTAATTTATATCACTCATAATATATGTCACTTAGGGCTAAAAATATACCTCGTCCTTGTCCTTAAGTTGTACTTTACTAATAGTTACTTGGCGCTAAAATAGTTTATATTAACAAACTTGTGTACACACTGCAATGTACATGCTGCTACCCTATTCCATATTATAAATCTCTGGTGTGCCCCCACTTACTGTGTCCAAGTATGGAGACCTCATTTTCAGAAGAAGCTCTGGAGAAGGTGCAACACCGGGCAACAACAGTCATTCCAGAGGTAAGTCAACTCTCGTACCAGGAACGCTTGAAGGCCACAGGGCTAACAACACTACAAACCAGGCATGACAGGGCAGATCTCATTGAGACTTTTAGAATACTGAAGAGGTTGGAGGTTGTTGCTTCAGATGTTTTCTTCAGAAGGTCAGGTCATAAACAAGGAGTACCGGTTTCAAGCTTAACAAACCACAATGCAGGACTGAGAAAATGAAATGCTTTTTCACCCACAGGGTTATTAACCCATGGAACCGCCTACCCGCCGAAGCCGTAACTGCTGAATTTCAAAATATCCCTGGAAAAGATCAAGGGAAATGTGGGGTGGGGGGGGAGGACCGTCGACAAGCCGCTGGCTTCCTGTGCTCGTCGAGGCCACTAAGGTTAATGGTCCTCGGATTAAAAAAATGGGATTACAGTGTTGAGAGAGCCAGCTAAGAGTTCATCTGATATCCCACTCGCCGTACGATTAGTCATGCATAGTCAGGAGAGAAGATGGGATGAGAGACTAGTGTACTAGCCTGCACTAGCACACACTAGGTAGAGCACAAGAATATTACTGTCACACTGACTAGTGCATGTTTTATGCTGTCCGAATATATAGTTCTCAACTGTAAACATAGCATAAGTCTTTATGTCCACGCTTTCTGAGGGAGAGAATGTCTGGGAGGTATGAGGAAGCATCAGTGTGTTGCTGACCTTCACCATGGACACACCCTCACAGTCTTCCTCCCTCCTGCTGCTGCTGCTGCTGCTGACTCCTCTCCAAGCTCAAGGTCACACGCTTGTTTGTTGCACACTCTTTCCTAGTCATTGGTGTAAATTTGTGTTGCTTTTCAGACAAGAGAAAGAGTAGGTCATGCGGTCAATGCCAGGCTGTGGAAATATTTCCGAGAATGTGTAATATTTTATGGCTGTAGTTTATTGTCTGGGTTGAATTTGTTAATTATGGTTCCTTCTACCCCTAGCTGTGGGCAGTAGCGAATAGGTTCAACATAGTCACCTATTTGATTATTGGTGAAGTCACGTATTGTCGCCATCGGCGGCTTAATTTGAGAAAGGGACGGAGATGAAGAAACTCTCTGAAGCTGTGGGAGAATCAAATCAAATGTTTATTCAGGTAAAAGTACATACATAGAAGATGAGTTACAAACATAATGTTGGATTTCTAGATAGAGCTAATACATACAATGCCTAAAGCCACTAATATGCACAGCGTTTCGGGCAAGGTGTGGGGAAAAACACTTAGACTAAAACTTAATACTAATTGAGATCAAAGCATAAATTCAGATGAAAAGGGGGGGGGGAAACATGGCGGAAATCAGTAATTATACAAGATGGACAACAAACAGTATTGTTTGAAAATAACAAGACATGGGCTGACATTTAGGGGGTAAGGTGGATCACATGGAGTGTATTAGGTAGTACTTGGTTTTTCTCTTTAACTGGTTGAGAGAGGTACAGCCTTTGACGTGATTGGGGAGGTCATTCCACATTCTGGGTCCCTTGATTTGTAGAGCATTTCTAGTTTTGTTAAGTCACACTCTTGGAATATCAAATAGGTATTTGTTTTTGGTGTGGTGCCCATGGGTTCTGTTACAAACTTCTAGGAAGAGTGTAAGGTCAGGATTGTCATTACAGTTCAGAGTTTTAAGTATGTAAGAGTACAATTGTTTTTTTAATCATCTGTTTTATGCTACTACATCCAAAGTATGAATAGCAGAAAACCAGTGTTAATTTTACCGAGATCAGTGAATAATAATGTATATTACTATACGAAAAAATTGTTTTAGAATTTTTGTTTTCAAAATATTTAGCTAGGTGAAGCTGGCGGAAAGTGTCAACAATCGTTGTGGAAGTCAGAATATGTGACCCTGGCACGCCGTTCCCCAAGAATTCTGGCGTCCCTGACAAGCCTATCTCCGTCACATTCCCCAGACCATTGCCCCTGTAAAGTTGCATGACGCTAGTCCTAAGCATCTTACCTACAACCTTTAACAGACAACAAACAGGCGTTCTGTCATATAGATATGGACTGGAAGCTCCCATGCGGATGTACACACATTGTGGCAGAGCTAATGAGTTAGCCAAGTAATCTGCCTTTAAAGGAGAAATTGAGTATAACCTTGGATTGCCAATAAACAGTCTGAGAGCAATAGTACACCAAGAACTTCAACAAAATCTTGCAGCTCTGAGGCAAAGTGAAATCGACACCAGTAATTGCATCTATCATCATGCTATCATGCAAGAAGAGCCACACATTTATGGATCATCCAATAAAATCAGCAGACTCCAGATGTTACTACTGCTCGGCTTAGACTCCTCGACTATAAGTATCCCTAAACATACCAACTGTCACACTACCTCTCCACTTACGTCAGTTGCTTAATTTAGAAACTGTACTTATGGTCGGCCTCGAGCCCATTGAGGATGTGACGATGTGCATTGAATGTTGTAACTAGTTCATTAAGATTGTAACTTGCTTAGCTAAATAAATTGTGGGGTTCAGTCCCTGAGCCTATTGTGTCCCTCTGTAACCTTTTTCACTACCGCCCACAGGATGGGTATGGAGTGCATAATAAATGAACTAAACTAAAACATTAACTTGTAACATCTGACTTGGCTTTGTTATACAGCCCGTCCTCCGAACAAAGACCCAAAATCCATTCCATCTACCCGCCAAACCCCCATCTGTTTATGAATGAAAAACGGGTTACACACGACTCACAACTGATGACGTCCGAACACTTTCGGAACAAGTGCTTCACTGACGACTTTTGTTCGAATCACAACGCTGTAAATGCTTCACACATGTACAACAAATACAAATAATCGCCATCAGAACTTAAACACCTAACCTAACCAATGCCAATACAGGTATGTGCACAATATGCTAATATATTATAATACTAATTTATATTTGAGAAAACTTCCGTTTTGAATGAACAGCATGTAAAAAATTATGAATGCGTCTGAGGGTCGATTGCTGGATATAATGGACTTGAGTCTAGGACGGGTTGCTATAAATGCTTCACCACGTACTACAGATTAGATTAGATTAGATTTTTATTCAGGTAAAGGAACATACATATATTAAGGATGAGTTACAAACATAATGTTGGATTTAAAGATAGAGCTAGTACATCCAATACCTAGAGCCACTAGCCACTAGATGTACATGTATTGTACAAATATAAATAATTGCCAATAGAACATAAACACCTAACCAGTGCCTAAAAATTATCATTTATATTTGAGTAAGGTTCAGATTTGAATGAAGAGAATGTTAGAATTGATCTTTGGGGTCGACCACTGGATAGAATGGACTTGGTCCCAGGACGGGTTGTGTTATAAGCAACCCGTCCTCGACTCAAGTCCATTACATTCAGCGGTCGACCCCACAGACGCATTCATAAATTTTAACGTGCTGTTCATTCAAAACGGGAATTTTCACAAGTATAAATTAATATTATAATATATTGGCATATTATGTATATATAGGCATAGGATAGGTTAGGTTAGGTGTTTAGGTTCTGGTGACGATTACTTGTATTTGTAGTACGTGGGTGAAGCATTTGTAGCGTTGTGATTCGAACAAAATTCGTCAGTGAAGCACTTGTTCCGGATATGTTCGAACGTCAGCAGTTGTGAGTCGTGTGTAAACCGCTTTTCATTCATAAACAAGGGGTTTGGCGGGTGCATGGAATCACTTTTGGATCTTTGTTTGGAGGATGGGCTGGTTATAAGTGTGAGCGTAGACGTACATCGTGCAGCCCGTAATCCAAACAAAGACCCAAAAGTGATTCCATGTACCCGCCAAACCCCCTGTTTATGAATGAAAAACGGTTTACACACGACTCACAACTGATGATGTTCGAACACTTCCGGAACAAGTGTATTACTGACGAATTCTGTTCGAACCACAACGCTATAAATGCTTCACCGCGTACTATAAATACAAATAATCGCTAACAGAACATAAACACCTAACCTAACCTATACCTATATACGCACAATATGCTACTATATTATAATATTAATTTATATTTGAGAAAATTCCAGTTTTGGATGAACAACATGTATGAATGCGTCTGTGGGGTCGACCGCTGGATGTAATATAAATGGACTTGGGTCGAGGACGGGTTGACATTGTAACACTGGGGACACATATGAGACTACGAACAGAGGTCAAAGCTACTCTCCTGTGACAAATGTAGCTGACACGGTGTCTTGCATCTGCAGGAGGCCGCCGGGAGTGTAATCCTCGGAGCTTCGGGTCTGACAGTGTGGTGTGTGTGTGTGACGCCAGCTACTGTGACCTGCCAGGCCGGTTGACCTTACCTGACCCAGGACACTACACCGTCGTCACCTCCTCCAGGGAGGGACTCAGGTTCCACACCGACACTCGGGAACTGGAAGACAAGCCAACAGCTGGTGAGTTTAACCAACGCCTGTCTTAATTTTAATTTTTAATTTTGCCCGGAGGGGCAAGTTTATTGGGCAGCGACACTCATCTTGTGAGTGGACATACCGCCATAGCAGCATGTACAACACTCCCCAAAAGGAAGAAAACCCGCTGGGTTGTTCATCCTGTCACTTGTACCCAGACACAGCTGGGCTTGTCTTAACAAAATTAACAGCAATGTGTATTGTGCATCCTTGGTCCTTGTTTGACGGCACTATTGATGATTTAACAAAGCTTTAAGATATGACTCATGCTCTGAAGACACCACCGCCACCCTACAGGTGAGTAATGTTCACTCGGGTTACCAGTTATTTTCAGATGTTTTAATTTTTTTTTTTTTGTATCGGAGAATTAATATCAATGTTTTGAACCTGTTGTCTGGCACAGTATTAAGTGGAGTTTACTGCATAGTTTGTGACCGGACAATCCTTAGTCACTTAGGCCTATACTTTGTAATAGTCACCTAGGCCTATACTTTGTAGCATAGTCACCTAGACCTATACTTTATAGCATAGTCACCTAGGCCTATACTTTGTAGCATAGTCACCTAGGCCTATACTTTGTAGCATAGTCACCCAGGCCTATACTCTATAGCTTAGATTGCAGCTGATGTTTACTAAACGGTCAACTTTTGGAGGAGGGACTTAGTCATTTTTCGGCACCCTACGTCATCGTTCTATGACGTTTCATAACAATAAACACAAATTTCTCAGTTAATACCGCGAGTTTCTCCATGGATTTTATAGTGATCGAAAGGACATATAATAGTATAGATTTTATATTCATAGCAATCTTAATACGTGACGTTTTAATGTCTATCGACGAGTGATAGGAACGTTGACATAAATTATCTATTATTTGCAAGAATGAATTTTATTTTATTTATTTATATATAAGAATATATATATTGAGTTGAGGAAGTGTATACATTGCAGTTTGAGTGTAACATTCTTGCAAAGGCACTAACACGCAGTGTAAGCAAAATAACAAAGGCAGGAATACAATGGTTTTAACATACGAATACCTTAACGTATTACACATCATCAGAAAGACTGACGCAAATATTCTACAATATAACCATTGTTACGAGTCAATCCATTGTTTAAGTGAGAGTACATTATAGCAAGTTGCACAACAATAACATGCGCATGTCGTTCAGGAAATGAGAGTATAGACTTTCTTGCCAGTGCGCCGTACCTCGAGTGCGTTCGTTCCTTGCTGGGAACAATGACATGATCTCTTGCCAGCTGGGTAGAGTGTCTATAGCCTACCCCGCCAGACACAGCTGCGTCTCGGCACAGAACCAGTGTGACCTTCTCAACCACACCCCTTCCCCCCCAAGCAGTCTTCAGGTTAGGTTAAAAACAAAACACATACAGTAATGCGCATGGTGAAGGCGCGGCGCAGTGGATGGCGCGTCATTTGGACGGTCATAGTAAACACAGTCGGGTCAGACCTGTGACGACTTGGTTAGCCATGTTGAGAAGAGACATGAGGACACAGGTTAAGAGAGGAAACATGAAGACACATCGTCGTCTTCTCATCTGATGTGTGGTTTAGTTCCCATAACACTCACATATCTCTCTTTAAACTACACCTAATCTTATTCTAAATTATTCAAAGTGAAGATGAGTCTGTGACCTTTCACATGATATACATTGATAAGCTTTTACAATATCTGAGAAATACTTGTACACCGGGAGTGTATAGTGTGTGACGTCACACACCTGATATTAGTGTGGGGTGTTCCATACATGTCAACCTTCGCGGGTTCCCACACACTCAATGTCTTCACAACACATTTCATTCGTAATGTCGTTCTTGACCGCAAGTGTACTTCCGTCGTTGCCTCAGAGGTGTGTAATATTATAGTTTATCAGTGATTAAACAGCATATTGTAAGAAAAGAATCTTTTTCTTAATTAAGTTGTAGGCCTAGTTGATTATCGTAGGTTACAAAAATCCAGTTAAGCTAGAAATATTAGGTCTGTGGCGCAGTAGTAGCATACCCACAGCACGAGCGAGTTTGTGTGGGTTGGAGCTCTGTCCAGGGAGGCTTGACAAAGCACCAGACCTTAATCATTCACTCTGTTCCCCCAGCAATAATAGTGAATATGGTTGTAAACAGATTGGCAAGTCGTGTTCCAGGGAAAACCTTGTAGGATAAGGCTATGGAAAGAGAAAGCTCTAAGTCTGCTAACAGGAGTCGGTAGCTTCTGAACATACCAGAGTGGGAAAAAGAGTAATACAGTAAATACATATCCTTCGACAAGCCGCCGGCTTCCTGCCCTCGCCGAGGCCAGTAGTGAGGATGGTGGCCCTCGAGTAAATTCGGGTAAAGATGTGAGGGGTTACCGTCAGGTTCGGCGAGGCTGGTGCTGGATGTGAACGATCTTGGCCAGACGATGCTGGGGTTCGGGGGCGCCTTCACCGACGCCGCCGGGATCAACATGGCTGGACTCTCAGCCCCCGCCCAGGACCTGCTGCTCAGGTATGTCCACCATTACACTACTCTCACCCCCTCCCACTTGGGCTGGACGGTAGAGCGACGGCCTCGCTTCATGCAGGTCGGTGCTCAATCCCCCGACCGTCCAAGAGATTGGGCACCATTCCCTTCCCCCGTCCATCCCCAACCCTTATCCTGACCCTTTCCAACTGCTATACAGTCGTAATTGTTTGGCGCTTTCCCTTGATAGTTCCTTCCTTCACCCCCCCCCCCCCCCCAGCCCCCCGCCCAGGACCTGCTGCTCCTGGGCGGAGAGCGCACCTGCTTCAGGCATGTCCACCACTATTCTACTCTCACACGCTACTCAAACTTCCCTTAAGATGGTATGTAAGGAAAAAGTAGATAGTGGCAGAAATTATATACCCATAGTAGATAATTGAAGAAATTATGTATCGGTAAATATATATATATAGAGGTGTAAATTATTTATTCTCAGTAGTTAAAATGAGAAATTATATATGCAGAGATAAAAAAAAGCTTGACATAATGTACCTCTACACTAATTTATTCCTTACAAGAGTTTACATTAGTAAACTTGCAGGGTTTGCTGTCCCCTCGCAGGCTCAACACACGTTATTAACTGTATGTCCTTCAGTTGGTAGCCCTGTACTCCAGGGAAACCATGTAACCTGCTCTCAACTTGGCTAAGTTAATGAGGCGAACCATGGTTGACGACGGTGTGTTAGAGCACCCATACACAGTCTCGGTGATAGCCAACAGTCATGTTCTAAACTTGATCACTGTGGCTTCACCGTGGAGAGGGGGGGGGACCTGCTGCCTGGGTGACAGCTTCTCCCCCGAATCAACCTGCCCTGGGGAGGCCACTCCAGACCAGGCCGACGCCAGTGCGCAAGTCCATAGTCTCCTGGGACTGATGGATGCCTACTACTTTAGTAATCAGTGATGAACTAGTATTTTTAGTATCCACGGACCCCATACTGAAGCTATATGAAACAACAATAACTGTCTCTGAGTGCCCCCAGGTCCTACTTCGACCCCGAGGGTGTGGAGTACGAGCTCTGCCGCGTACCCATCGCTGGCACGGACTTCTCCGTCAGGCCCTACTCCTACAACGACGATGTCGAAGACGATATCAACCTTGAGCACTTCGCCTTGGCCGAGGAAGACAGATTATATAAGGTTTGCTTCTGATACACAATTAATTACTTTACATTAGTCGTGTTCGCTTTATTTAAAAAAAAATTATGTCTACCTTACAGGACTCCAAACACAGCTTTCGTTATTTAACAGTTCACTAATAAACACAATTTAGCAACAATAATGTTTGGTTATAGAAGGTACCACGTAACATGTGTGGTACATTAAGTGGTGACCAAATCCACAAGGGCCGTGACGAGGATTCGAACGTGACGAGGATCTCTGTGTGATGATGTAAGGGCGAAGAGGGAGAACGGCCTGTTGACATAGCTCGGGTGCAGGGGGGGGGGGGTTGTGTAAAAGCCTGGTTTGTGCCTGGGAGAGGCTACGGGATCCAGTAAGTTCAGTAGAACTTCGGTTTCAACCCTTTTACCCTGTCGTAGCTCAGTCGATTAAGGCAGTGTCTGGGATGCTCCCGGACGCAGGTTCGAATTCTCGTCACGGCCCTTGTGGATTTGTTCATTTGATGCATCGCGTTAGTGTGATGTCTGTGTGTGATTAAGTGGTGACAATTGTCGGGAGTAGTTACTGTAGCAGAGTGTGGTGTGTAGGTGCCGGTGATCCTGCGGGCACAGGAGCTGTCGGAGCGGCCGCTGCGGCTCCTGGCCTCCCCCTGGGCGCCCCCGGCCTGGATGAAGACCAACGGTAAGCTCAACGAGTCCGGGGAGCTCCTCCCGGAGATGAGGCAGCCCTGGTCACACTACTTGGTCAGGTATGTCGTAGCCACAGTCTTTACTGCCTTATATCAAATTAATTTAAATATAAATAAAAATTTTTATTCAGTTCTCAAACTCAACTCATTTCTGCATATGAAAATTGGTGGGATGGCTGACAAGCATATACTATATATTGGAGTCCAGATGCTTAGGGCTATTAAGGGTTATTCATGCCCATGCCGCCTCTTTCCTGGCTTAATTTTTATCAATCAATCAATCAATCTTGGGGGATAACCTCACCTTACGTTGCAGGGTGACTGGTTAATGTGTGGGGATAGTCATGGGCAGCTTGGGGGGGGGGGTTCGCCACCATCTCTTTAATGGCCTCGACGAGGACAGGAAGCCGGCGGCTTGTCAAAGGCACCCCCATATTTACCCTGATGATTTGTTTCCAGTTGGATTTTAAAATGTAACGGAGTTTTGGCATTTATGGCTTTGGTGAGTATGAGCGTCCATGGGTTTATAACCCTGTGAGTGAAGAAGCATCTCCTGTTCTCAGTCCTGCATTGTGGCTTGTTGACCTTGAAACTGTTGCTCCTTATGCATGCGATGAGTCACAATAACGTGGCAAAAGTATGTTGACCAGACCACACACTAGAAGGTGAAGGGACGACGACGTTTCGGTCCGTCCTGGACCATTCTCAAGTCGATTGTGAGAATGGTCCAGGACGGACCGAAACGTCGTCGTCCCTTCACCTCCTAGTGTGTGGTTTGGTCAACGTTGCTCCTTGTTTGTGTTACATCTGACCTTATGCAGAAATTGTCCGGATCAACGTCCTTCAAATTGTTCAGTATTGTAAAATGTTCAGTGAGATCCATCCTGTCGTGCCTGGTTTAGTGTTGTTACCCATGTGGCCATCAAGCGTTCCTGATACGAGAGTTGACTTAGTTTTGAAAATATTCTTGTTGCCCGGTGTTGCACTTTCTCCGGAGCAGCTATGACTTTCTGAAGATAAGGTCTCCATGCCTGGATACAGTTATCCAAGTGGAGGCGCATCTTGATGGGTGCTATCCACCGGCCTTGAGAGAATAAGTGGAGTGCTTGAGTTCATATGTTTCTGGCTAGGCATTTTGTGTAGCCATAACAGTTGTCTAGCTATAAAGAAGTTGTTTACTGCTAGGTGAACAGAGGCATCAGGTGAAATAAAACGCTGGCCAAAAAATCGTGACAAGATAATGGAGACAACGTTAAGGTACTAGACAAAGGTGGTGTGTGGAAGGTGGCAGTGAAAGGCACAGTACCAGCGGTGACAACAGTGCAGGTTGAGAGGCGGGACCAAAGAGCTGAAACTCAACCCCGCCGCAAGCACAACTAGGTGAGGTGGTAAGGTTATGAGGGCAGTAGTAGACCAGGCATCGTTGCACCTTATCTCACCTGACTCCCTGATAGCGGCCACAATATACCAGTTAATACAGAGTACATGTTCAGAGAACCTTACTATCACTGGCTGATAAGTTAATCAGATGTAACTTCTTTACTGTAACCTTGATCTTCCTGGACGGGTTGTCTTCCTAGACAACCCGTCATCGTTAGTGCCATCGTTATTGGTCCCGTCTACCTTCCTGTGGTGTTAAATACAGTGGTAGTTAGCACCACCACTGTATTTAACACCACCACTACCACATGCAGTTTGCCCGTATGGCCGAATATGGACGTAATTTGAAAATGAATAAAATTGAAAATAAATTTTGGATTTTTTTTTTCCAAAACAGTAAGTTAAGGGTCCTCTGGTAGGTTAGGTGGGCAGGAAATTCTCCTTACGTTTCAAAACGTCATGAAATATGTTAATTGAAAGTTTCCTCTCCTAACCTTTCCGAGTAAGCCAGAGGACTCAAACAGAAAACGGGACAGTACATCACTTTCGTGAGCCGATTTCATTTAAAATTACATCCATTTTTGGCCATAGTGCGCGCATACACGCGAAAAGCGACGTTATTTATTTACTCCCCAAGAACCCTTTGACACACTTGTACCAGTCAAATCATCAATTTTCTCTCAAATTTAGAGTGCACTTAACAAATACTTACTTAAACACTTAATTGGGTAACACTGTACCTAGTGCTACCCAATCCCCCAATATTTGTACCTAAGCCATATTACTTTACCATTGTAATCCTACATATCATCTGATATCATGGTTGTTGTATTGAGTACATATTCTACTGCATTATTCCTTGAAATGATCCTCATATTGTGCTTCAGTGAACCAATGTATAACCCTGTAATGTTATCCTAATGTACCTAGTAATCCTTGTTCATTATTGTGTATTGTATTATTGTGTATTATTCTAATCTGGTTTTATGTCGAAATTTCTTGCAATGTACCTGTAAATTTTTTTGACAATTTTACTGTAATTATTCTACTTAAAATTATCTGTACCTGTAAAGTAAAGCTGTAAAGTACCTGTAAACATTTTTTGTCAATTTTACTGTGAATTATCTAAAAATTATCTGTTAGTTTAAGGACTTGCCCGAAACGCTATGCGTGCTAGTGGCTTTACAAGAATGTAAAATCAACTTAATTTCTGTGTTCTCTGTTAACCCCCAATGTACCTTCATGTATATAAATAAATAAATACTTAAATACCCAGTTAGCTTGTTGGGGTTGAATGGTAGTTTGCTTAGCGGTGTATATATTTAAGTCAGATGAGCCACAGCTGCGTCTGTGTACATGGGACAATGAACAACCCAGCGGAAGTCCTTCCTATTGATGTGTTGATGTACTGATGTATTGAGGAGTGATGGACATGTTCCTTCTGCGAGGTTCACTCCTGGGTCCGGGGCGCTGCCTAGTAAATTTCTCCTTCGGGTAAAACTTTTGTGAGAGAGAGAGAGTGATTCTATCACTTCTTATGGAGGTAGGGAGAGGAGGTGGCTTATGAAGTACTTGTGTCATGTATCAGGTTCGTGAAGGAGTACGAGAAGGAGGGCATCGCCATGTGGGGCCTCACTACCCAGAACCATCCTACTTCGGACGATATAGTAAGTCTCTCCATACACACTGGAGTATATTGTACAGCAAGCGTCGTGTGGCGTTAGCTGTGTGCTCATCACTGAAGATAATGTAATATATAATGTCACTCTTAATGGTGTTTATAAGAGAACACACTCAAACTCTCATGTGTTTATGTTTGTCATTCTCGCTCTGATTGTTGACACTTGCGGTTCTCCGCCTCTCTCTCTGGTAACCGCTCAAAATCATCCGTTTTCCGCCTTGTTTTGACCTTCCTTTGGCCCTTCTACCGCCCCGACCATACCCCTCCCCCCCCCCCTCACTGACCTCTTGCTCTAATGTTAGAACAGTGTTTCTGCCTCCGTCGTTTTAGCTAAGTTTGTGTTAAAATTTAGAAACAGGCGCCAAATCTTATGGCGGACACTAAACTAAAAGACGGTTCAGGCTTGAAGCCTATAAGGATTACGGATTCAGCGTATATTGACCCATCCCTTCCTTCCGTCAACTGCGCCATCAGAAGTGGAACTCTTGCGAGTGGAAGAAAGAGGACATGAGGGACTGGATCAAGGAGAGTCTGGGTCCCACGCTGGAGGCTGCCGGACTGGGAAGACTCAAGGTGATGGTTGGCGATGAAAACCGGGACGTGCTGCCGGAGTACCCTGGGGCGGTAAGTATACCCTGTGGCACCCCAGCGACTGTCTTCCTTCGCCGGGGGCTGCCATCGTCTCTTCAACAACTCTGTTCTCACTAATCAATCAAAATACTTTAGATACTTCATTGACTTAAGTATATATGTGAAACAGGTATCGTTGAGCGGTGATATTGTGTAGTTTGTGATGGTGAATGGTTTGCCTTCCTACCCCGTGGTGAAGACACTGTCTGACCCAGAAGCAGCACGGTACGTTGATGGCGTGGCGGTCCACTGGTACACTGACGCGCTGCATGGACCAGAGCATCTGGACCACACACACCAACTCTTCCCTGACAAGTTTATCATCTACACAGAGTCCTGTATAGGTAAGATAATAGGGATAGTGTTTACACTCGTCTGTTCATCCGCGCCATGTATCAAATGTTTTTTTTGTTTAATTCATTTATTATACACCCCCATACCTATCCTGTGGGCGGTCGTGGACCCTATACCTATCCTGTGGGCGGTCGTGGACCCTATACCTATCCTGTGGGCGGTCGTGGACCCTATACCCATCCTGTGGGCGGTCGTGAACCCTATACCCATCCTGTGGGCGGTCGTGAACCCTATACCCATCCTGTGGGCGGTCGTGAACCCTATACCCATCATGTGGGCGGTCGTGAACCCTATACACATCCTGTGGGCGGTCGTGTATAAATATACACACATACCAAAGAATAGGGGTGGTAGGAGAAGTGTGAATTATATATTTACTAAATATAACATATATTTTTTTTTGTCACCAATATTTTTACTTGGCTTTTGGTACCCAAGTTCCAGGGTTGATGTTCTTCAACGACGCGGGGGAGGAGGCGGTGGTGCTGGGTTCCTGGTCCCGGGCCGAGTCCTACGCCGCCAGCATCATCCAGGTGCGTACACGGGGTACTCCTCACTCACACGGGGCGTATATATATACACATACACGGCACCTCTCATACGGGGGCGTACACGACACCTCTGACCAGCGGTACTGTCCTGCCACAGGTGGTGAACCACCACGTGTCCGGCTGGGTGGACTGGAACCTGGCCCTCGACATGGACGGAGGCCCCAACTGGGCCGGCAACCAGGTGGATGCCCCGATCATCGTCAACAAGGTCAGTATTGATCATTCTCTTGTCCACCACTGTTGCCTGCCCTGGTTGTTGGGGTTCTTGATGATTTTCATTTATTAATACCCTAATTTATATTTCCAATTTGTATAATATATATATATTATGTATGTTCAGTCATTTATTACAGCTGTAAGATGATTTGGTAGAATTTCATACTGGAGGCATATGTAATGAAGATGAGACAGATGTACAAGCAGACCGATTTGGTTCTACTTGGCAGAGAGCGGACGAGTTCTACAAGCAGCCCATGTTCTACGTGATGGGTCATTTCAGCAAGTTTGTGGCGGCCGGGTCCAGGCTGGTCCCGTCGACGGTGGACCACAAGAACATCCATACCAGCGCCTTCCTCCACCCTGATGGTCACACCGTCCTCGTCCTCCTTAACACGTAGGTGCTTTTGTTCTCTCTCTCTCTCTCTCTCTCTCTCTCTCTCTCTCTCTCTCTCTCTCTCTCTCTCTCTCTCTCTCTCTCAATACCAAATTACTGAAGTTCACAATTCTTCTGGAAAAATCATTGGGAACAATTGGAAGGGGACCTTTGACAAGCCGCTGGCTTTGTCTCCATCGAGGCCAACGTTCAACGGTTCTACCATTCAACGGTAGGTTCAACGTCCTACCAGCGAGCATCAGAAATATTACAGGAACAACCGTGGACATCTTCAAGAGGAAACTAGATTGTTTCCTCCAAGGAGTGCCGGACCAACCGGGCTGTGGTGGGTATGTGGGCCTGCGGGCCGCTCCAAGCAACAGCCTGGTGGACCAAACTCTCACAAGTCAAGTCTGGCCTCGGGCCGGGCTTGGGGAGTAGAAGAACTCCCAGAACCCCATCAAGCAGGTAACCAGGTATCAACCAGGAGGCCACTAGAGAGATGGTAGCCTCTCAAGTCAAATGACAGCCATGCTTACTAAACTAGATTTCCAGCCGACACATAACTGAAATTTTTGCACAAATGACTTTGTAAAATAAATGATTCTGTGCAGAAAGGTAAAGTATTGTTTGCGACTTATAATAACGTGTAGTCTTTTGTTTACATTATTTCTGGGTTAGTACACTGGCGCCGGGTGTTTGCGGGGAGGGAGGCGGGAACACTCGCCCTCTGGGCAAGCGCTCTTCAGGTATTCAAAACATGAAATCTTTTCCTTCGATGAAGCTGTGTGTTATATTGCAGGGGCGAGGAGGCGCGGGAGGTGAGCGTCGGGGTCGGGGACCAGGGCGTCGCCAACCTCCTCCTTCCCGCCAAAGCCATCCAGACAGTGATCATAGCGGGGGAGCAGAAGGTGGCCAAGTCTCACTCCAAGACTAAGTACACGAGTCAGACACACTGTCTGGAGGACGACTGCCACTAGCTGCTGCTTGATGTGCTCACTGTAGGATGTGTGGGACGCAGCGCACCCTCCACCTGCTGCTCGTGCTGGATATATTGCCGTCACCCCTCAAGTGCAACTCGGACGTCTGCTGCTGTGATATATTTGTTGATATTTAACTTGTTCCCTACTGAGATTTGAAAGTTATCAACAATTGTCGGTGTTGGGTCAACATTCAAGTTAAAATGAATGGATTGACTTCTAATATTTCCTTGTATTTCTTTCCTTTTGCTGCAATATTGTATGAGGCTACTGTGAAACTTTATTATTACAATAGTGATGAAACTCAACACTGCAAACCGTCTTCAGGCCAGGCTCGTCCAAGCAACGGCCGACCCCATGTAATGGGTATTCAAAGTAGTTTTTCTCGAATAAAAATTAATAATCTATACCTATAAAAGAAAAGGTCTATCTAAGGTTGGAGGCCAGACGCCTGGGGCTAGCCTCATTAAACTTTACAGGATTGATGATTATACCGGGGTGCCATAAGAGGTCGTGGTCGGCACCGGGGGGATCTCGGCCCAAATACCCATAATTCACAAAGTCTGCGGCTGTGAAATATTCAGCCCCGAGTCCATAGACTTTTGCATTTTCATACCGAGTAACAGATTTGTAGTTTAACACAAGTCGTTACAGTAACAGACGACTGCTGACTCCTGGTAGCAGGTTGAGAGCTTTGCCCTCCTAAAGTTCACGGTAAGTCATACCCACTAGTTTCTAGGGGAAACCATTTAGTTACAATGATAGAGATAATGTATAAGGAAAATGTTTACAGTGATAGGGGGGAGACGTTGTGGGATGGGGGGAGGGAGATAGAGGGTGTGTGTGTGGAGTGGGAGGTGCTTAGAGATGGGGAGAGTGTGTGGGAGATTCTATAAAATATAAGCAACACCCGACCAACAGCGGTCAGGTGTTGTTTATATTGTGTTTTGTGAGCGGTTATCGGGTGTTGCTTATATTGTGATCTGGTCGGCGGTTGGGTGTTCTATATATTTTGTGTTGTGTGCGGTGGTCGGCTGTTGCTTATCCTGGGTTACACTTACATATGGGGAAAGAGAGGAGGCTGCTAAACGTACATTAGAGAGAGAAGTCAGTACGCTTACATCAGGAACGAGGCCAGTAGACTTCAGGGGAGGAAGTACTACGCTCACACCAGAGAAAGGAAGTCACTACACGTACATCAGGAGGAAGACACACCGTTCTAATCTGTCCTGTGCTGTAGTGTTGAGATAGGTTATCTAAAGTCTCGTGTGAGTGTAGACTGATAGCAACAACTCAGACGTGAGGAGCTCGAGTAATATCTTTTGAGACACTTCAGCAAGACAGGTTTACGAGGAGGTAGAGTATGGTGTCTTGAGTCTACAGTGATCATGCTGGGGGTCTATGAAGACCATATCATTTGTGGTCTTAAAGACAAACTCTGTCTCGTGTCTTTACGAACAGAGTTCTCCATAATGTGATTACGTGACTCACCTGAACCCTGAGTTCTCACAAAACGTTCACATGGTATGACACACCAATGCTGATGGAGTTACAAACAAAGTAAAGTGAATAAAAGAAAGGGTTAGTGAAAACTTATATAAATACAATAAGGGAAACAAAAATAAAGATATACCTCGGATACAATATTTCCAGAGGAGGGGGGGGGGATCCTGTAGCGAGTAGATTATCCCAATAATATACTCGCTCCAAATGCATTGTTAATATTCCTGTCAACCTTTGGAGATGAATGAGGTGAGGCGTTGCCCGGGCAACACGGTGAGGTGTTGCCCGGGCATATAAGCAGCAGAATAGCAAACATTAACCAGAGTCTACTTTCAAGTGTGGTCTAGAGCAGACACTTGCGAGATACTGTACCGACGGACGATCCTGTGCGAGTAATAAGAAAGAAACAGAGACAGTGTCACTCCTAGTAAGACGAAATTTGAAGTTTGATGAACTAGAAGATCGAAATCCAAATGGTAACAGTCTCTCTCACTCTCACTGGAACTCTGACAGCAGATGGGAAATGATTAGTGGTTCTGGTAATTTCCCACACCTCCTACCCCCTTCCCCAGCAAACAACAGAAGACCCAGATTGGAATATGATCACAACAACAAAGCATACATAGATGAACTGCAGAGAGCTGCAACAGCGGCACACAGAATGAGAGCTAAACTACTAGTCACGAGGGACCTAAATCACTGACAGCTCGATTGGAAATGGAGAAATCCCCATGGGAGGAAGAAACATGGGGAGCAAAATTACTAGAAATTATGGACAAACTTCTTACTGCAGCATGTATAGGATGACACAAGGAAATTAGGAGATTCGCCGAGCTTACTGGGCTTGATTTTCACCATAGATGAGGAAGATATGGAGAACTTGTAACATGAAATACCACAAGGAGCAGCAGTTATTGTGTCCTGATCTTTGATTACATGATTGAACTTGCAACTACGACCATAAGACAAGGGGTCAGGGTGTAAGAGCCCGAGACAAGAGAGCAGACTATAGAAGAGGGGGATTACGTTGAGGGTAAGAGAGTGTGTCTGGAAAATGTGCATTGGGAGGAAGAAATCAAAGGGAAGATAGTCAAGGAAACGGTGGATCAAGTCAAACCGAGATGCAGAGGAGATATTCATGCCAACAATAAAAGAGAAAAACAGGAGAGAAGATGGTTCAACATCTTCATGGAACCATACTCATAGTTCAACAGACAGTGCCAAGATGCTAAAACGAAAAACAGGAGGAAATATAGAGGTCAAAGGACAGAAGAAAACTGGATTAGATGCAGTATGGCTAGGAATATATACATAAATATACGATTATCAGAAAGAAACTTCGAAAATAATGTCGATTTCAAAGCAAAGAAATAGCCAAAACTATTACATGGTCATATAATAAGGAAAATTACAGTGAATGTGAACATACAGGAAATTACAAGACATTTTCGAGGAATAAAATGCCAGTTTCCGCGTTCACTACTGACCTAGAACAGCTCCCGGTGCTAGAAGAGGCAATAACTATAGATGAAATTTATTAAAAAAAATTAACCAATGACAAGCAATGAACCATTAGTGGTGTAAAGACACATGCGCGACCTTGAGCGAGCAACACCTGTGTAATAAACAAATATTTCGTCTCTTCAATGTAATTTATTCCTAAATTTGTTTCCATTCAAGTACAATAATTTAGGTTTCACTCACTCAAGATACTAATTTGCATACGTGCGAGGGAGAATGGTTCTCAACCCGTCCTCCTAATAGAACGTTTATTTATATAAATAAATAAATAAATAAAAGTCGTATTTTGACGTATACTCTCCCCTAAGGCCAAAAATCGTCGTACTTGAAAATGTTAGCGGCTCGCGAAATTGACATGCTGTCCCGTTTTCTGTTTTGGGTCCTCTGGTAGGTTAGGATAAGGGCATTTCAGTACGACAGTTTCTTGACGTTGAGGAACCTGAAGAGGTTATGAAGGGTGAAGACGCTGGGCAGGTGACGAGGCTGCAAGGCTGTTAGTTTGTCTTAAATTCAAAATATCGAACAAATTGGAAGATGTTGATCCTGATAATTTCTTCAAAAGGTCAGATGTAACATTTCTTCCAAAGGTCAGATGTAACACAAACAAGAAGCAACAGTTTCAAGCTCAATCCACAATGAAGGACTGAAAACAGATGTTTTTTCACCCACAGGCATATAAACCCATGGAACCGCCTACCCGCCGAAGCCGTAAATGCCAATACTCTGTTGAACTTTCAAATCCAGCTGTAAAAATCATCAGGACAAATGGCGGGAGAACTTTAAAATCCACCTGGAGAGGACAAATCCTCTCCAGGTGGATTTTAAAACCTAACAGTTTTGGCATTTACGGCTTCGGCGGGTAGGCAGTTCCATGGGTTTATAAGCCTGTGGGTGAAAAAAACATCTTTTCAGTCCTTCATTGTGGATTGAGCTTGAAACTGTTGCTTCTTGTTTGTGTTACATCTGACCTTTGGAAGAAATTGTCAGGATTAACATTTATTTATTTATTTATTTATATACAATAATTAAGGTACATTGGGTTTGTGAGAATACATAGCATAGTATTTACAACATCCTCCAATTTGTTCAGTATTTTTAATTTAAGACAAAATAACATGAAAATAACAAAACAACTAATATACACTGCATATGTGGCACAGACATACTTGCCACAGCAGCTTAAAATATTCTGAACATTAATTTTCAGGAAAATTCTTGACAATTCTTTTTTCATTTAAAATGACATTTAATTTACTAGTTTTCTTATAAGAACGTTATTCAGTAATCTTTCATATAGAGCATATTGACAGCAAAAGTTAATTTTTGCACTGATTATTTGGTAATGGTGGAGCTTAGCCCGAAACGCTATGCGTATTAGTGGCTTTGGGTATTGTATGTACTACCTCTATCTTTAAATCTAACAGAATGTTTGTACTGTAACGCTGCAACTATGTATGTACTGTTCCTAAATACATTATTATTATTATTATAGAGCTGAAGTAGGTGAGGTATGGGCGGCGGGGCGGACCACCCTCCTCTCCGGCCAATGAGCATGAGCCATATAATCAAAACATGACTACGGCCCTCGTCATCTCTCTCGGATAACAAAGTCTCTCAAAATCTATCATATCCATATCAGATTTTGTATTTAATCAGACAATACTAATACTAAAAGCATATTAATTGTCTTTAATGCATATATATAAGCGTTAATAGTCGTTTGATATGGAGTTTGCATTGCTGAAATGAGAACTGACGGAACATTCTTGGAACTTTGCTTACCAACAAATCGTCGTCAGCTGAGGAAGACGGAGAGTTTCACGCAGAGGGAGGAGTCGCCAGGGCCAGGTCTCGCTCCCCTCCACTCTAGTCACCTTCCTCGTCATCTTTATTACACACACACGTCTACGACACCAGCGTTGAGGTTAGTGTGGGGCCCAGAGTGGTTAGAGCAGCAGGGGCGGAGGGTGAGGGCACCATTGACCTCTCAGAGGGTGCCCGGGGTCTGCCAACGCGGCCACCCAATCTTCTCACGCCAGAAATCTGAGGATTCTCTTGTCATTGAGCATTAGAGGATGAATAAGATTACTACAAGTATTAAAATAAGAAGATTTTCACAGTTTAAGTGATGTCCAGATTGACAGATGTGAGTGTTAGACTGTATGTTGCTATGGTTACACATGACCCTGGAAGTATTTCACAAGAATTTGTATTACCGTGATACTACAACCTGATGGTTGGCGAATTGTGCAAAACAATATTTACTTGACTGATGTTAAGGTTGTGTATATGACTGGAAAGTGGGCCATGCCAAAGGTCAGTACTTTTTAGAAGTAAGGAATTAACAGAGTATGGGCTTCTTTACCTAACCTGAGGCTCTGGTATCCTGCTTAATATGTTTTATGCAGGATATGTCTTCATATGTTAATAATATTTTATATTTAATTTTATCTTGCAGCATTAGGAAACATTTTGGCCGGTAGGGGGTGGGAGAGAGGTGATTGTGAAAGATTTCAAGGGAAAACAATTTGGGGTGAAATAGGTAAAGGATGAGAAATTTAGGACATAGATGAGTGAGGACTTTGTAAGGAATAAAAAATTTAGAGAGAAATATTAAGGATAGTTGTGATGGTGGGAACGAGGAGGTAAATAGTGAAGGATATTGGCAGGGCTAGACTTTACCGGATGTGCTGTACATAAATCTACATGAGACTAATAATAAATGGAATGAATAATTCAAGTAACTGGAAGAGAAAAGGAAGTAGTTAAGAATGTGGAAACTATAGAGGATATTTTATTCGTTAATCAGCAGTTAGCAGAGGTAATTGACTTTCCATGTGATGTTAATTATTGCTTGCAGTGGGTGTTTTTGGGAACAGTACTGTACAGTACAGTTTAGCTCTGTAATTTCTCAAGCTAGTCTCTCTAGGGAGGCTTGAGGGGGAAACTTACAATTGTGTTGCTTTCCATGACAAGGATATTTGTCATGATGGAAAACAAGGTCACATAGTCTGATGGGAGATAGGATTTTTTGATGGACCGTAATGGCTCTGGCTGAGGGAAGCTTCCCGGGGGAACTGACTTGCAGTGTTGCACAATGCTCAACATCATGATTTCTTATTTATCCTCAATCCTTGTTTTTTTTATATATTGTGTTGCCTTCCACTGCAGTATATTTTTAGCTCTGTACTGCATATTATTTATATATTATTTTGATGTCCATATGTGTGCAAAAATGTGAAATATGATTTGGTGCTAGAAAATTAGAAATGGTCAAAATGACAAAAAGCTCGATCATGCATTCTTAGTGAGCCAGAAGGGATCGGCTCCAACTTATTCCATAAGTTAATATGAATAATTTCATAAGTAAGGTTTCATGTTCAGTTCTGTAAATTGGTTCTAAACACATTCTCAAAAATGACAGTACTGTTTAACATTTTAGTTAGAGAGATGTGTCTGTTATGTTTACCAGCATTGATGCTGGGAATTATACACGAGATGACTTACAACAAATTTGTTTCACTGGCAGATGGAAGGGAGTGTGACTCTGATCATAAAAGCAGCCAATCAGAGTGTTCCAGACCAACATATGAACTGTGACTTGGACTGGTCTGTGCTGTACCTCAAGGACCATCTCTCATCTGCTCATCCTTCTAAACCAGTAAGTAATAATTTTTTTTTTTAGAACCACAGTACTGTATAGTTGAGCATTGAGACACTTAATGAGACCCTCCAAAGTGTGGAAATTCGTGTAAAGAATAATTTTCAGATTTAATCCTTTGACTGTGCATCCCATCAGGTGAAGAGGGGGGGTGGGGCTAAATATGCTCAAACTGCACATCATATTAGGTGAAGTATTACTGTACTGCACAAGATTTAAAATTCCCACACATACACAATTCTCGGATTTGCTTCCTCAGGCCTCCAGTAACCATTCCCCCATCTTAAACAAAAATCCCTAGTCCCCTCACATTGCTTCTAGGGCCTTGCTAAAAACATGAGGACCATGTCTGGCCCATGGTCAATGTCTACCCAGTGGCACAGCCAGTGCTGGCTGTGCCACTGGGCAGCCAGACTAGGAATCATGCAACTTTTAACAATATCAAATGAGGGATTACCAAGTATATATTTACAAGCAAAATGTGTGCTGTGAGCAACTATATGATTTTTCAATTAGTTTCATGGGAAGGATAAGCAAAGTCTTACAAGAAAGGAAAAGTAAAAGTTTCAGCCAAATGAAAATACTGTACAGTAATTGGATCTAAATAAAAAAAATTATACTGTATTTGCATAATTAAAAGTTACCATATTCTCTTTAAATTATTATTCCATCAATGTCTTCCATTTTAATAAATATTTACACTGAAGACACATTGTATGTGCCTAACATTTTGGTTGAAAATCTTCAGATTACTGTATGTGCTTGTACAGTACTAACAATATTTGTAATGTGGCAACATGTAATGGGAACGAGCCAGGTGTTGTGAGCACCTGCGGGAGTAGTGCACATGACGCACCAGCTGCAGGTAAGCTGCCAACACAAGACTCCCATATATATACACTTGTCATCATCTGTGAGACAATATAGTGCTGTAGTTGCAAAAAGTTGTATTGCATATTTTTGGTAAGAAAAGCCAGAGTGAAGGTTGTATAAGCATATTGAGGAGATGACCATTGAGCAATGGATAAGTACAGTCTGAAGAAACCCTTATCCACCAGTGGAGTGATACCATGTGGTGATGCCCTTATCCACGAGTGGATTGATACTATTTGGTGATGCCCTTCTGCATCAGTGGGTTGATACCATCTGGTGATGCCCTTATCCACCAGTAGATTGATCTAGACTAATAGCCTTAACTGTCAATGGTTTGACACAAACTCAGGATGTCCACATTCAGCCATGGATTAATAAATGTTGATGACAAATGACGTCTGTCTTACCATGGATTTATGTAAATATACAGTTCTCCTGCAGACGTGCAGGTTTAAAAGTGTGCATATGCTCATGTTTATTTATATATAAGGCTAAAATGTACTTTATTGCTAGGGGGGGGGGGGCATTATAGTTCCCATTTTTTTTTGGGGGGGGGGGGGCAAGGGGGTACATTGTTTTAATACAATATAGAATTTCCTCCAAAATCCAGATCTCGGTGTGTCAAATTGCTCTGAATAAAGGATTGATGTATTTAATGGACCAAAGTAAAGTTAAAGAAAAAAAGAGGTGATTATGGTACCAAAATGTCACAAAAATTATTTCAATAACCAAAATTATGTTGTAAATACTAAAAAAGAGTAAACTTCAATTACTACACAAGTTTGGTTATTGTGGAAGGGGTCTGGTATAAAATTGGTCAATTGAGTAATAATAATTTATTATTATTATTATTATTATTATTATTTACATGTAGATACAATAGGTTTGTGAGATTACATAAAATTGGTATTTTACATTCTTGCAAAGCCACTAACATGCATAGTGTTTCAGGCAGGTCCTTAATCTAACATATCAGGTAAGATGAAAAGGTACATTGTAACAAATTTATACTGTATCAACATTTAAATATAATATAAATTGACAGGCGATTACACTGGTGAAGACGTGTCTTAAGTACAGTACTAATATTGGGGGAGTGGGTAGCACAAGATACAGTGTGAGTTTGAAGCACAAGGTAAGAAACTATAATGACATGGATTGATGGAGTACACTGTACAGTATTGGTATTCTCCCATACTCTTTCACTGAAATACAGTTAGCTTCTCACACCATGGCTTCATTGGTGAGGCGTTATATATGGATATATCTATGTATGATCATTTTACCGAGCGTGTGTATGGGTTTTAAAGCCAATAGGATAATTTAAGAATATCCTGTACCTGTTTATGCATGTTAACTGGACATGGTAAACAGTTTTTTTTCACAATGTTGGCAGTGTGGCTAGGATATTTTAGACATTTAGGTTTTTTCTTATCTAGTTTTGACTGGAGAACCACAGAAATATTTAAAATTGTCTACAATATACTTATTAAAAATTACTTTATTAAAATTATACCTCGTCCAATATTTACAGAAAGTGGATGAACAGCGCCTCATCTATTCTGGCCAATTACTGCTCGACAATTTACTGTTACGAAACGTTTTGCGACATCCTACCGAAAATAACGCTTACACAATCCACCTTGTTTGTTCACCAAAACGTAAATCTCCACACACGACAAGTTCGCAAACGACGCCCTCTGGCACTCAAAGAGGACAGTCTTCACCTGGGTCTTCACCAGCTGGTAGACAGTCACCTCAACAGGTGCTGCCAGAAATGAGTTCAAACCAAGATGCAGATAGAGTGGTCCCTCAGCAAGTTGGATCTCCACAGGACACCTCAGTAAATAATGATTCAACTGGTAAGGGATTTACATGTACAATACACACATTCTGTATAAAACAAATTGATGAGTCAATATGCTTATATAGTGTCTTTTCCGGTTCATTTTAGGGTCTTTTGTCTATAATTATAATCATAACATTGCTTTTCTCTCACAATTACCTTTGTTTTTCATTACTGTACCCTATATGTCTAGTTAATATTATGCAGATGCTGTGATAGTCTTCTTGTTTTATTTTCTTAAGAGTGAGTGTATGTGTGTGTTATATATATATATATATATATATATATTATATATATACATATATATGTATATATAATAATATTCATTTTCTTATTTGTTATACAGTATTATAATTAATCTGGTATTACAAATAATACTTTTTGCATCAATCTACTATTGTTGCGTATTTCAATGGATCACATTTGAATTTTCATGAAGCTGAAGCGTAGATGAGGATTAATTAGCAGATGTACTACTTGCTTTATACGCAGGTGTCATACATGATCTTGGGCAAGTTAGATCAGCCTACATATCAGACTCGCTGCATTTGACTGTTAGGATCTTTCAGGCTTCAGTCTGATATCGAACTTTCAAATATACATTAATCACTAATATTTAAGGGCCAAGTAAAATCTGTATAAATTGTAAAGTACAGGTCTTTGTACACAGGCTGTACCCCACATTGCACCAATCTTCATTCTTATCTCAACTGTATATAATAAACTAAATAATAACACTGCTCAAAAATGTGAAAAATAGTGCTGGGAGACAGAAGAGGTTCTCAATCCACCACAGAATAATCACTTGTTCATTTACATATATGCTGTACATCGACTTTTGATCCCTAACTTTTTTTATGGGAGAGGAGATGGTGTATTTATTGTGGATAGTCTTTTTTAAGAACAAAACTAAATTATCAAAGTATAAAACCTGCACTTGTCTGAATTAGTTAAAGCAGAATTTACATCACTAGTTGATGGTGCTCCTTCATTTTGTGTACCAGTGGTAACTCACTTTGTGTTATAGTACAGTACACCATTAAGCTTGTAGCTGATTTCTTGATAACTTACTTTTGTATATTTAAATGTACTGTTCAATCCTCAGATGGGCTTCGGCGTCGGAATGTGGCCAACAGTAATGAAGCGTCTGTACCAACATCACAGAGTATAGATGCCACTTCTGCGTATCCATCCCAATCCCAAATTCCAGTTGGTGTACTTCAGGCCAGTACAGATCCTATGCAGCAGATGGCTGCTATGCAGCAGATGTATGCACATTACATGGCATACATACAATAGTAAGTTTTGTCAAATTATATTATTTTTACTCCTTGACCAGTTTTATTAAAATATTACCGTATGTTAATGATACTGATATTTTGTTTTTTTTACATATGCCATAGTATTACTATATCCCTTGGCTAGATTTGCTAGCTTTGTAATTTTTATGGCTAAATGTATTAGTAAACCTTAGAGGTAGAAATGTTTAAATGAGCCCATATAATTTGTCCAGTGTCTAATTTTGTTTTTATTTGCAGTATGCAGATGGGTGGTGGTGTTGGAGGGATTGCTTGGCCACAGCAGATGGTGCAATTGCCTACACCACCGAACCCGGCCACAGCCACCACAACTGCAGCACCTACACTTACCTCACCACAACCCACTCTAGACCAGCATGAGCAGCTGCAGCAGCAGCAAGATCAGAATGAACTAGCACAACAGCAGCAGCAACAACCACAGCAGATTAGAATGAATGCACAAGGTAAATATATATATACAGTACAGTACTTTCATTGGCTGTATAGTACTTTTTCACTTTATATAAAAAATTTCATCTCGTTTCCTTTTCATCTTCATCTTGCATAAACGTAGCATATCAAACTGTCCTTCTTTTAAGACTCAAGACTCTGGCCACTTCAACTTCTGTGACGGATTTATTCCTCGTACTAACTTGCCTGTATGTCCTGGGGCATGGGCAGCTTTGGTTACCAGACCAAAACCCTTTTTATTATCGGAAACCATAGAACACTATTGCACACATTTTAATACCAAATCACTCTGGAATTTTATATTTTTAAATATTTTTGTAAATTTTTTGGCACCAAATTCTAGCTAAGAACACAGGTAAGACCGTTGTGCAAGGAGCATATGCTACACTTTCCAACTTAAGAATCATTTTTAAATACATGGATGGTGAAATATAGAAATTGTTCATGACATGGGAGACCAAAATTGGAATATGCAGTGGTTGTATGGTGTTCATATCTCAAGAAGTTCATCAATATAATGGAAAAGATGCAAAGACATGTTATGAAATGGCTTCTGGAACTGAAAAACGAGCTATGAAGAGAAGCTAGAGATGTTAAATATGCCAAAGCTAGAAGATAGAAGAAAGAGGCTACATACATATTAATAACAGGAATCAGTACAATTGACAAAGGGGAATTCTTGAAACCTGCAACTTCAAGAACAAGTGGATATACTGTAAATTGAAACTGAGGAAACAAAGGTGCTGAAAAAATAAAAGAAAGTTCTCTTTTGCAAACAGAGTGGCAGACAGTTGCAACAAGTTAAGCAAGAAGGCGGTGAATGCCAAAACTGTCTAGTTTCAGTGTGTCATATGATGGAGTACTGTGAAGATGGGACACCACAAACATAGCTCTCATCTTGTAAGTGCAATTAGGTAATTGAGCACACACACTGAATCTTATGAAATAATAGATATCCTATATTCTTAATACTGCTGCCTGATATTCATTATTTTAGCATTCATAATTTCACCAATATTTTCATCTTGTACATAGGCAAAGTGGGATCAGACTTTTAATGCAATTTGTAAATGATATTCATGTTATGCTATAATGGTTTACTCTTTTTGTAACAGGTGGTGAAGTGGAGGATGATGACGACGATGAAGGAATGGGCCGTGATTGGTTAGATTGGATCTATGTCCTGTCACGAATGCTGGTTCTTCTGTCAATTGTTTACTTCTATTCAACACTCTCCAGGTTCATGGTAGTTGTCTGCATCGCCATGCTTTTATACCTGTAAGTCGCCATCATTCTGTAGTTTAAAATTCATAGTTTCATTTGTTATGAAAATCATAGATCATATTTTATTGGTTTTATGGTTTATTTGAAAGTTGCATGTTAAGCTTATCTTAAATTCAGCCAACACCTACGAACTTTAGGTAGTAGTTTTTTGAACTTCTTGTTTTAGAAAGAAAAGCTAGAAATTTTTTTGAATTTTGGACATTCTTCTAAAACTGGAACAATAGTTTGACATTTTGTTAATAGGAAACATGTTCTTTAATATTGTTAACACTGATGGAGATAGTCGGCATAATTTCTTAGATGTTATATTAGGATGCTTCCTAAGGTAAGCTCCTGTAAATCCATAGAGAAGATCAGGCAATCATACAGGCCAACATATTGGCACTACAGTGGGGGAGGTAGGTAGGTTCCTGACTGCACCCATGCCTCTTCCTCCCTCTCATTCCACCTTTTCCTTTCCTTCTCCTCATCTCCCCCTTCCTCCTTGATCCCCTCTTTCCCCCCACTTCCCCTTCTCATAGAATTTATTATTAAGAAGCATTGAAATAACTACATGGGTCTCTCAGACAATATATTACTGTGAAGGACTAAAATCTCTAGGGAAAGCATAAGAAATATTTCATATTTGATGCCATTAAAATCACATGGTGGTCTCTGTAAATGCAAATCTTTCTTGACGCATCTAACGTGGGCCAGCCCTGACTAGCCTATGTCTGTTCCGTATCACAGACCATTCCCCCTGCAAGGTTGGGTGAGACTAGCCCCAAGTGTCTGGCCTCCAACCTTGAACAGGCAGGCAGACAGACATTCTTTGATAGAGATAAATAAGATCTTCCTCTTATGGGCTTATTGGCCTTTTGTAATTGCTTTGTTGACCTGGTATACTTCATTACAACCATATAGAGTTGTGAAAACCAGTTGAACATAATCGGTATACATATAATTACAATGGAATATTATCAGACAATTAATGTATTGGCATAGTAATATTTATGATGATAAACCACATTTGCATAGTATTCATGAAACGATAGCAGGAATTTTTCATGGGTCAAGGTAAACTCCACTACATCCATATAGAGTTATTACATCCATGTTAGCATCATTGGTATAAAACCCAGACAATAAATATTTAAACCAAAGTATGATAACTGCATTACCCCGTGAATCGATGTACGAGGGCAACCGCTCTTTTAATGGTCTAGATTTCTCCCATCGAGACATACACCTCACCACCCCCTTTTCCCTCTTCTGCATGGTAAGTCTTCCAGTCCTCATTATTGATTAAGTAATTTCATAGACAAGATTCAAATCTTTAATTATTATAGGTGGTCAGATGCTGTCAGAGAGTATTGCAACCCCTTACTGCACCAGCTTCTCCCTTCCTGTATGGATGGACACTGGATAGTCTCATTTTTAGACTCTGTGTTTAGTCCATATTTGATGTGTGTCCAGTGTTCTTGCTGAACTCTTGTAGATGATGCTTATAATTTGGATTGGAATTGGAGAGTCTTTCTTTACCTAGTTTCTCCAGTGTATCACCCCCGTTGGTCAGCTTGTAGACATTTGTGGACTGCATTTTTTTGCTGACTTCCCTACGGCCTGTTCATTCCTGGTCCCCAGCCCTTTCTTGTACCAAGACCTTTGTGGTTACTAAGTGGCAGCTCTTCTCTTCTTGTAATTACACCCTTCCCACCTTGCCAGTATGAGATGTCTTGGCAGTCTTTCCAGCTTTTCTTCTCTTCTGGTTTCCCTCTGTTTCTTTGCCAGTTGTCATGTCCATTCTGTCTTGGTTATTTGTGGAGCCCAGTCTCATGCCCAATACTGTCACTTCCAGCCTTGGGCCTCTTATTTGCTTTTGGGATATTTGTTTCTTTTCCCTTTCCTCAAGTTGTCAAAGGCCTTTCTTCACCTCTAGCTGGCTCCTGTTCTTCTTGAGCCTTCTTAGTCCATGGATTGGGACCTTTCCTTTTTGTCTTCGTTTTATTTTATTTTTGCCCATAGCTGAGAAGGCTTGTTTTTATTATTTGGGGGAGGGGGGAGCCGGGCTCTGGTTTCTGGTAATTGTGATTGTGAACTTCAGGCTCTTAGATTCAAGAAGAGAGGTTCTCTGCTTTTCTTAGGGGTCATGGATACTGTACTTAGTTTGTCTTGCTGGGGGAGTATCATGCCCTCTGCCTGGTTGTTATAGTACGGCTTTATTTGAGTGTTACTAATACTTTGAAGTGGTGCTCTTGACCAGGCTTTCTCAGATTATTTGTCTGGTGGTTCAATTTACCCAGCCTGATATGTATCTGTGTGTGCATGATGGGTGCAGTTATGCCGTCACTACTGCTTTCTGTGGTAATGTATCTACAGGTAATATCTGGGCTTTGGGGTTTCTGGTGGTGTTATTGGGTGTTCTGGTGGTATTAGCTGCTCATTACCTTGAACATGGTTTCAATCCTCAGTGGGCCTATGTGGTGCGTTGACACTTTCCAGTCACTTGAGTCTTTGTTTATAAATGTCATTGTCTTTGGACTATAAAAAACACAAAACTGACTCTTGTTCATTGTTTCTTCACAGATATCAAGCAGGCTGGTTTAGACCTGCACGAAGAATAGAGCAACCACAGCTAGCTGAGAATGATGTAAACAACATCCAAGATGACAGAAATAACAATGTTAATAACAACAACAACAACAACGAGATTCCAGAGGAAATAAGAAATCCTGAAGAACCATTAATTGATGTAAATGAAGACAATGAGGTGAACAATGAAGCTACCGAGAGGGTTGTTGAGGAAATACCTGTACGACCCTCCATTCTTGCACTCTCTTGGACATTCCTAACAGCTTTCTTCACGTCTTTGATCCCCGAACAACCTCAAGCCATTTAAATATAGCCATTACAGTTGTTGAGTCATTTGTCGTCGGTTCTCGGTGTGCACTTCGTTGTGAATGTTTTCTCTTGATATTTAGGAGGAAATCTTGAAACATAATTTTGGATATTCATATCCACAAGTAAAAGGTTTACCTGCTGCACTTGTTTATGTAAAGATCATGTTTGTATGCTTCAGGCTTTTATATTTTTTTAAGTGTATTTTCTTTGTAAGTTTCCAAGGCATTATTTGGTAAGCAATATCACTTTTGAGAGCTCATTGCACTTGGGTGGTTAATGTTGTGTGTTAGTGTAATGAATATGACTATTGTAATGTAAACATTCAATACTTAATATATGCAGAACTTAAGCACATTAAACTGAAACTTAAATTTTTTCTTTGCCTACATTCTTTATTTGAGCCAGCAAATGAAGATATGGTATTAGATGCATCATTCTGTTATCTCTACAAATTAACATGTGGGAATAGTTACTTCATTAAGTAATCTCTCACAAACCTTGTTTCGTACAAAGAAAATTATGCATGTAGCTGAATATATGATTGAATTGTTAAGTTCATATAAAAAAAGATTAATTGTAGTAATACCATTTCCTGGGGTTATTGATACCTGATGTTTAGCATCAAGTAGTAGCCAAAGATATATTTATTTAAGTTTATTTACAAGTGAAGCAGGTACTAACTTCTTGTGTTGGAAAAAAATATGTGAAATGGAGGAGGTACTGCCCTGAAGAGCGCACACGAGAGGAAGTAAACAAATTGATCCTTTATATTGAATATTAAGCTTTTATAAAAGCTGAAATATTACTTTTTCTTATGCTGATTTTGAGAGCCTTGAGGAATTGAACACACTGAAGTTTAGTATAGGCAGAAGAGAGGCTTGGTAGTGTGAGGCTAGTGGACACTGTGCAGTATTAAGGATAACATTGTGTTCAAACACGCACCACTCGTAATGTCAATGTTACCGCAGCTATGTATTGTCACTATGGAACTTTGATTTTTACAGCTAGAATTGATTATTAATTTAGAGTATTTATTGAAAATGGCAAATTCACTGGACAAGTTGCAAATTAATACTTATTAATGTCTTCCATACAAAATTTTCAGGCCTGATGAATTTTAACATTTTAAGTGTATTATGGCAGATTTTTTTTTTTTCTTTTTTTTTTTTTTTTTTTTTTTTTTTTACTATGATAGGTGGAAGATACATATAGCATTTAATGAACCAAGTTATGTCTGTCGAGTTAAGCGATATTTAGTCCGTGCCTCGTACATTATTTTCATATTTATTAATGATGTGGTCAATTGGCAGTTTACTCTGCTGTAATCTCCATGCAAGTGTTCCACCGAAAAGTTCTCTGCCGATACTTCTGTGTGGCACACCTGGGGCTGCCAGCTTCCTCCATGTATATTGTTATTCTGTGATTACCACTGATAAAGATTATTTATTTTGTACCATTATTTACCTATTGTGCAGTTATGTGGATTTTTCATGTAGAAAGTTTGAGATGTGTAATGGAAAGTTTGGTTATGTACACTTTTTTGTAATGGAGTCACTTATTGTATATGATATTATAAAGAATAAATATATATTATCTATAATGCTTTATTTTGTAAATTAAGCATGAAAGTGTATTGTACAGATAATAAAGGTCAGAATCAGAAAATATTTTTTATATCCAGTGAATTTTATTTTAATACATTGTAACTGAATTATTATATAACAAAATTAAGAGCATCATTATAGTTTTTTAAAGTTGGTCTTTTAGTAGCAGTTGATTGGTCATTTAGTAGACAGGTAATGGTGATGTGAGAAGTGATTATATAGGGACTATTTTATAATTTTTATTTTTTATTTTATTTTATTATTTTTTTTGAGGGAGGTATAGGAGAGGAGGAGAGGCGAGGGTGGTGGAGGAGGCAGGTTGTGCCTGCCTGCCTGCCTGCCTGCCTGCCTGCCTCGCCACCATTGCCAACACACCACCACGCAATTTTTATTGTGCTTGCAACCTTAGGCGTGCAATTTTTTGCTCCTCCCGGCGGAAAAAAAACTGATGCAAAGGGAAAAAAATATAATTAGAGTTAAAGAAAAGTTCCCTCTTGATGGAAGGGATAATAAAAATGTGAGGAAAGTTAGTCAAACTCGCGAATCATGAAGCAAATGTGACCGAGTGTCCAGTCCCCCCGTCTTCTTTCCTTCCTCGGGCCCATCGATGCTTTCCCGCATGGTGATTGGCTAGCACAGAGTTACCTCAATTCTGATTGGCTGAGAGGAGCACCGAAGACAAAGCCATTTTGTAAACAAACATTCAGCTGACAGACGCCGGACGGCCGATCAATGGCATCTTTTAGTATTTTTCTCCTCACTTAATGGAAGTGTGTTGCAGAGAAGCACTAGCTATACCCATGACAGATCAGGGTGAACTTAGTGACGATGAAAAAAGACACAGTATTGATCCCATTCCTATTGTTGATAACATGGAGTTGAAAGTGGCGACGGGAGCCAACCAAGCCCAGGTTGACCTAAGTGATGGTGGCTGCCAGGCTGGGGCGCCAGGGTCAAACATGGGCCCAGAACCTGTGATACATAGCCCCCATGGCGACCTTAATGGCCACTTAAGTGAGAACACAACTGGGAAAAGTGACTCTGTGTATGACTTTGACCCTGACACTGAAGGGGAGATGCCCCCTAACACTTTAGAGGACTCCTCAGAAGCCTCTCCAGACAAGCATAGTGACAGAAGTGATGTTTCTGACAGTGTTAAAAATGAGCCAGAACTTGAAACTCTTGACGACTCTGAAATGGCAGAGGATGAATCTGTCACGGAGTCGTACGATGGGCAAGACTATCCTCTCGAAACGGAGGAGAGCGTTAGTGACTCTTTTGAAGGCATTCCAAGGCGTGGTAGGGGGCGGCCCAGAGGGAGCAAGAATAGGGTGGACGGGAGGGGGCGAGGTAGAGGGCTCAAGTTCAGAAGACTATCGGAGGATCGTACCTGTACGGCATATGATCTCCGCAACATTCCTGACCCATTTGCAAATCAACGGCGAGGACGACCCCGTAGCAGGTTCATTGTGGATCTCGGGGAGCAGAATCATGAAGCTTGGACCAAATCTAAAGAGGAACTTAATATCTCAGATGCTGAGCTCACAACTTTATTGTTAAGTTTGTAAGTCTGATGTAGGCATTAACCTTAATGAGAATTATGCAGAGTAGAATACACTACTATTTATTTATTATCTGTAGAATTGTATGGTCTAGCATAGTGTTTCTCCAGCTTCATAAAATTTTGACTGCATTCTGAGTTCTGAAAAAGTGTATTGGTAGTGTTGTGTGAGCAGGCTTTGTTTATGATGGAAAATTTATTAGTTTTATAAATTCAAATTATAATTATTTGATGCTATGAAAAGTGTTCACAACATTAACAAACTGCTGTCGTGTGTGTGTGTGTGTTGTCACATAATCTTGGACACAGAGATCCTCCTTGGAATACTTTAAATTATACTGAAAAGTTTTGTAATTATGGCTCTTCTTATGTAATTTCTGAGAGTCAAATCCTATTGGGATATAATTTTAAGTTGTGGCATCTGGAATTCAAAGCTTCTCTTAACCATATGTTCCATGACGGCTTCCTGTAAACGTGACTATGTAAGTATTTTGCTCAGTTTTTTCATCAATTTATTAAATTTTGGTAAAAGTAAATTTTACACTAAATTAGCATGCACATTATGGAACATCTAAAAGGAAAGGATGGTATTGTAATTCAGTAGTTAAGGAGCTAAAGGTTGGGCAAGCCACCTGCTCAACGATGGGGTCAGCAACTCAGACAAAGTAAGTTACCCATCTCATCATATTTTCAATCATTTTAGGTGAAGAAATTAGTGGGAAAAGTGGGAAATCTGGATGTCACAAAAACCAGATCAGATTCAGAAATGACAATACTGTAGAAAAGTGGGAAATCTGGATGTCACAAAAACCAGATCAGATTCAGAAATGACAATACTGTACTGATTTTTCAGAGAATGCATTGAATAATTTTTTCCTGCCACTCCAACAGAATATCTACAAAACATCATTATAGCTATACTGTACTTCTCCACAAAATATAGGTTACTATTAACATTTCATAATCAGGAGGAGGTTGAAAATTTTTTATTAATAATTACACAAAAAGCTCTTTCTTTAGTCCAGGAGGATTATTTAGTCATTCTCTTTTGTGTGGAATTAATTAATTTATTTTTTATTTATTTATTTATTTATTTATTTATTTATTTATATATATACAAGAAGGTACATTGGGATTGTGAGGATACATAGCATAGTCTCCGTGGCAGTCTCATACATTGCAGTCTCCGTGGTGTAGTGGTAAGACACTCGCCTGGCGTTCCGCGAGCGCTATGTCATGGGTTCTAATCCTGGCCGGGGAGGATTTACTGGGCGCAATTCCTTAACTGTAGCCTCTGTTTAACGCAACAGTAAAATGTGTACTTGGATGAAAAAACGATTCTTCGCGGCAGGGGATCGTATTCCAGGATAGGATTAAGGACTTGCCCGAAATGCTACGCGTACTAGTGGCTGTACAAGAATGTAACAACTCTTGTATATATCTCAAAAAAAAAAAAAAAAAAAAAAAATACATTCTTGTAAAGCCACTAGTACGCACAGCGTTTCGGCTAGAAACTTGTAATGGTGCGTTCCTTTGTGTGATGCTTGAAACACCTGCCATGCTAGTCAGAATTTTGGGTTTGTTATTGTTTTGGTGCTAATATTCCAGATGCAAAAATGTTGTTCATTTATTTTTCTTCCTTTACTTGATGTTCAATTTATACAAGCATAGCAAGTTTTAATACATTACCTGATGTGACTGATGTGAGAAAAATTAGTTTATCATATCATAGTGGTCTAGCAATTGTGAGAAGCAGAAGCGCCCTGTTCTGAACCCATGTTGTCCAGGGTTATGTAGACACTGATAACAAGTGTTTTATCATGTGTGATGTTAGAGCTATTGGTCTAAAAAAAATTTGAATTTGCTTTGCTACCTCTTTTAGGGAAGTTGCGCAATATTAAGTATGTCAGGGATAATCCCAGTATCTAGGCTCTGTCTCCAAAAGATGTTTAGGGCCTGTGATAGTGTTTTTTTTTTTTTTGCAATTCTCAATGAATCAAGAATTACTGTACAAGGGTCTGGGCCTGGTGCTGAGTCATGGGGATGCTTTCTATGGCTACTTCAAAGTAGAGTGGGCTTAAGGTAACATCTGATACTGTGTACAGTATATGGTTCGATGGTGATGTCACATTCATAAAAACACAAGAAGGGGGGGGGGCAATGCCACATTGTGTCCTGTCTAGCATATGACTGAGTTGATGGTAGGGGTTTTGACATTTCTTGCCATGCTTTTCCTCTTTCTCTTAGTAAATATCTCGCTGGTACAGTATATATGAGTGTTGCTCTATTCTTAATGGCACACATTTGATTTTATTCCCTTGGTTCCTTTGATGTGAAATGATGGGCAATCTCTGTTATCTCTGTTAAAACATTCCTTCTTATTTAGTTATTTTTGACTAATTTTTTGATGGAAAAATTCGCAATTTTCAAAGTGACATGTTCCTGTATTTAGGTTACTGTATTTCTAAAGTTTCTCGGGTGTTTATATTTGCATGTTCCATTAGTTCTTCTCATATTTACATACACTCCATGCATGACATTGGCAGGTTTCACCTTACTTTTCATCTTTGCAGAGAATGTAAATTTAGCTTTCTAAATATGTTTGTAAGAATCTTTTATTTTTTAGAAAAATTTAGAAATTCTAAGAATTTCTAATTCCTAGAGGTAATTTTGTCATCTTTCTCTGTTCACATTTTAGTTAATATATATTAATTTTTATAGTACAGCACAGTGATCAAAACTGAACTGCCTTTTCTAAATGGGGCCCTATCAAGGACAAGATAAAGCTGAAGAAAATAGCAGCCTTTCTTTATAAGTTATCATAAGACGAGCCTGGCCCCAGGCTGGGCTTAGGGAGTAGAACTCTGGGAACTGACTCCATGTGTACTCCAGGTATTATTGCTAATGCTTCTAGATATGAATCCCAGTGCAGTATCTTATTTGGTTTAATCTGTACATTTATATATTTTTTATTGACATTAAGATCCTCACTAATCAGACTCCCAGATCTCTCTTGCATTCTAATTTAGCAATTTCAACATTGCCCAGCTGACATCTGATAACAATATTAAAATTACCTAGGCTCGGAACCCTACAATTAGCAGCATTAAAGGTACTGACAATCTTCTGAATATATTTCCTTCCCCATTTTTGTATTGCCTGCACATTGGCAAATGTTGCTATTGTGACGGGTTGTGGTATCACAGCTACTGTATACTGAACCAAGGTGGTATGGCTCTCCGTCACATAAATACAAAAAAAAAAAAAACCTGCTTTGGCCCTTACAGTGTTAAAGTCGCAGGTGGAAACAAATGAAAATTATCAAATAAATAATTATAACAATTTACTGAAATATTAATGAACAAAAATGGCACCTGAGAATACTTGGCTGTTATTATAGAACAAATAAAATTAAAAAAATAAAAGTTTAAATCTAATACAATAGTATACTAGTGTGCTGAAGACAACTATTATACCACCACAGCATCCAGCACATGACATTGAGGGCAGACAGTGTTGCAGGAGGCAAAGGTGATCCAAGAGCACTAAGAGAGAGACTGGCTTTCTAGGGAGGCGGTGCCCTTTATATGGTCTGGCAGTGATGACGCATCTGGGGTCAACACAAGGTAGTAACAAGCGCTATTAGCAAACTGCTAGTTTGTGGCTGTCGGCACCTTTGTGTTGAGGCCCACCACTGCTAGTTGAAGGTGGCTAACTGCTTGTTTGTGAAGGCAAACTACCAGTTAGTGGAGGCGCCCTGATTGCTGCCGAGTCGTACCAGGCTGTGCCAGGCCCTGATGGGTACAGAGAGATGGCAGGACTAATGACTCATCTTGGTTGGGTGAACTTCCAGTACAGTGGCATTGAGGGTGAGGGGAAAAGGCAGTTCCACTGCTATGCAGGGGATTCACGTGATACTATTCAGTTCAGTGCTTAAATAGTTTATATACCATACAGTAAACAAGAGAGGTCCCAGGACACAACCCCAGAACACCTCACTTGCAACAGTTTTCCACTCCGACTTAATCTATTTATGTTAGCCACTTAATGGCATCTGACAAACTTCTGAATTTTTCTTTATTCTTCAATCTTCTACAATTTTTTTTTTAAATAACCATGTCGTAATCCAATGTACGATAACCCTCCTATTCCCCTACAACACAAGGGTTAATAGAATTTAATAAGATATCTGATAGAGATACAAAATGTTTTGTTTATCTTTTTTATTTTTTTTAATTGGCAGTGTCTGTGTGACATGTGGGGAAAGCCTTTGTTGTTGGTTTGAAACTGAACAATTTGTGTGTGGTAGTGCAAGGAAAGGCCTTGTTGTCACTGGGCAGTGTAGCCCCAAGGTGGCAGAGTTTAGAATGTGTAGCTGTAGCACAGTTTATACTCACATGGCTTGTTGCCAGAGGATACTCCCACTAACCTCAGTTACAAGTGATACCTTAGCAAGTTTACTAGTACAGTACTGTAGAGTCAATTATATGTTTTCTTTATACAGTATATATAATATTGTAATATTGTAGTGAGCAGGGATTAAAATATCATTCTGATATGCTTTAGAGTTTTGTATTTTACAAGGTACATTTAAATTTTGTATTAAAGGTGCCATAATTTTGTATATATCAAGTACAGTACTGAGTGCTTTGTTATCATGAATAATAGCCATTGTCCTACAACTGTAAGTAGTATGCTAAGGAAAATTAGCCTTAGAGCAACTGCAGAACTTATTGTTTTTATTGGTGATACAGTACAACTGTGTGCCTGCAACTTGCTTTATGTGCAGTCATGTTCCTTGGTATTGCTCACATTCAGGGCTGAAGTTTTTCATTGGTCATAATTTATAATACTATATTTCTGAGATGGCTTCATGGTGGATTCCTGTTACTAGCTCTGGTTAGCTCCATACATAATAAGTCACAACCAATGCCTTATGAGTCAATGAAAGCCTACTGGGAACCTGAGGCCAAAACCTGACCCACTCATAGAGGTGCAAAGAGCAGGGACTGCTGGTCACCCTAACCTAGAAATAAACCAACAAAATGGTAGAATGAGACAAAACAGACAACAGCAAGACAATATAGAATAACTCTGTAAACAAGGCTTATAGAAGTTAGGTCATTTACCCGCTTGTAGCAACTCTCCACTGCCAGGTGACAGTACTGGCAGCTCCTGGACTGCAGGAGCAACTACTCAAGTTATTTCCCTGGTGCGGTAATGTTCATATGTGCTCCTCAAGTTGTCTTAGCCCATCAAGTCCTGGTTTTCTGGATGAATATTGGCCAGCTTTTGGATTCTGTCTTGTGCGGTACATTTGCTTGTGTTTGTTCCAAATGTAATGTTTGCTTCATGTGCAGGTGCTTGTGTGTCTCACTTGTTGTGTGGACCTTGAGAACCTGTTCGTCTTCAGCTGCACATGCTTTGTGTACCCTTCCCTGGGCATTCATTGGTACCGCCTCTGTCCAGGTGGTCAATTTCCTGGTGGGTTAGCTATTTTAAGATTTGCTTTGCTGTTATTTGTTTTGTCTCTCTACCTTTTTGGTGGTTTATTTCTTGGTTAGGTTGATCTAGCATCCCCCTCTCATTGTCTCTGTGAGAATGGGGGGGGAGGGGGTTGGTCTCTAGTCCCTGTAGGCTTTTAGTGGCTCTCAAGTGCCTGGTGTAACTTGATAGGTGTGGAGCTAGCCAGGCATCTAGCAACAGAGAGCCAGTGAGGATCCACCAGATAGAGGTGTTTCATTACATTCAGTGCTATTTTTTTATTCTGTACAGTAATTTGCATTTCTAGTGTAAAATAATGTGAGGATTTATTTGCTTTACCTGTGTTTAAGTAATTGAAATTTCGTCCATATGTGTCTGGTTCCACTGGTAGGCATCATTTGCATAGTTTTGATAAAATATGTATTGTGGAAGGATAAAGTGATGACAGTGAGGTTGGGTTGAAAGAATGAAATTGAGAGAAGATTTCATTTGTGAGGAACTTCATCTCCAAATTAAGTTTTCTGGTTTTGTGTTTCTAATCTATGAAGTATGTTATACAAAATAATGTTTGATTCATTTTTAGCAAGAGAAATTCCTGATTTGTTGACTGATTTTTCTGAGCTCTCTTACCATAGTACAGTAGTTTAAACTTGTCTTACTTATAAATTCAGAAAGATAATGGCCCATTCACAACTGTACTTTGTCAGAAATTTATTTGGCTCTATGACTTACAAAACATCAGAGGGCTTCATTTCTTAAATGTACTCCATAAAATACTAAGAGGGGTGTGTATCAACAAACCATATGATGTTTTCAAGCGAGAGAGCTTAACAGTTTCCTTCAAAACATCCTAGATCAACAAAGATGTTGGTATCTATGATGGTCTGTGAGCTGCCAGTCCTGACAGGTTAATTGTAGGCCTACGGGTCTGGGTCATGGAGTAGTGGAACTCTCAGAACCCCCCCCTCCCCCCCCTCCTTGAAGTATCTGAACGGTATACAGTACAGTGATGTTGGTGCCCATGAATCTGTTATAATAGATTGAGCAAATATGAAAAGTTTTAGTTTGAAGTGTTTCTGTCTTCAGGACATACTGCACTGAACCTTGTTGTGTGCACTTCGGCTGTAGCCGAAGTGCAGTCACCAGTATCAGCCACACAAATGTTTGGTGCCTTGTATCAGATATGATAGTATTGTGTGTCAGTAATCTTTTGTGGTGTCTTTCCGTGTATCATTCTACAATTAAAGAGCATATACCCATCTGAAATTAAAATATAACTTCTTCCAAAAATAATATTTCTTGTGATTTTCTTAAGCATATATGCATACATGCTTAAGATGCCACAACATGAGAAATTAAAAGTTCCAACTTTTGTTCAAAAATATTTCTTTTTACCAGTATATCCTTCATATTTCAACACAATACAGTATCTATGAAGAGTTCTTTGCATTTTTGTGGTTTTGTTGTACAGTATCCAATAATCAGGTATTTTAGGTTTCTGGGAGGGATTCCTTAGTAGCTTTCTGAGCTAGTCTCTGGATCATTAAGCCCAACACATCAAGCCTCTGAGATGCACCCATTGCTTACTGGGAGCCTGGATCATTTTGTGGCTCACTCAATGAGACAAGGGAAGCAAGTGATCAGAAATCAACCACAACCTAACTAGGAAAAATTCTAGTTAGAAAAATTCAACAAAACAAACATATGCTTGATGGAAAGTAGGCACTCCTTGTGTAAACAAGGCAAACAATAACTTTGTGTGGGTTAAGTTTCTTAATCTTAGCCGAGAAATGCCTAACAACAATCAGACATCAGTCCCAGTTACCTGGTGTCACGGCCAGTCTGCCCCCTCACTCTCACTCTGCGCCTAAAACACCTACCTGTCTGTGTGACAGTTTGAGTGGGGTGTAGTGTCTGGTACATGTTTTCAGCCAGGTTGTTATGACTTTCACATTTGCTTCCATATCTGACAGTGAGGCTTGCAGTGTCTTAGGATGGGTGTTGATGTCTTTAAACCCTGTTAGCCATTCCTGTTACCTCTTGTCATGTGACCTGCTTGGTTCCAGGGTACTTTACCTTGTGGATGTGTTCCATTTCTTGGTGCTTGGCCATTTTCCTATGCGGCTGCATATTGGGCTACAGTCGCCATACAGGAACAATGTTTCTGACAGGCTTTTGCAAGCTGTCAAAATTTATTTACTAATGACTGTGAGAGTTTACAATATGGTACTGTAAATTAAAATATGGCATTGTAAATTAAAATTAAGTGGCAATTGCTGAAGTTAATCCCATGTTATCCCGAAACATCCGGTGCTATTTCTGTGGAATAAAACGTAGAATAACTGCTGAATCGTTAAATAATACCGAAAGAACTTCTGAATGTAGGTTGTTCATAGAGTTTTCATTATGTTATTTTGATAACTTTAATTCTCTCAAGGGGAAAAATATTATTCCATAAGTTCAAGTAAATTACCTTTATTTTTTTCCAGTATAGATAAATCTTTATTGAAAAATTATTTTGTTGAAATTTTTTCCACATGCTATTAATTAGTTATCAGGCTCTATCAGTTTATCACTTATTAAAATATAGTAAAAATGGTTCTTTTCTCATTTTAAATGAGGTGGACTAAGTGAAATGTGGCTGTTTGTTCTATGCATGTGTATCCTCAAATGGGACACAGTACCTACATTGTTTCCAGGCAAAAATGTATTTCATATATCTAGACAAATGTATAGAGGAATTATTTAGGATTGCCATTGTTCATTCATGAGGTGAGGCTCATGCCTCCACTTGCTCTCGCATCTTCTCTTGCAGAGCAGCTATAGACAGAGTTGTTAACAGATAGAATGCATTAAGCAGTGATGTGGTGGATTCAAATGTAGATATGATAGAGCCCAGTAGGCACCTGTATGCCAGTTGATTGATAGTTGAGAGGCGGGACCAAAGAGCCGAAGCTCTATCCCCGTAGGTGAGTACAGCTAGATGAGTACATGTTGCAAGATTAATAATAGTAGAGTTATCATTCTTTTATGCATTATTTTAGTTGTATCTATTCATATCTTGTTGAGAGAATGATTGCTGATAATGTGCAGAGATTCATTTTGTGTAAAGGGATGCAGTAGTGATGGGAAACATAAGCTTTATTTGACACTTCAGCCTTGGAAAGCCATGTGGATAAATCCCCAATTTCAACTTTTATATGTAAAAATGCATAAGAATAGAATAAGGAAATGCTCTAAAATTTTGTCTACCCTCATTTCACATATGAAAGAAAATGTGTATAGTTAATAGGCATCTTATAAGTGCTGTACCTGTATCTTCTAAGTTTTAAACAGACAGACATGTTTGGCAAATTAAAACTTGAAACAGAATCAGAAGTTTCATTAGTGAAATAATCCAAAGTTTTCAGCTTATTATTAGCTTCAATACTTATGTTTATAACTACAGTATTGCTAAACTTTTGTTAAACTTAATTTTGTTATTTAAAAGACCCAGGATATAGTAATAGGTAATAATTAATGCTGTTATTTGTAAAGTACATTTTCAGAAGGGCTCCATTAAATGGAATACTATTTACCATTATAGGGTACTATATGAGAATTCCCAATTGCAGATTAGAATCTCGACGAGAGTGCAACAACACAGCAGATTCGGACACGATGCTGGGTTTGATAACTTCTGAATACAACAAGTGGAAGGATAAGTTTACGTCCCAGGTGTCTATGCTGAGTCATTATGCTTCCATACACAACACCAATTGTTGCACATGCTTAGGCATCAAGTAAGTACGCTTATTATTGAAAAGTAAAAAACCATTGAGAGTACTGTATTGCTACAGTATAATAGCTTAGCAGTGTTTCTATTACTTACTAAATTTTATACGGTCTATTCCATCAAGTGCATATATACACTTGCATACACATTGTAAAGAGAGAGAGGCAGAAAGGAACTTTTAGAAAGGCAAAGCGAACAAATATAAAACAGATCCAGGCTATTCTATAAATTCATTAAAATCAAGCTGCATGTAAAGGATATAATCCAGAGATTGAGAATGGGGGAACAGATTCACAGAGAATGAAAAAGATATGCGTGAGACACTAAATGAATAGTTCCAAAGCGTGTGTGTAAAAATTAGGTTTTTAGAGAACCAGACACCGAGTCAATTCCAGTGAACACTGAAGTACATAGAGGTGTCTCAATGCTAACACGAAAAATTATTTAGGGAGCTAGGAAGAAATAAAGCAATTGGATCAGATGGAGTTACACCATGGGTTCTCAGAGAATGTGTGCAACTGCACTGAGCATTCTACTTCAATTGATATTCCAGGCATCTTTGTGTATAGAAATTTTAGCATATACACTATATGGAAAAAGGCAAACATAGTTCCAGTCTATAGAAAAAGGGTAGCAGAGAAGACCCTCTAAATTATAGACTCATGAAATTAAAAAGCTTGGTAGTCAAAACACAAGAAAAAATAGTTAAAACCAAATGGATAGACTACCTTGAGAGAAATTATATAATAACAGGCAGACAGTATGGTTTTCGATCAGGAAGATCCTGTGTAACAAATCTACTTGGTTTCTCTGTAGCAACAGAGATTCTACAGGAAAGAGATGGTTGGGTTGACTGCATCTATCTGGACCTAAAAAAGGCTTTTGAGAGAGAGTTCCACACAAGAGGCTGTTTTGAAAACACGAACATGCTGGAGGGGTAACAGGAAAGCTGCTGACATGGATGAAAAATGTATTAACTGCCAGTAGGATGAGAGTGGCAATCAGAGGCAATGTATCTGACTGGAGGAGTGTTACTAGCGGAGTACCACAGGGTTCAGTTCTTGTACCAGCAATGTTCATTGTCTCCGTAAACGATCTGCCAGAAGGAATGCAGAATTATATGAACATGTTTGCTGATGATGCTAAGCTACTAGGGAAAATAAGAAACTTAGATGATTGTCATGCCCGTCATTACACTTTTTTGATTCTGTTTTGTATTCTGTTTTGATTTGCCTACCTTTCTGGGTGCCCTCCCTGGTCGATGGCAAGATGACAAACTTTAAATGTAAAGTGTTCGTGGGCCATTGCTTCCTGTGCCTTTCTGAGGGGACCAAGTTCTGGCTTGTGGTCTCTGGTAGGCATACAAGAACTCTGCTACTGATGACTCTCAAGTAGTGTGGCACTTAATCAGTAAGATAGCTTCAGGAAGCCTCTGGGGCTCACCCAGAAACAGGCATTTCATTACATTCCCTGCTGGTTTTTTGAACCACGCAGATAAATATGAAGACTATGATACAGATATGAATACTGTAACTACAGTATATTAAACATAATAGTTCTTACTATTAACACAACTTGCTAAATCCAATTCAAGATATTTTATTAATAAATATTTTCTATAATATAATACAATATCTAATAAAAGAGAGAGATTTGATAATAAATAAATTAAAATAAAATTGTTGGAGCCAAATATTCATCATAAAATTATAATTTGTCAATAACTTCTTAACTTTTGAATTTAACAAAAATCTTTACTCATGCTGTTAAATTTAACACATTTTTAGCTACCTTTTTTTCTGTACATTCAAAACTAACAAAATTGTGAATTTTTTAAAAATGGGGGTGGTGTCATTCTGAAATGTGGTCCCTCCCCTTCCCCATATCTCCGGAACAAACCGGTCAGTATTGCTAAAAATAAAATATTCATCATTTAATTACTCGTATATATCTTCAATTTCACCAAGTTTCATCAAAATCCAAGAAGGTGTAGTGGAAGCCATTACATGATCTGTCCCGGAATGTCCCAGTTTACTGTTTATTAACCCATCATTTGTTTTACAGAAAGAAGAAATATATCCCTGCAGGTACAGGGAAGAGAGGTCGGCCTAGGAAATACCCTCCCCCTGTAGGCTGTGAGTACCGGAATTCTGGTGGGTTGGCTGAAGAGAGTTGAGTGTTTGGAATTTTATTTTGTAAGAATTGTGCATGTATGTGAAAGTGACACGAGTGTTACACTTATTAATATTTATTTATTTATGTATCCATTAATCCTAGTTTATTTATTGGTTTTGATTCATTTATTTTTAATTTAATGTGTTTGGTAAAAGTCAAGCATTAAATATAATGAAATGTTCTTTCAGTTGTTCCCCAAGCTTAGTTCTAATACTACCAAGCCTTTAACTCAACAAACTAGACCTCTGAGACCTTTCCATAGCCTATATAGAGCCGGGAGAATAATCTAACTTTCTTTAAGAGTCAAGGTGGACAGCAGGCATCATAGATCAATGACAAAACTTAGAAAAGCACACCAGAAAACATAGGTGCAACAAAACAAGCGGCTGTCTAAAGTTAATTACGCACCCCTCGGTAAACAACACAGGCGATCACTGCCATAGGGCCCACTACGTTACAGAACTCACTCTATACATAAGGGCCATAACTAGCCAGCCCTTTACAGTGTTCAAAAGAGAACTTGGTGAACACCTCCATAGGATACCTGATCAACGTGGCTGTGATTCATATGTCAGACTGCGAGCAGCAGCGTCTAACAGCCTGGTTGACCAGACCACCGATCAGGAGACCTGGTCAGAGACTATGCTGTGGGGATATTGATTCCCAGAACTAACACAAGGTAGGTACATTCAAAATACCGAGAGAAATAAACAAGGTAGACAAAGGCAGCCTATTTAAATTAAAAGTGAGTATGGCAAAGGGACAGCTGTGGAAGCTGGATGCATAATTAAGTCATAGAGATGTAAGGAAATTCTTGTAAGGGTACCTTGTAAAGGTTGGTTGGCAAGTGGAAAGCATTGATGGAAGATGTTGGTGAAGCTAGTTCCATCCACAAACATGAAGAAAAATTTTGACAGTACTGTAACTTGAATATTGGTCTGACACCCCCATAACTTCTATCTTGACCAGGAGTCTGAGAAAGACAGGCACTGGACTGACCCGAAGCTGGAACCGGAGCTACCGACTGCAGCTGAAGTGGCAGAGTAGACACACCTGCTGCCACTACCGCCTGCGATATTCCCACCTCTGAGGAGAGGAGAGGAGAGAATGGGGCAGTGAACAAGGAGAACAACCAAGTTGGCTTTTGGAGAAAAATCCGAACAGCAAGATGGTTGGCGTGAAGTGCTACAAGGAGCCCTGTAACTGTGACCTGTGTGAGCATTGTGAATAACCTGGGAATGGTTATACATTGAGTATACTCTACTTGGAATGGATTCTTGGAGTACTTCTATTCCAATAAACAACATGAAAGTGGAAAATCCAGACAGATTCTTTATGAAGGATACCCAAACCCCTCTGACAATATAACTTATATAAACACGAACATTGCACTTTTTGAAACAGAAATTGACAACATGGCCATGCTCTCAGCCCTGTGTCCAGACTCATGGAATTCATTATTTATAAACAAATGTAAAGTACCAATAGCACGAACACTCAGTATAATATGGAAAAAAAGCTTGGATACGCGGTAGATGCCAGAAGCACTTAAATCAGCAAATGTAGCAGCCCTACTCAGGGAAGGGAGCAAGGCATTGGCAAATAATTATAGACCAGTTGCACTAACGTCACACATAAAAGTTTTTGAGAGAATCATTAGGAGTCAGATCTCCAGTTTTATCGAGAACATTGATCATCACAACCTAGGTCAACATGGATTTAGAGCAGAAATATCATGCCTTTTGCAGTTACAGTAGCACAAGCATTCAGTGTATTGTGGAGAAAAACCTAGGAAACTTGGAATATACCAGAAGTGCTTAAATTAGCAGATATAGCTCCCCTACACAAGAGAGAGAGCAAAACATTGGCTAAATATTATAGACCATTCGCACTAATGTTCCATATCATAAATGTTTTTGAGAATGATCAGGAGTCAGGTCTCCAGTTTTTTTTAGAGACCAATGACCTCCACAACCCAGGTCAGCAAGGATTTAGAGCAGGAAGATCATGCCTTTTGCAGCTTCTTGACCACTTTGACAAAATCACTGATACAATAGAAGTAAAACAAAGTGTAGATGTGGTATACATGGACTTTGTAAAAGCATTTGATAAATGTAACCATGGAGTAATAGCCTACAAACTGAGGACAATAGGAATAACAGGTAAAGTAGGGCAATGTATATTAAATTTTGTCAAACAGAATGCAAAGAGTGAAGTACCTAAACTTTTTGGATCATCTTAAAGCTCTCAAAATGTAGAATCTTCTCTAGAAAAACTATTTTCCTTTAAGGAATCTCTTGTTTCATTGCAACTGTGCTTTCTGGTGGGTTTTCCCTAGTTTTGTGGTGAAACTTTCATCCCCTCCTTTCCTTGCCTCATTAAGTGAGCCAGATTCTGGTCCTGGCTCCCAGTAGGCTAGCTTTTAAGAGGCCTGGTGTGTTGGCAAAGGTTTGCTAGTACAAATGTCAAGCACTAATGTTCTTGATTAGGAGCCACTTAAGGGTCCCTGTTAGAATATTTTTCAAGTATTCTTTTTATTTAATTTTGTGAGAAATTAAGTGTTCTGCTGTCAGTTCCTCAACATTTGAGTGAACTCCTGTTAGTTCCTTTAATATTTTATTTCTCATTATTTACATTTTTATTCTTACATACTTGAAGTATAGTTTTATTTAAATTTTAACATTGTGTAATTGTGAGGCATATTTAAAATGACAATATTATTTGCAGATGGGCCTGGCATGCAGCGTCCTGACACGATCGATGAAGATGGAAACATCTTTGAACCACAGATCATCCTAAAAGATGGAATGGTTGTCAAGAATGAACCGGGAAATGAACGAAAAGGACTTCAGGCAGGAGAAAATGGTGCCCACGACTTGGCGAACACATCTAACGGAAATTCTGGTATCCAGATTCTTCCACGCCCAATTCTTTCGAAAGAAGAGCTTGAAAAGCGAAGAGAATATTATAACAATCACAAGAATAAGATAAAGTATGTTTGTCATTATTGCCAAGTTCACTTCTACCACAAACCCAATTTTGATTTCCACATTTCAAAATTAGAAAGTACTGGGAAATGCAAAATATATGAAAAATTGAATAACCTGTACCTTTGTGAGTCATGTGGGGAGGGATTTTCGTGGCGAGAAAAACTAGAGAAGCATTTACGATTAGCTGAGCAGCATGGAACGCACAACCAAAAGGAGTTGCTCATGTTTGGAGACTTCCAGTGCAACATGTGTGGTAAGACATTTAATAAACGCACAACCTATGTGCAACACATAAAGTGGCATGAGGATCGTGAGGACATTCCTTGTGTCATCTGTGGCACTATGTTCAAACAGATTGATCTGAGACATCATCTGATGGAAGTGCACAGTAATGATAGTTTGCCATGTTGCTACTGTGGCAAACTCTTTACTAGTAGGAAATATTTAGAAAAACATGAGTTAGTTCACCAGGGTGGCAATTTTCCATGTCCAGAATGTGGCAAAACCTTCAGTCAAAAAAGCAATATGCAGCAACATCTCAAAACACATTCATTAGATAAAGAATATTCGTGTGAACACTGTGGACAAACATTTAATCAACGTGCTGGACTTTGTCAGCACTTAAAGAAGCATTTTGGCCCAACTGAATTCAATGATGAATGTGAAGTTTGTGGTCAGTATTTCTCTAATGATTATAATCTTAAAGTGCACAAGAAGAAGATACATAATATGCATGTAGAAGGATTGGCAGATGATATGTCGGATCATTCTGAATATCTTTCATCTCCTATATCGTCACATATGACACCAGAGGATCTTCGCGAAAAGGCATATGGTGCTGCCAATTCAGCTGTAAAAAATATGTTGGGAGTGTCATTGGGGTCATCAGTTAGTTTAGGATTGTCCATGAAACAAGAAGGTAGTACAGAATCCCTCGATGACAATCAATTACATATGAGAGACACTTCTAGTCACATGAACGATATGAGGCATATGACTGATAGACGAGACACTCCTGTTGGCCTCATGAAAGACACCCTTGAAGCAGATGAACACATAAGAATGAATCAACATCACTCAATGGGTGTTAATGAAGATGCCTTACACATGCCACAAGATCTCACCCGTATGACTGCTAGCCAAGCACACATGAGTGATGATTCAGGACGCATGTCTACTGCTCCACAGTCCCCTCTCATTAATGCTCCACAGTCCCATATGAGTGATATGAGAAATTCAACAACTGATAGTCCAGGACGTATTACTGATACACCCCACATGACTGATAACCTAGGGCGCATGGCTGCTGAAAACTTTGGACGAATGACTAACACTCCAGGGGGCTATTTAGCAGAACACTTACGTCGCATGGCTGAAAATCAGAGTCGAATGTCTGATTCTATGTCTCATTATGATGAACGTGATAATTATAGCCGTCTTGGAGATAATTTGCGCACCATGAGTCGAGGAAGTGCTGGAGATCCCATGGGACGCTTAGGAGACAACTTGGGCCGTATGACTGACAATCTTAGTCATATGGGTGTCATTCGACCAACTCAAACTCCCTCCAGCACACCCCAGTGGCCGCCACATATGCAAAATCATGCAGCATTAGACAGCATGAATCAATCTCCCCAAGCAAGCCAACATACACTTTATCCACTGCCGTTCTGGCCGTATGATCCTTCTTTGCGACAGTATCACCACTGAACGTTTGAAGGTGAGTTGGCCAAGCTTATACTTACACTCAGCAGACAGATTCTGACGTACAAGGTCCAGATATATTCATCATATCTAAGGCACGATCAAGAAGTTCCATCACACTTCTAAAAGTTTGGAGAAGCTATTTTTCTTATTTTTTTAATTAGTCAAGTCTGTTGGCTTATTTAATCTTCATGTAGAAGATGTGATGTTATGATTGAAGGTTCCTACGATGCTAGACATTAAAATTTGTGTAGTACAATTATGAAATTTCTGTGGTAGCTGTAGTTTATAGTAGCTGTCCAGACTTATGAACATTCATTGCTTAGTAGTTAACCCATATAAAAGAGTATGGAGAATTAAAGGCTGTAGCAGACTTATTTTAGATTACCATACAGTGCGTATACTGGCCATGTGTAGTGCTTAATGTATGCTGTCAAGTCTAGCTTCCAATCTTTAGATAAGCCTTTTTTCAGGTTTTATGAAGAACCACAATTTTTCATTTCATAAAGTATGCAAATATTTATAGAAAGTGACAGCTGTCTTTCTTTGTGATAAAAAAAAAATTGTGCTCTCTAGTTTCTAAATTAAAAATAGATGCAAAAGAAACCAGATGTGATTCTTCTAAATTGCTGGGTATCAGCCAAAAAAAATAATAACAATAAAAAAATCTCCGACATTAGTCATCTGGGCTTTGTTTCCAAGTACAGTATGTGTGTGGGTTTAATATATTACATTGAGAAGTGAATTTTGTAACGAACACCTGTACTGGGCACATTAGGCTCTCGCAGTGGTCCAAACTATACAGGGTAAAAAAATCTGTTTGAAAATAATGATGTTATTTAGTCATTTGGTGTTAAGGGTTGCGAGGTTACATGTGACCAATAGTTATTGAGAACAAATGCCCATGTGATAATATGACCATAACTTATGAGAAATGTATACACCAGTAATTTAAAAGACTGCATCTGGGGTCAAGTGTTAGATCTTTTATATGGCTATATGTGATGCATCTTTAAATGCAATTGCCAGGTTTCAGGATTTAATTTTTTGTTCTTCCTGAGCACTTAAACCTAACCATAATACGAATATTGTTAACATGTAAATGTTTTTGAATGCTACCACTGAGCATTTCTTGGTGTGTTGAGCATTGAGAATAGGGCTGCCAATGATTGGTGCAAAGAAACACACTTGTAAGTTGAGGCTAAGAATTATGAAATGTTGTATATTTATTGTGGAAATCTTTCTTTTGAAATGAAAAGTTGGCTTTAAGGCATCATTTGGATTGTTGATCCCAAGCTAGCAAAAGTCCTTGAGGTGTACAGTGAGAAATGAATCAGTGTTGATGTGTAAGCTAGTGATAGTTTACTGGTAGGGCTGCCAGGGTGTATACTTACCCAGATGCTCTTTGCGCGGTTTGTCCAAACCACGTGTACTAAATTTCTGTCAAAACCCATACTGCATTACAGCCTTCATCATCTCATAACAGGCTTTTTGGGAGATTTTGAAATAAGTCCTATACTGTTTTATAGATGTCACTCTTTTGTTTGGACATTGAAGAAAATATAATTCAAAAGAGCATCATTGTAAGTTGAAATGACTCAACCCCTGCAAAAAGTATATCATGTTTGCAAATATCATATCATTATAAGCTATTATTCAACAATTTGAGTGTGTTGCATTGTCTAAAATTGGCTTGGTTACAGAATTTCATGGCTTGACTAAAAAAAAATATTTATGGTATTTTGGCTTCAGAATTATGCACTAGATATGTTGTTAATTTTTACATATTTAATAAGATCAGTGAAAGTAAGAGTCCAACACATATTAGTTTAACTTTGCATTACACATTTGTAACCAAGTTTGTACTGTTTTCAAATGATAGGCCCTGGAAGAGTAACTGATGGTACAGACAGTACGCACTCTTTTATGGCCTAGCTAGGTTTGAGGAATAATTGTCATGGTCACCTTTTTCATTGTCTTCTGTTATGCTATTGAGATAGTTGGTGTAAATAGTTTAATTTGAGTCAAATCAGTTGGAGACAAGTCAGTGTGAGACAGTCAGTGTGAGACAGGGGATTCCATGGGTTGGGTGCAAGTTTATAGATTGTTGAGTTGTGAGTATCATCTGGCCCTGTCTTGTCATATCTGGATAGCAATTATTGGTTATTTGTTACTAAAATATTTTACACTACAGTTGAAGCTTACCCTTCATAATTTTTAAGAAATAATTATAGGTTGTTGGGTTATAACTGCCCATAATTTGACTTGAAACATTCTATATTTATTTTGTTTTTTTATTGATAAATTATGAGGAAAATTAATATGTGAATGATAATTAATCTGATCATGGTTTTGGAACCTTGCAGTTTGTCAGGTTGTTCAGCTGAAACAAGTGTGAACATATACACGTCAAATATGTTCAAAATGGTTGTCATCAGTGGGTGATTTTATTTTATTTTTAGATTACCTAAAAGTCCTTCAAAACCTGTATTGTACTTAAGCCAGATCAGGAGAGTTGTACCTTTCTTTAGTGATGATGTTATACAATTATTTTTTAGATCTGTTTAACGTTTATTAATTTGTGCTAAAATTAGCTGATAATATAAATATTTAAATTTCCTCTATATTTTATGTAGTTTAAGGTTGAAATATGTCCCAACTGGGAGAGTCAATGAGACTTGAATCTCCTTGGCATATCCCTCCCCCTCCCCAATTTGCTCTTGAGAGTGTTTATTTGTTGTTCACATGCTGCGTGATGAACTACGGATAAGGGTGAAGTGTACAGCCAGTCTAGTGCCCCGTGAGTGACTTTGAAAAGTCTGGTGTAGATTTTTTGTGAACTAATTTAAGGTCTTGTAATCAACAAATTTATACTTTTATTAAATTAGTATGTTGAGAGTACAATGAAGAATTTGGGGATGGATAGTAAAAGTGATATATTTGCTATTTCTTTAATCATGGCATTATATAAAAATCATGCTTAGGCATTTTATTTAATATATTTTTTATAAATTTTGTTCTAGTTCCCGAGTCTAGATTTTAATTGTAGACTGTTGGCTTTCAACTTGACCTTAAGTTGTTAGTTTATATTGCAATATTTTAACTAAGTGCTGTAAGGAGGATAGCCTTCTTGGTGGTAGTTTTGAACGATATGATGTAATGCTACTTTGTGAAAAATGTCATTTGTGATCTTTTATGTAGAAATATACTGTGAAAGTGATTTGTGATGTTAAAATGTTTTGCATTGGTCTCCCTTTTATTATTCTTACAATGTGCAACATGGGAGCCTGGGCATCACAGTAACATGTTTTTATAGAATATGAGAGGTGGATTTCAGAATGTGGTGTTTTAAATACAGTATATATGTATATGTAATTGTTCAACACTTATTTTTTGTATTTTTTGGTAGGATGTGTGGGTAAAATGCTTCCCATGGATTATGGCCTTAGGTGTTAGTAGATAAGTGTTGTGACGAGAGCTGCTTAGAAAGAATATTGTAATTGTAAGAACCTGAGTGTGTTCAAGTCATATATTTGGTGAGAAGGCTGTGTGAAAAAGTTATTTGATATGTGTCTGTTGGTATGGCTTTGACATCTCCAGAGGGTGCAATTCTAGGTTAGTGCAATATCAATACTGTACACGCAATTTTTTCTTTTAAATACTTGTCCAATAAATACAGGCCCTAAATATATACAATAATTGTAAATGTGAAAGGCGGTCATGAGAAAATCAGTAAGAGCCATGAGGAAGATTTAAATCTGTACACTGGGTACTCCCAAACACACGCCCTAAACCACTAGGCCACGATGTGCACAAATAATGCAACTTGGTATACAACTGAATTCTCTAGGGGTCCTAAGGTTTCCACTGATACCAAGTCAGGGTTTCACGCATTACCTGCATACACTTTGCCTGTGGTATAGGAGTTCTATGTGGGTAATATATGAAAACCTGATTGATTTCAGTGGAAACCTCAGGACCACTAGAGGATTTAGTTGAATTCCAGGTTGCATTATTTTTTCATATCATGGCCTACTGGTTTGGGGTGTGTGCTTGAAAGGACTCAGTATGCAGGTTTGAATCTTCCTCTTAATTACTTCCTCCTCACTCTTACTGTTTTTCCATTGATACATCACATTAGTGTGATTTCTTTGTGCAAGGGTGTTCATTATTGATGATTCTCAGAAAGAGAACTTCGGAACTATTACCTCTTAATTTTGAGGAAGTGAGAGTCCATTTGAAGTACCAAGAGAGACTCAGAAGTGACGATTGTGACTCTGGCCAATATATATGAAGCTGTGACAAATTGTGATGGTTAGTTAAATGAAGTTCCTGAAATTAGTCAGATTAAGGCAGGTGATGTGATGTGTCAATTGGTATCTTTGATATTTTAAGTTTTTTCACCTGCCTACATTGTTTGTGAGTGAGCTGAAGTTGTTCAGATAATGTGCCATTCAGTGCTTTCACGAGGCATTGGCTCTTTTGGGGCAAGACGTCAAAGTTCCTATGCATGATAGATACTGAAGTTATTTTAAGGTCTGTGAATTTGTTTTTTATGCAATTTTCATGACAAAAATGGACAGACTTTTAATACCACTGAAGTTGGAGTGGAGTGAAATAAACTACAGTACACAATAGGCTTCCCAAGTTATGCAGCTGAAAATGAGGATACTGAAACAAGATATGCATTAAGGTGTGAGTCTTAGCTGGAACATGCAAGTATAATGGAGTTTCGGCTAGGCCTGGTCATACTGCCCACTGTGCCATCCTGAGGTGTGAGTTAGTTAATGAAATGTTTATATCAGGCTTAATATTACTGCAATCCTTGCATGGTTTTTGTGTACCATTCAAATGTCATTTTTAACGTCATTGTTTGATAAAAGTTTGCTTGCAGAATAATTTCCAATTTTAATGAAACCAAACCTTATTATTGTTAAGTATATTTTATATTATAGGAACCAATGCTTTTAGGTAAATTATCAGTTATTAAAAAAATACTATTGAATGTTTGTGGAGTGGTAAGTTTTGGCCAGATACGAGCCTGAAGGGTGCACCAAAACTTTGTAGGTAGTATAGCCCTCTAGAATACCTGGATTTGTAATGCTGTTGACAATTATGAGGCTGTCAAAATACTAGCACTAATGTCCAGTGTGGATATTCTAAGAGGTTGTCTTGATTGGAGCATATCATTAACTGGCACGTTTACCTTTAGACGACACTACTGTCCTTGTACAGTTAACTTTGTACCTTTTCAACAGTATACTGTTTTGTGTTGATCAAGTTTTTCTCATTATGCTTAGACAATTTTAAGCAGTGATGTAAGCTTATGCAGTTTGTGTACAATATTTAATTTGATTGTTTATAAGTTTTGTTTTATAGATATTTATTTAGCATTTTCCATTTACTCTTGTTGAAGAGAATCCATTACCAGGTGTTGTTGACTGTGAATTCTTTATTATGGGCACTTTGTTATAATATCTTTCACTCAGATTTAACAGACTACACATTTTCTCTTCACTTGTCATTCATTACATAATGAAGACATTTGCAGATGGAAAATATGGTAGAAATAATCATTAAACAAGGCATTTTTTAAGTGATGAGAGAATTATGATGTACACATTTCATATCCTATTTTTGTTATATGCATATATCCCTTAGTGAACCATAGGTAGTGAAAGGTAAAGGCAAAATTACATCAGATTTAGGTACCTCAAGTTCTTCCATTGTTTGCTTTGCCATGGTAATATTGTATATATATGTCATAAAAGCTTAGTTGACTATTTTTATAATTAGACTACAGTTCCCAATCACAAAATGAGATTGATAAGATGATCTTCAGTGATGTTTGAACAGTGAAGAACTCTGATTTACATAAATCACCACCACAATAATTGGGAAAAGTCATAACTGGGCTTTTTATGGATTTCTATGGGATATTATATTTAGGCCCATATGTGCATCTCTGTCTAGTCACCAAAATTTGTGTGTGCATATTTATATATATCTCATTTTGATGTGTCTTCTTGTAACCATAATTTGTTTTCACACGTCTTTTATATCTATATTTTTGCTTACTACAAGTTAGCGTTTTAGAGTATGAAGGACTTGTTTTACACAAATAGCCCAAACCAATATTATTTGTAGTTAAATCAAGTATATAAATTATAACAGGATAGAATATTACTTTCCTGACAAGGTGTACTTCCTTACAATGTGGTGTGTCTTAGGATGTTTATAGAGCATTATGTAACCAGGAAATAAACAGATCATAAATGTCCGTACAATAATTTTAAATATCCTCCCACTGAAGGATACTCTGCCAAAATTCATTCAAATAGCCATGGAATGAATTATGCAGTAAGATGATATAGAATTGATATTTACAGTACTTGTATTAATACGCTATAACCCTGACTTTGAAAATCAAGCAGTTTTCTATGTTTAATCTTTAAACATTAGAGCTGTAAGTTTAAATCAAACCTTAGGCAAATTTCTTGGTTATTAATTTTTTTCTTTTGCTCGAATCCAAACGTCGAAGAATAATTTTTTAAAATTTATCAGATTTTAAACACAGGTTCAATAATGGATGAATAATCCTACTTTGTGCTTGATTTACACAACTTGATCAGGCCATCCCCACACTAAATGTATCCATAATTGCAATGTACAGAAGCTTACAAAATGTGGACTTGATGAAATTTATGAGGAAGAATTAGACACTTTTCTGGAGGGGCCAAATAGCAGCACCCTGAAGCTGGCTTGCTAAGATAGCCCTCCATCCCCACCAACTGACTCGCATCAGCCCCCCTGTACGACTTACTAGGGACCAGAGCCAAAACCTGTCCCCACCCCTCACATAGGCCAACCCGTTCTCGCACTTGCTTATAGTCAGTATCTTGCTTATGAATAAGTGCATATGTGACATACTAATTTATTGTGAATATTTGAGTTTACCTTGAAAAGCTGAATAGAAAACCACAATCTACTCTAACCTTCTTAGTATGTTAGGATATTACAATTAGTACTGAACCTATACCCTATTGATATTACGGTTACTGTATATAAAAATAATAAAACAAAACTAAAATATTTAAATAAATTGTAAAGTAACTCAGGATATTGTCAAATTTTGTATAAAATCTCTATTGTTTAATAAAACTGAGAGAAAAAGTTAGTGTCTTGAAAAAAATATGACTTGGAATATGTCGTATATTTACTTATTTATAAGCGAAATAGTCACTACAAGCAATAAGTCATATATGTGCCGTTTTGTGCGAGAGCAGGTTGCTTGGCACGATCAACGGCACAGGGGATTGTTATAATCACTCTCATTAAGAAAATATTAAGAAAACATTCAGAAAGTCAGTTAATTGATACAGATAACTGCAAGATCCAAAGAAAGTAAAAGTTCTGAAACAACCACATGCAACAAACTATTTACTAAGAAACTAGGCCAGCCCCCCTAGTTAAGGCTAGTCAGCAATAGGTGGCAGCACCACCAAGAACTCCCATCTTCCATGCCATCTTACCACAGTCTTGTCACTGGTGTTAGGGAATTCAGACCTCCCCAAGTTGATAGCTGTAGCAAGTTCCACAGGTTTTTCCAAGATGAGTGTCGGCCTTCCTTCAGACACGGTACCGTGGGGCCATTTGCTTGCGTGTTGTTCCTAACTCTGGTAAGTGCTTTACAAGCATGTTTTTCAAGCTTCACTTGTTGCATGGACTTTGTTTATTCACCACCTTGAGCTGCATGTATTTACAGCAACCCTTCCCCTAAGTGCTCATTTTGGCATTGCCATTTCTTTGACAGTGATTTCTTTGGCGAGTTAGGCGTTTGCTTGAGAGGGCATGTTACTGTGTGGCTTCTCAATGAAATATCACCCTTGCACTACCTCACCCTGGGTGGTGCAAGAGTCTTTGACTCCTTTGAGAGGCCCTGTTGATGTGGGTGATTGAGGTTTTTGATGTGGGGCATGCTAAGGTGCACGTGCTTGTCTATACAGCACACTGCTAACACCTATCTCAGCCACATTTGTCTTCGGGTTTACATTAGGTGTCAATTCTTTTTGCAAATGACCCTAGTACCTGTGTGTCCTACTTGGATATTCCTTCAGGTCCTAGTAAACCCTGGTGGGTCTTTAGTGCGACTCGTGATGGATCAATCAGCCAAGCCCCATATTCGCTCCTTGCAAGTTTGAAGGCTGCTCGTTGGCCTTGCTACATACCTGAACTTGCTCGGGAGTTGGTATCACACAGAACCTGTCCCCCAGAAGCCCACAGATATCATCAGCGGTGTATGCTAGATTGGCCAACATAAGAGCTGCCTTTCGAATCTTGTATACCACACGTCAGACCAATCCTAGAGTATGAAGCTCCAGCCTAGAGTTCATACCTAGTTAAACACAAGACATAGTTAGAGAAGATTCAGTGGTATGCCACCAGACTAGCCCCAGAGCTCAGAGGTATGAATTATGAGGAAAGGCTACGAGAATTAAGCCCTCACGTCCCAGGAAGACAGAAGAGTTAGGGGGAGAAATGTTCATGGAACCATTGAAGGGTCTGAACCCTTCAATGGTTACCTGCATTGGTATTCCAAAAGGACTACTGACCCAGTGATGCCTAGTTGACTCAACATCTAACCAAGCAAGCTAGCCAAACGAGTTGATCGGTTGTGAGCGACACAACCTCATGTTTTACCCCTATATCCCACTAAGACTGCAGTCACTGGGTAGATTCAACCAGATGAAGGAACAGTGGGGAATATACTGGTCTCCATGTATAGCGAAGAGACAGATGGTGAAGCCACATCAGTGTAATTCACTCGTGCATTGTTATAGCAGGCAGGAAATCTGAGCACAAGCCACTGACACCAATCCAAGAGTGATGCACAAAAGCCTCCTTCACCACTCTTGAAGAAGAGAAGAGCAAAAAAAAAAAAAAAAAAAAAAAAAAGACAACTTTTTTTTTTAGTTGTGCCAGGAACAGATTTATTTACAACATCGGTTTACATATTACATTGTAATATGTTACATTGTTCACAATACTCTGTTCAGTACATGTAAATAAATGTTATTCCACACTAAAGTGAGATGGCAAACAAACCACTACAGAGCTCTTCTACATGGCTAGTCTTACAATCCAAGACAAGTTATCTTTCAATACAATAATAGTTGCTGGATGTTTGGCAAGTGCCAAGATACAACAATGTAGCCGACAAGCTTGTAAAACCAAAAAATGTGGGGAATATATAGTCAAATGACTTGTTCCATAGACTACTGTACTTGCCAAAGCATAACCCAAGTGTCAGAGGACTGAATTATTTAGCCATCTTAATCTATAATATATCAGTGTGGATCTGTCTAAATTACAGAACAATAGTCATAGAGGTTAATGAGGTCATCTTCCATACTGTGGGCTAGTCACATTATAGTACCACTATCTTTAATCATTAAAAGAACAAAGTGAAAAGGATTTTATTATTATTATTTCTTATATTAACCTATCTAGTCTGGGTTTCCTTTCAATGCCCCAGTTATGTACACTAACATGTTAGTTTTAAGAGTTGTCTGCATCAGTGGCAAAATATTAAAATCACTAATAAACGTAACCTATCATTGTCCAGTTTCACTTTTATGTGAAGAGGCCTCAAACAGGAGAAAGAGTGAAAGGTTATACTGTAGTTAAAACAATTGTCACTCATTCATCCATTATAGAATTCACACATATATAATATCAAAAGATAGACAAGCATAGACTCCAGCAGTCATTTCCACCACCACCCACTTTCATATGACCAGGCACACAACAGTTTTCTCTAATGTGTAACAATGTATTTACTTCCTTGTAAACCACGTGTACTTGCCTAGTCGTGCTTGTGGAGGTTGAGCTTTGGCTCTCAACTGTTGTACAGATTCCAGAGCCTATTGGGCTGTATCAAATCTACATTTGAAACTATATATGGAGTCTGCCTCCACCACATCAATGCTTATTGCATTGTATTTGTTAACTATCATAACATTGAATTTTTTTTTCTAACGTGTCTGTGGCTCATTTTGGTACTCTTGTTTCCACCTGTGTCCCCTTGTTCATATTCCATCCATGCTAAATAGTTTGTCTTTGTCCACCCAGTCAATTCCTCAGTTTTCTAGATGATCATGTCTCTCCTAACTTTTCTGTGTGCCAGGGACATGAGGTTTAGTTCCCACAGCCTTTCCTCTCGTACCTCTGTTCCGAAACTAGTCTTGTGGCATACCTCTGAATCTTTTCTGTCTTGTGTTTAACTGTTAAACTCCAAGCTGGAGCTGCATACTCCAGGATTGGTCAGACATGTGCCTAGCAATGTTTTGTTCCATATCCTGTACTCACACTAATGCATTTTAAAATGCATTTCTATAAAAAAGTTTTAGTAAGGACAACAATGAATATACAGTATTGAGTAAAATTCTTTATAATCTTTGTATTTTTATTGAACTGCTACACACATGTTCACTTTTAATAGATGCTTATGTAACTTACTTCCCATAGCTGAACATTCCTATATTAAAAATAACTGCTTTAAGCAAGACTGACTTTTGCCTCAAAAGTTTTTCCATAATGGGTCATGGAAATGTGGGTTTCCCTTGTATAGGCAAAGCTATTACTATAATGGCAAAAAATAATCGGCAACAGTTATGCGTTTAAAGTCCACTAATTTCCTTACATGTGCAAGATTTTCACATTTAAGTACTTCAGAGGTGGAGCAATGTATTCTTCAACTAAAAATCAACCCGCCTCATTCTTTTACATTTATCTATACTTGGTGCACTATTCATTACAATATGCCATCCTACCAAATTTCATTGTTAAAGGTCATGAAGCCTCGACAGCATTTGCAAAGATACGGGTAAAGTTAACTTATGAAATAAAATGTTTATAATGCATGCTCCTTAACAGCCCTGTTTATTTATATTTATACAAACCCTACTGTAGTTCAAATCGCACATTTGTTAGTCTGACAAGAGCTGTACCAAACACAGCCCAACTACTTCCAATGCCTTATACAAGATTATTATAACATTATCAATTTACAAGCGACTGATTTACATTATGTCTTGCAATTGTTCCATGATATTTATCCTATCTCATAGGTGACTTTACTAAATACCATAGTATGAGCACACATACCATCAAAATAATTAGTGCAATATTAACTTCTAAATACTGTACACTATAATATGTATAATTTTGTTTCAAGCATACAAAGGAACACACCTGAAGTAATTCATAGTCAATGATACATGAAATTTAAGTTCCACAACACCAGTTATTCAAGAAGCATACCCTTGGCAACTGTTGTTTTTCTCTCTGCATCAACCAACTTCTCTACTAAAGCCAGACCAAACTCAAAAGCTGTCCCCGGTCCTTGGGATGTGATGAGGTTTCCTGCAAACAAATGGTTATACTTTACTCTAGTACAATGAATATTGAAAGCTAGATAGAAAACAATTACAGGAATGAAAGCCTCTCGAGTGATCATTTTTTCTCCAAAAGATATACAAATGATTGTAATGAACAATTGTGCCATAAATTAATATGATTTAGTACAGTACTGAATATATGAATATATACCAAGTAAACAATATTGTAACATGTCATTGTGAATCATCCATGCCCAAAGAAATTTTAGTATTATTCCATAGTGATGATCTATCTGTAGTTATAAACTTGAAAAATTACCAAAATACAACAAAAACAATTTTATTGCCCATTATCATATTGCTGTCTATGCTCAATAATCCAAATTATATGGGGTCCAACCTTTTTTTTAAGCTAAGACTAGGGTTCATTAGGGCTGTCAATTGAAGTACCTAGTGAAACTTCATGCAAGAACAGATATCCTGCCTCCGCTCATCTGAAGCCTGCTCCTAGAGACTTATTTCATTTGAATCAATACGAATAAATTTTATTTACATCCAAATAACAATCTTAAGAACAGGACAAGTCAGTAGCTAACTGTGTGCCAGAGCCTTCATGTGATCAGTTTAACTGATCTGTGTATCTTGAGGTTATCTTCAACCTGTTGAGTGACCAAGTTCCAGATACGAGTCAGCCGAGGAATAAATGCTTGCTGGAGTAGTGATCTTGAGAAAGACAGTTCAAGCACAAGACTTATGGTCAAGAGCTTTGTTTTATGGTTACCAACTACTGGCTGTCCACAAAGTTGGGCCAGGTGTAGATCTTTTGAAAATGCTCATCTTGTACATAACAGTAAGTCCACCAACATCTGTGTTGGAGGCTCTTTATATTCACAAACTAGTCCAACCAGACTTGTTAAAGTCTGGAGATGAGCCTTCTTGCAGTTCTGCTTTTTGTCCAAAAATCTAATGAACAATGGAGGGCAGGCACTCCAGGACAGGGATGCATACTCAAGATACGAGCAAACTTTTGCTTCATATATGATTTTGCAGTCACTGGTTCTCATAATGGAATGCTGCAAATAGCATGCAGTTTGAGGGTGAAGTCACTGATACAATAGAGGTTTGAGGGGTGGGAGGGCAGTGGGAAATAAAGAGTGGCAGGTGGTAGCAGAAACCTATGAACAAGCTTCCTATTGATATTTTGAAAACATTTTTAAACTACAAAATTTAGAGGTAAATGTAACTATACATACCATCAACTACCACACGCTTCTCCAAGTAGGTGTATTTTCCAGACTTCAACAGACTAGCCTTCAGTGATGGGTAGCATGTCACACTTTTGCCCTCACCAATGCCATGAGCAGTTAGAGACACAGCAGGAGCTGAAGCATCAAATATTATTTTAGTAGAAATATATTGATTAAGTAAAATCAAATGTTCATAATGGCTCTAACACAGCACTATACATGGTAAGCAAATCAGCACATGGTGGAACCCCCTGCTCGAATAGAAGAGTGAATAGAGTACAATACTGTACTCTATTCACTCTGAACTTCTGCCATTCCATCTGATCTAAAGTACTGTATATTTTAGGCCATATACTTTTATTATTAAAAATTATAGAATGTCTTTACATATACAGTAGCCTAATCTGATACTTAAGTTACCTTAAAAGGTCTAAGTTAAAAAAAAAAATACAGGCGACTCAGCTTAACCAAACAATTCTTTCAAGATTAATTGCTTGCTAAAGATATGAATAAAAACGATTGCATTGCATCTACTTACAACAGACTGGGTAGCATTTAATCCTCAAATGGCAAAATATTAATATTTTCTTACACAAGTGCACTTTTGTCCCTAGTTTACCTGTCGAGTGGCATCCCAAGAATGTGCTCCTCAATATGGTGGATTTCAAAAATTCTAAATACAGTAGATATACTGTACCCTTCAAATTTCCCCACAAACTCCATTTTCTAAAAAATCTCTTTCCAGTCTTACATTTTCATACAAATTATTTTCAAGGTAAAGCATTTCAGTTCAACATATGGAAAAATAGGAATAGGTTTAAGAGGTTCAAAAATTTCCCTTGCCACTCAAATAATATTGTACACAGGTATTAAACTAAAACTAGTTACATTACTAATTAAGTGTGCAACAATTATTGAAGGAGGGAAGAGTTAGTGCTTTTTCATAAATCCTGTGAAATTTTTCAATTCTTCCACTATTTTCTCAAAGCAGCATTTGTTGCCCTGTGCTTCACTGCTACCTTCACACACACACACTAGTTTAATTGCAGCACAAAAACCATCCTATGTAAACAGTGCGCCAGATAAACACAGGCATACTACCAAGTCAGTAGGGAAGAAACTGCCGTTATAAATGTTTATTTCAAATAATTAAAACAAGTTGTTAAAAGAAAATTAATGGTCTGGAACATTCACCTACTTTTGCTATGGCAGTCTGAGGATATTTGGTCTAATTTACCGTACAGTATTATAGAACAAGTTTCAGGAAATGCAAGTTTTAAAGCGAGGTAGATTTGTCTGAACTGTACTATACTGAATATATTTGTGGGGAAATATGTATGTGAATTAATTTTGATAGTTTTTTAAACTAAATTTCCCCTTCCACATGCAATATATCAACACTAGCAGCCTTAGCTCTTGCATTTATAGAACATTTAAACAACTTGCCTCAATTTTTACTAATGACTACTTGTCATTAAATTTCTTTTAGACATTTTGAAGTGTATACATACTTCTTAATTATACATTTTCCTCCAGCACTGTGTCTGGCCATCGACAAAAACTTAGGATTGAGAGTAAATACTGTATTACCTTGGTAAGGTTAATACTATTATTATTTTAAGAGACTATATAAGTACAGTATTTTAAGTTACAAAATGACCAATACCAGCGAGCATGGCTTGTGTTTACAATAAACATGTGGACAAGAGGCGTGTCTTCCTCCCGCCTGAAACGTAATAAATATCGCTAGATTACTTGTTATTAAATGATATGGCAGCCCAACTCACCTGCACAAATGGCACCAATAACTCTGCCAGCCTTTTCCTGCTCAGTCAAGATGGACTTCACCTCAGAGCTCTGTTGAAAAACAAAAATCAGCCTGTATTCTTTATACAAAAAATGAATGAAAATTTCAAGTTAATTTTGATGGTTTTAAGCAGAAACTTTAAAATAAATGATAGGCACTAGGTATTACTATTTCAAGTATGCAGAAAACATCAATGGATCAATGATCGTTTGGACCATGGTAATCAAGACCAAACCTATTCTGGCTTTACCAAGCATTTCGTTCCACCAAGAGCCCTGTTTGACCTCACCACAGGCTCAGATTACTATACTGTGCATTATATTAAATGTACTTCTTTGTGTGTTATAAGTATGATGCAGGGCTAGAACTCTAATGAACCTTCAAGATCATGATTACTGGTCATTAATAAAAAAAAAAAGACCAAAATAAATTAGGCCATTTAAGACATTAAAAACTGCAACACCAACCTGTCCAAGACTTTCAGATCCCTTTAGTCCACCTGGGAGAACAATGGCATCATAAGGGCCTTTAGATATAGCATCATCAAGAGCAACATCAGGATGGATCACCACATCTCTGCTGCACTGTACAGGACCACCACCATTCAACCCAGCTACAGTTACGGTCACCTGCAAATAAAGTTGCTATTTTTAAACAATAATAATAGTTTATTCACAAGGTATAATGGGTGGGCGAGATTACATAATATTGGTACATTCTTGCAGAGCCACCAACACGCATAGTGTTTCAGATAGGTCCTTATAATGTATAATACATGGACGCTGCCGCCTCCACGATTTCGTTCCCTCCGATTCCGAAAGGAAAGGAAACCCACTGAAGGGGGTATAAAAGTAATTCATCGTGTTGGGGGACAGGCAGCCAGTATATTTTAGATTTATATCGAGGTCCACCCCCACCCCCCTAGGGTCAAATTACTAACCCCGCCCAGGATGTAACTGCACAAGAAGTTGACTCATGGGTACTTATTTACTACTCGGTAGACAGGGACATGAGGTGATAGAGCACACACCCACCCATTTGTCCCACCCAGGATTCGAGCCGGGATTGTACTACCGGGAAATGTGTACTTTCCACTACAGGGGAGTCTGTAGTATTTATTCATTACTAATGTATTGCCAGGAAGCTTTCTGAAGCTTGTGTAGCTTGTGTTAGCTTGTGGTAATTAGACGGACCGCTACAGAGGTCAGCATTATTGTCCGTTACACTCACATCTGGGGTGTTAAAAAAACTAATAATAATCAAAAGCTTCTTCCACCACCGCCCACAGGATAGGTATGGGGTGCATAATAAATGAAGTAAACCCAAACTCGGAGGAGGAGGAGTATGGTTTACAGGGTGTTGGAGTACATGAAGTACACCCACAGGAGCACCACTACTCACCCCGCCTCGCCTCAGCGTGTCGATGGCAATGACAGCTTCCATCTCCTCGGCTCCCTCGGCCAGAATCACCAAGGCACTCTTGCCAGCCATAGTTGACACTGTTCCTGTGAATGAGAGAGACAAGAGCCAAGTAATATGCGGGAGCTGGAAGCGGCGGAGTGACTTGTCAGGGAGCTGAGGAGGAGGCTGGGGTCGAGCCGGGGTTCAGAACCACCTCTCACGCTTCACTCTCTCAAATTCAAATTCATATTCAAATTTTTATTCAGATAAAAGTACATACATAGAAGATGAGTTACACACATAATGTTGAATTTATAGATAGAGTTAGTACATACAATACCTAAAGCCACTAATACACATAGCGTTTCGGGCAAATCATATCTTCTACATTTCTTACCATGATTTATTTATTTATTTACATGTAGGTACATTTGATTTTGTACACAAAATTGTGTGCATATGGTACAATGGCTAGGTACAGTCTCCTAATAAAAAGAAAATAGGTTTCCTAGAAAATACATATATAGCAGCTATAACGTGCTATATAATGTTATAATGTCTTTTCTATAATGTAAGCCTACAATTTATAAAAAAAATTTACAAAACACATTCTACTTTTTTCTTAATACTGTAAATGAATGAATGAATGCAGCATCCTTAGCTTCGTGAACGAAACACCGAACACGAAAGCTTCATACAGGCGTCACAGGTCACGTGACGCGCTCTCTCATCTTAAATGATCGCAAATTTAGTTTGTTATATTAACAAGTAGAATACGTATTTCTAATAATATCTAACATAACTAGCCAGCAAATATTTAAGACTTATTGAAAAATACATGGCTGGAAGTTAAATCGACTTCATAGAACAATAGTGTTGATCTATACTAATCGTTATTCGTTAGTATGCGTTCGCTACTTAAAACATTTACTGTACTGATGTAAAATCTCCCATGTCTCTTCGCACATGGAACACCGAACCTTACACACTCTCTGATATATTGTTTAATTAATAGAGATTCACTAATAAAGCTTATAATTGTATATGTTATCAAAAAGGCATAGATAAAGTCGTTCTTACGTTTTAGTCACAGAGATTAGATATTAGTAAAGTAAAGTTCATTTTATTCAGGAAAGTACATAAATAGTCGTTTTACAAACATAATATTGGATTTATAGATAAAGCTAGTACATACAATACCTAAAGCCACTATTACGCATAGCGTTTCGGGCATATTATTGAGAGAGGAAAGATATTTATATTTAAACAATTTTTTTTTTTTTACCGACGCTCTCCCTATTGATGAGAACTACAACCTAATGAAGATAAATGTTAATTTTATGTAGATACTGTAATAAACGAAAGTTTTTAATGTCATCAGAGAAGCAGAAATATAGGCAAATTTTAAATACCTTGTCATAAATATAACTGAAGTGAAAGCAAAGATATATGCATTTTGATAGTTACAAAGACAGCTCTTTAACACGGGTGGAACACGAACAAGGGGAACTTAGTACCCAAATGAGCCACAGAGATATTAGAAAGAATTTTTTCAGTGTCAGAGTAGTTAACAAATGGAATGTATTAAGCAGTGATGTGGTGGAGGCTGACTCCATACACAATTTCAAATGTAGATGTGATAGAGCCCAATAGGCTCAGCAACCTGTACACCTGTTGATTGACGGTTGAGAGTCGGGACCAAAGAACCAAAGCTCAACCCCTGCAAGCACAAATTAGGCGAGTACAACTAGGTGAATACAGCTGAAGCTCAATTCCCTACGCATAACTAGGCGAGTCCATAGGAATTACCGTTTGTCCTGGCGCCATCTATGTTTTGACAGCAGTACTACTAATGTTCCCACGTTATGTGATGATCGCTATATGGGTATTACGGTCAGTTGCTCTTCTATATATGTTTATGGACAACGTAGGTGATTTGAGGCAATTTGCGGCCAGAAAGAAATAGTATCCACGCGGTGAGTGATGGAGGAGGATATATACTGCTGTGTACTCGACCAGCGGGTGAGCGGTAAGTTATATCGAACAATTATGGGGAATAGATGGGTTATTTTAAGCGTAGAATGTCAGGTAACAGGTAACTACACAGATGGGGTAGTGTGTTTTTAAGTCTTTATTTACTAAAGTGGAACATTACATTATGCCTTTAGCTGAACAAGTCTACTGGTGGGGGAAGTAGACGGGTTTTATGAAAGTATTTTACCTAAATATTTGTATTTGGTTAACTAATTCAGCCGTTACCAGGGAGGGTGTTCCTTTAATCTAATCTAAAAATTTTAGCCGGACAAAGTGATTAAATAAAGAAATTGAATAGAACGAAGTGGTTTGCCAGGGTGCTTAACATTTAGTTTAGTTCACTTACTATGCAGCCCATGCTTAAAGAATGCAAGTTTATCATATTGAATTTACCGTAGTTTTACTGCATTTAATATACCGTTTTTTACCCTATTTAATTATGTCGGGTAAAGGCCGGTCGTGGAAAGTTCCTAATATAGCAAGTTTTAAAGGAAAAGTTTGAGTTTACTTTAACGCTTAAGTTAGTGACCAATTAGCTTAGTCTATTGTGAGGAAAGTTACTAGAATCTAACATTGCAAGTGCCATTTCTCTACTCTTTTTGAGAAACATGACTAGATACACGAATCGCATAGTTTTATTACTAATGTTCATGGATTAGGTTGCATAGTTGAGGAAATAGTGATAAGGTTTGTGATTTTGTGTACCTTGACTTCAGCAGAGATTTTGATAGTGGCGCAAAATTGATAGGGGCTCGGATCATTGGGAATGCTGACTGAAGTTGATTAGGTCATGGCTATACCAAAGGAAATTAGTATAAATGGGGTTAAGTTGGGAGAAGTGTTGTAAGTAGTGCCTAAAAGCTCTCCTTGGACCTCGGTTATTCGCAAGATTATGGTTTAGACTGCAATAGTTGCAGAATTGGCAAATAAAAAATACCATTGCCCTATATAGTTTTGAAATGGTTAAGACTACCAGATGCAGTTTAATGGTGACAAATGTAAGGTTTGGGGGCTAGGTAAAGATGAGATAGATGGTGTAGATTGTTAAGAGTATTAAATATTTTGCAGGTGGTAAATTCTCAGAGCTGGCACTGCTCTCCAGCCTGGGATGTTGATTGGTTAGTCTTCAACTGCCTCCCTGAGCTGACATGCAGTGAGGAGCTGCAGGAAAATACTTGCAAATCTACAGTGAGTAGTGTTGTGTACATTGGAATTAGAGGGTAGAAGTTAATTGCTAAAAACCTATTAAATATTAGGGTATGGAAGTCTAGGCTTAGGCTAGTGGGTACCATATCTGCAAGTTTAGTCCTTTCAGGAATGTATTGAATAGAATGGTATGTTGAAATTGTGAAAATTGTAATGTGGGGCATTAGATCTTAAACAGCATAGTTGAGGGCGTTTAATTAATAAAATTTTAATGAAATATAAATATTGTTTAGTTAACATTAAATGTTTGTTAAATAAGCTTTAATCTATAAATGTTTAACACTAAGGGTAATCATGAGTCAAAGTTAATGGCAGGAAAAGTTTTGTTCTAAGTGATGGTATTTTTTCCTTGAAAGTAAAAAAAAAAAAAAGAAATATTCAATGTTTACTTTAGCTTGGTTTTAAATTTATATAGTTTTCCAGAATGTGGTTTGGAAAGTCCAGAAGTCCCTCTGTCAGTTGCTTAAACAGAATCAGGTGAGTTGTAGTAAAGGTTAATCTGAATAGATTTGCATAAAAGTAAAAAAATTAGTAATAACTTAAACAATATAGCATTGGCTAAAGATAAATGTAAATTGCCATTGAAGAGCAGTTGTGGATAGTTTCTCAAATGACATTTACTGAAACTTTGCAAATTGATGCCATATATATTTATATTGCTAAATTAGATCTTTACTACTGCTACTAGAATATGTAGGAAAGGTAAATTCCCTAAAGAAATTTTTTCCATCTGAATTTGTAAACTACTGAATACTAATTTGAAAAGTAAAGCAAGATTGGCTTTAAATCTGAAATTAATTTGTTGAAATATTTTTCAGGTGAAAGTGATTATGATGCATGGACTGGCTTGGAGTGAGGCTCCTTTAGTCTGCAAAAGGAAATCTACAAAAGTGGGTGAGTTTGAATTTGATGTTTTAGCTATATCAATGACCTAATCTTAATTCTTTTATCTAGTCCATTTATAGGTGTAACCATGTCCTACTGTTACAACCCACAGGGGATAATGCAGTTTGTACTGATCCTACCCCATTTCATAAAAGGGGACCAGGCAGTCCTGCAGATTTCCCTGGCTTGGCTTTTTCAGAGCTTTGCTCTACTACCCATCTAATAGATGGACTAGATTTGCATAGGGACCCTTAACAATGGTTACATTGTTAATTCTCACAGGGCTTGTTTGCTGCATGGGTGGATGCATCTAAAACTTTAGTGCCTGGCATGCATTGTACAGTGCTTTCAGTAAAGCATATGTACAATGTGTTGAGGGCACTAAAGTGGTGGATGTAATGCACCCATTCAGGGAACAAGCTCTGCACTAAAATCAGAGGAAGGGATAGGCCTTGCTGAGCCTATCTTAAAAGATAGGCTGTTAGGATTTTTTGGGCTTATTATTAGGCATTGGTGATAATAAAAGTAGTGTCCCTGTTTAATGTTTATTTTTCTTTTACAGGTGATTGTCTCTAGAGTTGTCTTGGCCTTTTGGATCTTCTGTTCATCTAGGAGCATCTGTCCCACAACCTGAAACAGTAATAAATATTAGATGTATTATAAATACTATATGTAAAACTTATTAAATAAAACAATTTTAATGAAACTACTTTATATACCTTATCCTGAAGTTATGCTGGAAATTATTGTTTACTACTATTGATGTAATGTTTAAACATCTGGAATTTTTTTACTTTGAAAATAAATACTTGGTAAAATTTACACCTATTTGTAACTTGTTACATAGGTGCATGCAAATTTCATTGAAAAGATGTAAAAGTGGACTACCTACTCAATTTACATAAAATAAATATTGCAAATTAGTCTGAAATATTAAAGTGGAAGAAACTTTAGTCAATATTTTAGTTTTCATATTTGAAAGTAAATTTAAAGCTATGAAACACCTAAGCTTTGTACAAATTATAATTAAATTAACTAAAGATCATTGTTAAATTTACAAAACTAGAAAAGTGACAC